TTACGCCTGGAGTGGTTTCGATTCCCCGCTTATACGTGTCAAGGAGTAAGACCGCCTTTCGTGTAAGTTTCGTCAAAATCGGAGAGAAAATGCGACCTCTAGAGGGCTCACAACCTTAGACAAACAGCCATTTTGAACTGTAATTATGGTGTAAAAGTGATATGTATAAACGGATTTCATAATTATTCAGCATTTTTCCGTAACGCTGAAATCTGGACAGTCGTTATCTGATGAAGAACAAAGAGCTGATTAGTGTGATAATAAATTGACATCTTCACCTAATTATTTGGGCCTATCTTAAATATCCCGCTGTGTAATGGTTTTATAAGTCAGCTTAGGACGTGTGCTGTCGGGTTAAATCCTTTTTGCGAAACGCTTGACCTACAAAAGAGAGTAAACCATGAGGGCATATTTTAACGTTCCTATACAGGCACTGGTGTGCCTCTGGATGCAAAATCATGTTTCGAAAATCTTAAATCGGTGCTTTGAAAAAATGTTATGTATTCTTGTGAATCTGAGAAGATCGCCAGTTACAGTGAAGGTTCATCTGCTTTTGAATCGATTTTGGACGTTTCTTTGCACTGCCAATGATACCCTTACGCGGTTATAAATATAAATCTGTGAATTCTGTCTATTTCTTGGTTGTAAAGGCGTAAGCATGCTTCGTCAATAAAAACTTAAAATAGCATTAGGCTTTATTTACTAGGTAAGAGTTACTAATAGTAAGTGCAGGAGGACCGCACTACACGTAAAACAAAAATCTACAAGATAAACCTGCGGACAAGACAGAAAATAGACATTGCACCAAATAAACAAATAAAAGTTATGTCGTACATTCACTCCATACATGTTTTGTGTGTGCGCAATATAATTACTATTCCCCACACTGGCATACATGTACGAAGCCGAAATATCAAGATATTTATATTCACAGTTCTTGGAATATATTATGTTACAGGAAACAAGCATAATCAGTAATTATGTAAATATTCATTTTTATTTGTTATAATTTCGTCATGATATGATATGTCATGTAAAAGTATTATTTGATTTGATATGTATTATCATATTCTAATCCTTTTATATTTTGTAATGTGGAGTGATGAAAATAAAGATTGTGCCAACTGTACACGTTTCTTTCTGTTATTTTATATTTTCAGTAAACAAGTATAATTATTGCTGACTCATTTCAGTAAATATGCTTAATTCCTGAAAATTTCAGTAATTAGACATAATTACTGAGTGAATCAGTTGTTATACATAATACCTGAAAATTTCAGTAATTATACATAATTACTGATTATGCTTGTTTCCTGTAACATATACACATCCAGTGTTCCATGAATGCATTTGAGTGATATTTTTCGCTTAAACCCTATAAACAAAATCCTTCACTATTCTTTTTTTTATGGAGAGGCATCAAACATTTATCTATTTGTTAGTATCACACCCTGTCCACGCCTCCGAAACAGACATAGAGAAACCCGAAATAAAATAGGGAACGATAGTAATTAGTAAGGTAATGTCAAATACTAACCTTCTTGTGTGGACAAATTTTTAAAAAAAAGACTACTTTGACGCGTGTAGGCTATACAAAGAGCATTTGGGGAAACAAGTTCTCTGCTTTTATAATAAGTAAATACTAAATAGGAGGTGTGCAGGTATATCTAGATATATTAGTCATAGTAAAATGTGTCCAATCAAATGAAGAGTGTTATCTGATTGGCAATGATATTGTAGTAAAGAGTGGTCCATTGCTTGCGTTATTTTATTTTATTTTTTTTTTTTTTTTTTTTTTTTCCCCGTCCTGATATATTTCATCTCTATTATAGAGATCACAAAAAAAACACTGGATATGTTAGTGACAAAACACTTATAATAGAAAAGGGATAGATAGAAAAATGTTATTCATAAAGTAAATGTCTAAATTGCAACCCTTCCATCAATCATTGTTCCCACCAATACTACTTTTTACACAAAATATCGTCTTGCAAATTTTGATCTTTGCCCGTATTTCTGTCGAAAGTAGTTCAATAAGCGTCGCACCAATTTAGCATCATACCCGAAAACGTTCAACTGGCGATATGATCTTCTAAAGTCCACCTAGATATATAAAAATATCACTAGTTACTATTCTCTTATCAATGTTATCAGTTCACGTTTCGGTATAACAGATTTGGGGATCTTTATTTGGTTATATAGTTAAACATGATATGTTCAGATTAGATTGCACTCAAAATCTGAGACAAATTTGTCAATCTTTTGCGGAGTTATACCTTTTTTTACCTTTGTAAAATGTATTGGTAGTTTAAAGTATATTGCCCGAAATTTCAACAATATTGGCGAGTCTATGGTTATGGTTAAAGTAGCTAAGTCTCAAACTCATTATCATCAAAAATCTTCGACATTGAAAACACGAATTATTTGTCAATTCAAATCAACATTGGTCTTGTGATCTTACAGGGAAAAGATGGGCTTCTGATATCCAATATTTAAGACAAAATAAACATTTTACCATTGGTACACGAATCATGTACCATAATGCGTTTCAGCGCCATTTGGAACAAGGGACTCAAAGAACGCGGCTAGACATATTCCACAAGTCATGCCAAATGGTGACGAACATAACATACGGTAAAAACAGAAACGGTTGAATGTAAATCAGTTTATATACATTCACATTACATTATTATTACATTTATGTCAATTTCTAGGTCCCAAATATTAGCGATTTAGCTCCTTTAAAACAAAATTATTCAAAATTAATTACATTTATATTCTTGGGGCGTATAATGCATCTTTAAAACTGTATCTCACGCAATATAATCTATTTAGATGAACATGACAAATTTATATTTAAATGTTTACAGTTATTTTGACATTTCTATTTAAATTCAGGTTTATCAAATACTAGCATGGTTAGTCGACTGATCGCCGACAAGACGTGGGATTTTGTGCCAATAGCATCCAAGATATTGCAAAAAGTGACCAACAAGGAAAGAGATAATATTGATCGTATCCAAAATTTAAAGGATTTCGTAAAAATATGACAAATGGTTGTAAAATTGACTGATTCAAGATGGCTGTATACTTTTCATAAGTACGTGCCCACATTTCAGCGTAGGTCAGCGTGTCAGTTGATCCGTCCGTCAACAATTCGCTTGTGAACGCGATAGACACTATACAGTTTTTGACTGATTCTTTCCAAATTTGGTGTGAAGCATCGTGAGAGTACGAACCCCTTTGTTACATAATTATGTCCCCTTTTCCGAACGCGATAGAGGCCACATTTTTCGACGGATTCTTTTCACAATTGGTGTGAAGCATAGTGGCCACGAGAGGACGAACCTTATCGATATTCAGCGTTCTACTGCTTTCCGTTCCAGAGTTATCTCCTCATTGCCGAAAATCTTGTGAACGCGATAGAGGCTACATTTTATTTTTTATACGCCCACATTTTCATGTGGACGTATATTGTCGTCGCCCCTGTACGTCTGGACGTCCGTCTGTCCATGCACAATTTGATTGTGGACACTCTACATGTCACAATTCTTACTCGGTCCCTTTCAATATTGGCATGTATCGGATCGTAACTTCCTGAATTATGAATCCTGTTGTAATATTGGCTTGTGGTCCACCTAGAGATTACAATTTTTATCCGATTTAAAAAAACAAACAAAAAAAACGTTCGAATATATCACCGTTAATGTCGGTTAAGTTCGAATTTCGTGAAAATCGAACCGAAACTGCCAGACAACATAGCCGCCCCTCGTACGCAAATAGTGTAAATATATGGTATATCATCAAGGTTGTGGACCCTCTAGAAGCCACAAATTTGATCTGATGAAACTTTAATTTATGTTTATATCACAAAGATCTTGGTTCCTTTCGGTAACTTCCTGGATTATGGCCCCTGATTGTTTGAAAAATCGAATTGTTAGCTTGTGGACCGCTAGAAGTCACAATTTGTATTCATTTTCATCAAACTGCCGGACAAAATGACCGCTCTTTGTACGCAGATAGTGTAAAAGTATTTAATACCAAGGTTGTGGATACTCTAGAAGTCATAACTTTTATCCGATTTTGACCAAACTTGAAATGTATGATTATAATCCAAAGATCTTTGGTTCCTTTCAATATTTGCGCATATCGGACCTTAACTTCCTTGGTTATGGCCCCTGATTGCACGAAAAAGCACATTTTTAGCTTGTGGACATCTAGAGGTCACAACGTTTAAATGTATCCCCCCCCCCCCACCTGTGAAAATATTGTCGATATAAAAGCATTATTTATCACACACTTATGCGCATCTATAACATGTTTTCCTTGTTGATCACTTAAAAACGGTATTGTCGGTGATTAGTAAGACGGTCGTAATTTCAGACCCTTGATTTTGAGTTATCCTACTATTTTAGCACCATTTGTGTAGATATTCGTTTTAAACGCCAAAATTGTAATTATTTAAAGATACATTATGGAAGATTAGGTAAAGAGTTGGGAGTTCTCACTATAATAGTTAAAAACTAGATAATGTAAAGGGAATATGCTAAAAATGTCAGTTAAATTGCTCCACTCTGAATCGAGATATTAGGCTTAGTCTCGATCATCATTACTAAAGTTGGTACGATAAAAAAACATAAGTCTCAATTATCCATTTTTTGATCAAATCATCAATGAGTGTTGAGCAGCAAATCCAGAGAAATCCCAACACATAAGATGGCATCGAGGGTTGATTAAGGTCTTTTCATGTTAATGATAGGAAAGTTATCACTGATTTGGCAATGAGCAAGCGAAAAGATTCTACACTCAAAGCATTGTTTTAATTAGTTGGCAATTTCTAAAAATTACTTAGGGGATATTGTATTCCTTCATTGTTATGCATCTTATAAACATTCTTGTGGAAGAAGTTCTAATCTGTTCTTACTATATGCATTGTTTTAGTGTCACAGACAAATAGAAAGCGATTTTAATTTGAGAACAAACTATTACAAGCAAACACATTCTGTTACCAAAATATTATTTATTACATAAGACCAATTATTAGTTATATTTTCATGGAATTGTATGAATCAACAAAGTGACAAGTCTTAAAATACTTGATATAAAGATGAAAGACATAGAAAACACACAAAATATACATTTGGATATTAATGCCATATTTATACACGCACAGTTAAACATATCCTCAGTATCACCAGTAGTCTCATTCCGTTCTACGCCACTAACCCCTGAGTTAATCTATGGGTAGGACATGTTTTCAAGTTATCTGCCCTTGATGATTGTGCTATTTTTATCGACCAATCCCATAAATCGTTAATTGCAAAGAAAGTTGGCAAAGGGAAGAAACTCTCATTAGGTAAAGTAAGCAAAATGCAAAGGCTCCCCCCCTTCAAGAGACAAGGTTAGGAATTAGCCAGAAGGTAGCCTAAATGAGAGAATGCATATTTATTAACAACAAATTCCAATTATTATATAGTATATTAATTTTTTAAGAGTTAATTGAGAATCAAATTGCCAAGTATCAACAATAATAAACATGAAACATTTCAGGCAAAGAATGAATAGTAATAATAATAGCAAAAGTCAAACATATAGATGTTATAGATATTTGAAATCAGCGAAACGTACTACAGATTTTGATAATGCAATTAAATATAAATCAATTAGAAATATATACATTATTTACATAAATGATTAATGGACATGAATATGATCATCTACCCTTATAAAAACGAAGTCGAAACGACAGGTTTGTAAACTGTTTTTTGATTGGTTCGTAGACTTTATCTACAATCAAGGCCAGGGCAGATAATTTCAAATCATGGAAACCCTATGGATTAACCCAGGGGTTAGTGGAGTAGAACGGAATAAGTACACTGGGGATACCGAGGACGAGTTAAACATGATGGAATGTACACTAGTTTCAGTATTTAATGAATATAAAATATTCCTAAGATTATGATTTAAAGCACCCATGGTTTGTGATATTCAAACTGAGAAGTTTGAGACACAGAATAATTGCTGAGCTTATCAAATTTAAAGTTTAATTTAAAATGACCAAAAAGTCAAAGAATTAATAAAATGGAAATTATAGAACATTACAAGCTAATCATAGAATAATATACCCACAAAAAATGATATAGTAAAATTTCATGATCCCAATTACATATATCCCATAGAAAAAATGTCTTAATCCCAATTAGATATTTATTATTATCATATCTGGTTGAAAACCTTTTTTTTTATAAACCCACCCAACAAATTACAAGGCAGAGTTCATATATAGTTTTGCTGCTTAATCTTAATCAGTCAATAAATCAACCACATATCAATACCAATTATATTCAGTTATAAAATTCCCAATGTCGATTCCAGTTATGTATTAAGAACACTAACATGGCACTTTTTTAAAATAAAGATATGATATATAATATAACAAAAACAATGGTTATTTTACTGTATTTTTCAGCACACTTTTGAGTTCTTTTAGAACTGTGTCTTACTAAATATCTAAAGCACTTACACTATAACACTTTTAAAGTATTAAGAGCACATTCACACTTTCAGGACACATTCACAACTCTGGCAGACTATCGTCATCAGAGTTTAAAATTTCCATGTCCCAATAATCATCCTTGTTATTGGGATTTTGTCTGTCTGTTTTTAACGACAATATTTTGTCACTATTGCCATCTTGAGACAAGTTAGTATTTAACATGACGACACTAGAATTATTAACATTGTCTTCTTCATCATCATCATCATCATCATCATCATTAGTACTTCCATCTCTCACTACATTGTCTTTAACTTGTACATTATCTTGAATACCAATAGAACCACTAGGTTTTTCACTATCACTACCCTCAGACTCTTGGTCTGACTGAGTTTCCAGTGTTTCAACTCGCATCTTCTGTGGAGATTTTTGTCTTGCCCAGGGAAATAAACTTTTCTGTTAAATAAAACAATGAATTATAGTGAAATATATTATTGGCCTAGTCAGGTTGATAAATTTTTATTTAATTCTTGTAGCTCTGACACAAAATGATCTTAATAATCCAAGTGTATATGTGAATAGTTACTGAATAAAACAGACCCTAAATACTTACAGAAAATTAAGACATTAAACCCCAGTACATATCATTTCATTTAAATATACATTATGGAGAATTAGATAAAAGCTGGTAGTTCTCATTATTATAGTTAAAAACTACATAATGTAAAAGCAATATGCTGAAAATGTCAATTAATTGCTTCACTCTTAAGCCGAGTAAACCTTATTTTAAAAATCACAGTAGCCACGAAAGTCACCGTCACAGCTGTCACAATAATTAACAAAGTCTTGATTATCGATTTTTGCGGTTAATCATCAATGGGCGTTGAACAGCAGATCGGATTCAAATCCAATGAAAATCTGACACATAAGATGGCATCGAGAGTTGATTATGGTCTTTTCATGTTAATAAATGTCTAAGTAATTAATAGTTTAATTATATACCATTTCAGACCTAAATAAAGATCTGCAATAGGCAGATTTAGCTCTTGCATATTTGTATGTTTAATTGAGGTGATAAGCACAATAAATAAAAATACACAAAAAGTATAATTAGGACAATATGTACAGAATTCACGATGTTGCACAGTTTTATAGCAGCCATTTCAGAATTCTCTAATAATTATATATATATATACCTGCATTGAACCCATGGTCTGTATCATAAGAGTCCATTTACTACTAATTCTCACCATCAAATCTTTTACCTATAATATGAAATAGGTTTGTATATTATTTGATGTTCAGCTAAGAAAAAGATTCTGTTTATTCTATTGTTTAGGAAAAACAAGTAATGAGGCATAACTTACCACTCAAAACTTACCAGTTCACTTTGGAACTAACATTTGCTTTGATATATATATGTCTATTTGTTTCTTGCAGTGTCCGTGTGTCTTGTTCGTATGTTTTATGTGTGGTGCAGTCCTCCTGCACTTATTATATGGTATATTTTTTATTTCTATAATTCAATAAACCGGAGGGAAAACCCATGAGGATAGGCGGGCAAACCTTACTTCTTGTCGCATACCAGCAAGGGATGAACCAATTACTCTGCAGCAAATGTTAACCACCCAGCAATCACTCCTCACAATCCCACTATCTTATTCAGGAAAGCAATTTAATTCAAACCACTAACTTTTGAACTTACCCTAGTTTTATCCAGGTTTTGAACACTGTCTCTTAATTCACCTTTTAATAAATTAATCAATTCACTAAGCTTTAGTAAGTATTTCTACAATATAAAAAAACAGTCAACAATATACCCCTATCATTGTAGAAACAGACATATTAAAGATGCATTATGTAAGAATTAGATAAAGAACTGACAGTTCTTGCTATAATACTTCAAAAATAGGTGAGAGAGAGAGAGAAAAAAATGGGGTTTAACATACACTCCACACAAACTAGGTCAGATAAACTAGGTCAGATAAAGAGCTGACAGCTCTCGCTATAATAGTTAAAAATAGATAATGAAAAGGGAATAATAACATGTTGAAAATTTCAGTCAAATTACATCAATCTGAGCCGATTTATTGATGATACAATTACAGGGTAGCCTTGATTATCATTTTTACCATTGTCTCGATAACAAACAAAGTTTCAATTATTCATTTTTATGTTAAATCATCAACCGCAAAACGTATTTATATCTACTTAAATCGCAGCCATCCGATGGTTGATCATGGTCTTGGTAAGTCAATTTATGTCTAATTAATAATTTATAGAACATTTAAGACCTAAAGAAAGACAGATTTAGCTCTTGCATAATGTCTGTTTAAATGGTCGCAGTGTTCTAATCTAATTAAAATCGGAACCATTCCGATGACCCGGGGAGTTGATTATGGGCTTGTCAATCATGTTATTAAATGTTAAAATTATAATTTATATATTAAAAGCACCTGCATCTGGAAGATTTAGCTCTCACATAATGCATCTTTAAATGATTTCTCACTTGGGAATATTAACAAAAAGTGGGTGTGGCACCGCCCAAAAGGGTGGGGGGGATCATGCACCAAAATCAATAGTTGCTGTCCTTAGGGTATAAAGAATAAGTTAAATAAGTATACCAAGTCCCAAGATAATACATTCAGAATTGTGACCTTTTGGTGCTAAACACATAAATTGGGCGTGGCTCTGCCCCTGGGGGTCGGGACATGCACCAAAATCAATAGTTACCGTCCTTAGGCTATAAGGAATATATGCCAAGTTCCAAGACGATCCATTAAGAACTGTGGCCTGTAGGCAACATACAGACACACAAAGAAAAAATGGGTGTGACTCTGTCCCTGGGGGTGTTCGGGCGTTCACCAAAATACAACTGGGACCATCCTTAGGGTATAAGGAATAGGTATGCAAAGTTTCAAAAGGATGTGTTAAGAATTGTGGCCTGTAGGCGAAACACAAACACACACAAAAATTGGGCATGGCTCTGTTCCAGGGGGTCGGGCATGCACCCAAAATAATAGAGGTCATCCTTAGAGCATAAGGAATAAGTATGAAAAGTTTTCAAGACAATCAATTAAGAATTGCGGTCTGCAGACGACACACAGAAAGAAAATGGGTGTGGCTCTGCCCCTGGGGGTTGGGCATGCACCACAAACAATAGGGATGTTCCTTAGGACATAAGGAATAAGTATGCAAAGTTTCAAGATGATACGTTAAGAAATGCGACCTGTAGACAACAAACAAACAAATACAAGAAATGGGCGTTTCTGTGCCCCTGGGGGGCGGGCATGCTCCAAAAACAATAGGGATCATCCTTAGGGTATAAGGAATAAGTATTTAAAGTTTCAAGACGATCAGTTAAGAATTGTGGCCTGTAGGCGATACACCCACACAGAGCTACACAGGGGATGATGGCAGTATGCGTCCACCTTATGAATGTGGATGTATAAAAAGTTGTGGCCTTACCTTCTGTTCTGAAGGAAGTTTTTCACAACCAACTACCAAATCCATCAACATAATACAACTATTTAGTTTATATAATTCAACATTCTTGATCATATCTTTCATACAATCTATATACTGAAATAAACTCTTTATCTGAAAAAAAAAAATAATATACATATTATAAATTATATATCACTAAATAAATTCTAAGTCAAAGATATCCTTAAAAATTGAGGAAAATTGAAAGTCACCAGAACAGATTCATTTTGACAAAGATGGGTTAACAGGCAACAAAACATGCCTACAGCAGCTAAGTTGTCTGAGCAGTCAACAAAGGTTGTCACATATTTTTTCTTGTGCCAGTATTGAAATCATTTACAAAACACTAAAATCTGATTACGAGTAACAACCTATCAAATAATTACCAGAAATAATTAGAATTGGTTTGGTCTCTAGTTCTGCCCTATAGTATACAAAACAATCAATATCAAGGGCCATAATTATGGAATGAATTATTGGAAATCATTGGAAATCAATAGGATTCTTTGTCTTGTGGCCATAAACACTGTTTATGAATGGAGCATCCACAAGATTTTTCAAGGTGATCAAGAGCCATATTTCTGGCAGTAATTATCGGCAATCGTTGACAATCAATAGTGTTCTTTGTCTCATGTGGAGGATGGGCGGGGGTAACGACAAGACATTTCAATGTGGGTGTATAAAAAACCGAAGTGGGAGACTAAAGGGAAAAAACTTGTATTAAATAGCCACCATTCCTCAAAGTAAGATCATCAGCAATAATTAGAACAGCTTGTATTATTTTAAATGATGGATTATTAAAATTTGATTAGAACTGGTTATTCTGGGGTTTTTTATTAAAAAATAAAATAGCTTAAAAATTCATCCAAATCTTATTACTTTTAGAAGTATAGCTTTTGCTCAACTATTAAAACAAGGGGCCATAACTCCATTTTACCAAATAATCATATCTGAACATAAATACTTTACGTATATCATTTTTTTTAAAAAAAATTTTGAAATCTAATCATTATCAAAATTATGGATACAACAATCTTGATAAGAGGGATTATCCTAATTAACAGATTAATGTATAGTTTATTTATAAAGTTTCAAATTGTTCGGAAATATTTTTTAAAAATCAGCCATTTAATTTCAACCATGCTATTTCAACTGGTTGATTGATGAACCATTTGAAAGTAAACTAACCAACCAAATATTTACCTTGACTATTCCCATCTGGACACTAAAATAGGTGTTTAGATCCAGTATCGAGGTTAAATTAAACCTGAATTATAATGGCAACAGTACTGGCTCTACATGCCTACTACTGACGCCCAAATTCAGGGACACAACCACTGGTTCCATTTAACATATTAAACTCAAATACCAGATTTACTCAGAGAATAACTAAATATGTTATAAATACTGATGTTTTGTTTTTTTGAAGAACAACATTTACTCTAAATTTCGTACAGTGATATAAATGCTCAAGTTTTGTGACATCTCATGTCTACTATAGTCTCAATCATTGATAACTCTTGTATCTCATTGGTGAATTGTGATAGACAAATCTTTATACAAAACATTGGTGCCTATCAAACTTACATTAATGTTTTCTGGACACACTTTCATAACTTTTCCGGTCATTTCTTCTTGTAAAAACATAGCTGCTACCCGTTGTTGTATACAGTGTCCTCTATGACCAGGGGGAAGTAACTGTACCAGATAAACACGATTATGATGATGTCTTGTTATATTGGTCAGTCTTCTACATAAATCAGGAATCTGTAATTAGACAACCGTTGAATCTGATGTATAAATCCTTATTTTTCAATCATCATTTCAATAGAATTTCACACAATAAAAACATGTTATTTTCATTCACAATTTAGTATTTGTGTGGGGGATATTCTATCAAACATTCATATAAATAGAGCAGCAACTAGCATGCTGTACAATCTAAAGAACGTCTCTAGATAACTGCTTTGATGTGAGTGATGTTTTATTTAATGTAAAATTCAACAACATATTGTTAGTTCAGGACAAAAAAATATTAAACAAGATTACCACTCCAGTCCAGGCTGTTTTTGTATAGCATTCTAAAGCTGAGGATATTGCTACTTGAAACTCATAATGACACTTATTACTGAAACATAATATAATAACATTTACATTACATGTGACCAGTTCGCCATAATGAGTAATAAGTCACTGGACATTTATTTCAAATGTGCCATGCAACACAAAATTTTGGTTTTATCATTTTAAGTTCGCAGCATATTTGTTTTTAGAAGTACGTGTAAATAAAAATTAGTTTAATACGTCAATTGCTTACTGCAAAGCCAAAGGTCCAGCATATCTAAATGCAATAATGTTTCAGTAAAAACATTTCTATAATGATCAAGAACTCTTTGTCAAGTTTAGCATGTTATTTGGAATTATTCAATTTTCTTCTCACAAGAATAAATGGTCTTATAGGGATTCATCGGTAGTTGGTAAAACAAAAAATAATTTTGGCTTTGAATTGCATTAGGGTGCATTTGAGACCAATCTACCATTATTGAAGTCATAATATTTTTGAAAGTTTTCCATGGAGTTTAACTTACTTATTTAATGACTTATCTAAGGCAGCTTTGACTAGAATCTCAACAAAAAATGTTATTTCTTCTGTTACCAGTTCAGGTCTACAAAACACATTTTTGAGAAATTGTATTCCCATGCAATTAAATATATGTACAGAGTATGCACTAGATCTTCAGAATCTGTGTTTCACTATTTTTTTTTGTTGTTAAAAACATGAAATTTATGTGACCTCTATATATGTAAGATTGCTTGTACAGGTAATCTGAATTAACACAGCAGTTTCCCTATTCATTCAGTTTCACAAGAATGATATGATTCTCCATCAGATATAATTACACAAAATGTATCAAATTAGATTTGCACATTCTTTTTTAATAGTTGTTAACTTGACAATAGTGATACATTGAGAGCACAACACATACACAATACTTACCTCCCTTGAAGAGCGAACGACAGAGTATCCAAAAAACCAAGTAAATTATCTCTACCAATCAAGTATAACGAATTGTTGTCTGCCTCATTTAAATTGATGTTAACACATGGTTGTAAGGCACTCCTTCAAATTAAATCATATACAAATTATACTAGATGTAATTCATAGGATACTTATTATCCCAAAAAGAATGGTAAAAGAATTTTAAAAATAAGTACAATTGTACTGTACGGCCTAGGAACCATGCTTTGCAACCATCTCCTTGGAGTTGTGACATAAGCTGAAAATCAAAGTCTGTCGATCAATATACAATTGTCAAAGGAACAATCCTGCCAAGTTTGTTGTTGATCGAACTTAAATTGGCGAACAGTGTTGCATTTTCTTAAACTCTATACTTAACTAACATTTATTTCTGGCTGTTTGGGGTTTAATACAAAATTATGAGAAGTTAATGATGTTGATTAAATCTTTATACAAATTTATCATTTTAACAACAGCATCTTGTTTCTGGACACTATTTATCACCACACAGAATGTTTTGAAACTGGCACTAAAACCTCTGTGTTTTGTTCAAACAGTTCATTAAAAAAAAACACTGCCAATATAGTATTTTTGGTGAAATAGAAGCATCGCTAAGTTGAATTGGTACTCAAAATACAAATTTCAGTAAATGCTATACCTGATTTGCTGAGGAGAATAAAAACTTTGATCAGGTAATAAATTTGTTTCTTCGGCACCTAAAATAACCCAAACATTGTATCAAACAACATATAGATTTATGTATTTCTGAATACTCTCTACCTATTTCAGCGTCAGTAAGAACAACCCCACTACCTAATAAAAATAACCCCATCAGCTACTAACAAATTGACAAAATTACAACTGACTGTCAAAGTATTAATAACAAATAACAGCAAAACATGGGAGGTTAAATCAGTTGAAGATCACCCGAGACTCTCATCTGAGTCAACATGTAGGGTTTAGGGGGAGAGGGTATCTTATGCTTCGTCATCTGATGATGCTTTTGCTCTAATACAAGTAACCAGAAACTGTCCATGGATTAAGGAAATTATCTTAATTTGGTATACCCCATGATGAATATTATAATAATATCTACCATAATTGATGAAAATCCTCAGAATATCCAGTGGTTTAGGTGACCAGGAAAAACTATCTGAATCTTGTATTGTTTGTGTCTGGATAATATCCATCAATAGTCTCTGACAGCTATGAACAACCAGACTGTTCTTATGAATTGACACTGAAATAAATATGAATATAGGTAATCAAGCTCACGCCACTCAATTCTAAAATCTCTTTACACCAAAATATAATAATAATAATAATTAATTTATATAGTGCCGACAATTCAACTCAGCGAGCTGCTCTCAGGCACTTTACATAAGTACGACTAATATAACATTACAACAATCACCACAACACATTAATCCATAAAAAAGACATAAACAAAAAACAGAGAACATTATTTAGTACACATGGTAAAAGTCTGACACAAACACAGCTAGAACCATATTCAATCAGTTGTATATTTGCAAAGTTCGGTTTTGAGATACTTTTTAAAACCTTTAACAGAATTTGGCTTTGTTTGATATTGAATTCCATAACTTTGGAGCACCGATGGCGAAAGATCTATCACCGGAGTTGGTTTTTGAAAAAGGCTTAATTAAGAGATTATCTAGTTGTGATAGAAGGGTTCTGCGAGGTTTATTGGTGTTGAGAAGGTCTCTAAGGTATTGAGGTGAAGAATCGTCATTTAGAGCAGAATACGTAATAGACAGTATTTTCAAATTGATACATTGATGGACTGGAAGCCAATGGAGATCTTTCAGAATTGGTGTCATATGTTCATTAGATTTAGCCTTGATTATGATCCAGGCTGCTTTATTCTGAAGTTTCTGAAGTTGTTTAATTTTATTTTCAGGTAGGTTGCACGAAAGTGAATTACAGTAGTCGAGTCGTGATTTAGCCATAGTGTTTACCTGCATTTTAGTCGTGTCACTATCAATGTAAGATCTAATTTTTCCAATATTATAAATCTGAAAATTAATACTTTGACACATGGCCGAAATTTTTTTATTCAAGTCCAATCTAGAGTCAAAACATGTCAACAGTGAGGCTGATGTCCCCAGCCGAAATTCCGAAACACAAATTAATTAATTGCACGTTTATCTTTTTCAAAAGTATTGAGCAATCAAACTGATTATTAACTATACACTAAGTTTCGTCACTCTCTATCAGATAGAATCAAGGTCAAAGAAATTGCTTAGTTCTGTTTAGAATTAGTGGGAAATGTTAATCATTGAACTCAATTGTTTTAATTCACAATGAAACATCCTCAATGACATGTTCCTACATCCTAATTGGGTCGGCAATACATTTGTTTGTGCAGTCTGCTATGGGGGAATTTTACATTGACAGGGGCATTTCTGCCTATCAATACAATCAGATCTGAACATTTGTTAAGAGTCTGAGAATCCTTTTCAGGCAGATTTTCATGTAAAACTTAACTTCCAAACCATGGGGGACTTTTTCCAATTTTTTTTCTAGATTCCTATACAATTTTACTTCTTACTTGTAGGCCATTAACAATTATGAACATGTACTAAATAAAACCCAGTTATCTCATAACAAACATTTTGTCTTTAACAACTTTTAGAGAGTAATCCTAGTTTTATCTTGCAAAAATTGACAAATATTTGGGCTTGAAATGTATATTAAAGCTATTTACTTACTGATATAGAAGAGCCATTTACATATTACTTCAGGACAGGATATTTTATGAAAGCACATAGTTAATATACCACTAGTAAGGAAATCACACAACAGATCTGAAATCAAATATTAAAGATACATTATGTAAGATTTAGATAAAGAGTTGACCATTCTTGCTATAATAGTTCGAAAATAGATAATGTAAAATTAATAATTTGAAAATTTCATTCAAATTACTCTACTGCGAGCGAAGATATTAGCCTTTGAAGGTTTGACAAGACGTGTGCAATAATTTCAAGCACCGTACTGGTTGTTCGAAGCTAAGTCTCGCTCCTCCATTTTTAGCTTAAATCAAAATATGGCTGAACTTTTCTAATATATACTATTAAAAAAAAGTAGGGGATATTTGATTTTTAAGTGTTATTAAAGTCACCTAATGAAACTGACGAAGAAACAAATGACAAAATGAAATGAAGTTCACATTCATCGATTTATTCCAAATGATCGTTAGACTAAGTAAGGCACAGACTGACCATTATAAGGGTAAAATGATACCCGGGGTCAAACAGCAAAGTTACTACAGCATCACAACCAAGTCAGTAACGGGTAAATCCTCCTCTGTTTGCCAAACAAGCATTGATCCGACGTGGCATACTCCTAATGAGACGTCTAAGGTCATTTTGGTCCAGATTGTCCCATTCCTGTTGCAACGCAGCAGCAAGTTCTTGGACATTGGCAGGACGTTGTTGACGTTGACGTAACCTCTGTCCAAGCATGTCCCAGGAATGCTCGATGGTGGAGAGGTCGGGACTCAGTGCTGGCCAAGGTAATGTGGTGATGTTCTGTTGTTGGAGGTAACCTGTAACGATCCTGACCCTGTGACATCTTGCGTTGTCATCCTGGAAGATGAAACGGTGGCCATGACGTCGTGCGAACGGCACAACATGGACTGCCAAGATGTTGTCCCGGTAGTACTGGCCTGTAACACGCCCTGCAACAACATGTAAAGCCGTTCTTCTAGCAACAGTGATGCCTCCCCACACCATAACAGAACCACCCCCAAATCGATCATGTCTGATGACGTTAACGTCTTGGAAGCGCTCGTTTCGACGACGCCACACCCTCCTACGTCTGTCCAAAAAATCAACAGTGAACCTTGACTCATCTGAAAACATCACATTGCTCCAGCGTCGATTATCCCAGTGTTGACGATCCCTACACCAACGACGTCTTGCCTGAATGTGATGATCTCTCAAACAAGGGATCACGCGAGGACGTCGGGCGCGAAGGTGACCCCTATGCAGTCGATTCCGAATCGTCTGGCCACTCACTCTCACACCAGTGTCTGTTTGAAGACGAGCGCTGATCTGATTTGCTGTGATGACACGATTTCTCAAGGCCAAGGTACGGATAAATCGATCCTGGGCTTGAGTTGTCGCCCTTGGTCGACCTGAGCGTGGTCTGTCCTGTACAGATTGTGTATCACGGTATCTTGACCATAGCCTGCTTATGACAGACTGAGAAACATTCATCGTCCGCGCCACAACCGCCTGTGTTGTGCCAATCTGTAGCATGCCAAGGGCACGTAACCTTTCATTTTGGGTAAGCCGACGCATATCAAAATTTGTTTTCTGGTCACTAAAACAATTAAACTGATGTTTCCACCCTGGAATTCAATGCCACAATGACTGTAACATTCAAAGTCAGAGTCGTGCAAATCTTGGGTTGGACCCCCATGATGATCCCAAGCATCACCTGCATTCCATGCGGTAGCTATTGGTGCGTTTGGGCGTCACATGTAACTGGAAATGTTTCTTCTGTTAGGTTCTATAGTGACCTTTTTCGTAGTCATTTGCATATTTTAGTATTATGCTCCCAAAATCAAATATCCCCTACTTTTTTTGAATAGTATATTTAATATTGGAGAAATTCAATGCCATCATGAGTTGATTATGGCCTGGATAAGTTAATTAATGTGTAATTAATAATTTAGAAAACGTTTTAGGCCTAAAGAAAGACCTGCAATAGACAGATTTAGCTCTTGCAGCATAATGTATGTTTAATAACATTAAGGATAAAGTTTGGACAAAAAAACTGTGACTTTTCTCTTTGAATCCGTGCACTAACATCAGCTTTCTTGTTTGAACAATAAAATAAATAATGACAGCAAATAGAAGGTAATTACCTGGTTGTAGATTACTTAAATGTTGATCTATCATTGAATCACCTTTAATAAATCCACACTGTGTAGGACTTAATGATTTAGTAAATAATTGTAGAAATAGCCTTGAGTTAAACACTTGTTCCCCGGGATGAACATTGTATATTACACTCTCTGAAACTTGAAGCTGAAATGAACAAACAAAACAGATAAACTCATTCTATTCTTTTATTTAGTGAGAAATCTAAGACTTTTTACAAAAAATGCTGTAACTAAGAAGCTGGCAAAAAAACCCAGTGATATTAATAACATCGTTAGTTGTATCAACCTTTACTTTCCAAACCAAAAGATCTAAATTAAGGTGATATATCACATTATTCATTTTTAACTTATATTTGATAATAAAACCAAGAAAGATATACCCGATAACATTTTCAACACAATAAATACTATCATTCGTCTCCAACCTATTGATTATACAATTTATTATTGAAAAGAGTAATGGTAGCAGTTTGTTCTTTTTACACAAATATAATAGATTACTTATCAATGAAATATTTGAAACATATTGCCGATACTAGTTATAACTGTGTTCCCTGTTTCCATGGTACACATCTACATGTAAGAGTGATGCATGGGTGGAGTGGGAGGTAATAGTTATTTGTGCATATCTTTGTGCATATCTTCGGTTTATCACAAATTCAATTTGGATTTGATTCCTTGACTAGATGAGGCAAGTAACAGGGTTTTTTTTCTTGACCTCATAAATTTTTTCGCCGTTCCTCCCACAGTTAAAGAACCAGTAAAGAGCCCTTCGAAGAAGTGAACTATGGAAAGTTACCAGAATGACCACATATCATTTCTAGAAAAAGCTTGACAGAATATCAAAATATTCTCACCCTTTCTAATTCTTTTTCTTGTTCAGGCAATAACTGTTCTAAAATCAACAAAGTGACAACATTTTACTATGATAATACAAGAGATAAATGGCATATTAATGTAGTCTAAATATAAACATCCATGTGCCATCAGTTTATCCACTCATGTGCCTCCTCAACAAACATAACCTTTTTTTCAGTTCAATCAAAACATTCATTCGTATGTTGGATATTTCTGTGAGTTTTGTTATGACAATAAAAGTTTATTTTTGTACAGTAAGTAGTCTCAAATACCTGTATCCTTTAAAAAAGAACACAGGTGTGTAAAAATGATATCATTCAACTTGCCATATACGATTAGAATTATACTTCTGAAGACGTAAATTTAAAATCCCTATGGATTATGCCAAGAAATCAGAAGAATAATCAAACCACACAGCCCAAAAGAGTGATTTTAAAATGAGTTATGTAAGCATACTCTAGATTAAGATAGGATAATCTTACTCGCTTTACATTACTTAATACCACTACTCATTTATTTGATTTCACACAAGGAATTCCCACAACTAAATTCAAATAATCAATTTGAGTACATTCCAGCATGGATTAAGCTGGGGATAATCTGACATTAAAGTAGCTAAGTCTCTAACTCAATATTATCCAAAATCTTTGACATTGAAACCACGAATTATTTGTCAAATTAAATCAACATTCATGTTGTGATCTTACCGGAAAAAGATGGGCTTCTGATATCCAATATTTAAGACAAAATAAACATTTTACCATTGGTACACGAATCGTGTACCATAATGTGCTTCAGCCCCAGTTGTATCAAGAGACTCGAGGGACGAGGCTAGACATGTTGCACCAAATCAAACGGCGTATGTAGACTGGAATAACCAGACGCTAGAAATTTGCACTCGCTTGAGACTGGCTTATTTCGCCGAACATAACTGATTTGAAATTGGAGTAAAAACGGAAACCATTGAATGTAAATCAGTTTATATACATTCATATTACAGTATTATACGCATTGCGACCCACTTTTGTCAATTTCTAGGTCCCAAAAGTTAGCGATTTAGCTCCTTTAAAATGTAAATGATGTTATGTAATAGCCATACAAAGCATGGAAATATGCCTATACAGCAGCTATGTCTCTACGGCAGCTTATCCGAAAGGAAAACTTTGATGTGGACAAAAAATTGAATAAGGATCTAGGATGATTTAAGATTGTGTTAAAAAGCCAACTAACCTGCTTGAGCTTCTTCCTCTATAACCTGAACAAATCCACCTCTCATAATATCTTTCTGTATTTAAAAATAAAAGAGTAAAAATATATACAGTTAGCAACATTTTGAATGCTAATCTTGAATTTCAAATGCCCAGTAAAAAAACTGTCCAAAAATTGTTGAGATGTTTCAATATTTTAGGCATAAATAAGCTGGCAAAGTTACAAATATGAGATGTTGCATAGCAACTCTGCAATGATAACATTTTCTGTGTAACACCATTGCAAAAAGACAACTTGTAGACATTTTCTGAGCAATGTCATGCAGAATTTAAACAAACCCACCCCATCCTCTGTGTTTACATCTGAAAGTATAGGTTTGTATATCAAGGGCCATAACTCTGGTAGTAATTATTGGAAAATGTTGAAAATCAAAAGGCTTCTTTATCTCATGATTATAAACAATTCAACACTGTGTGTAAATTCAAAACCAAGCGGATAAGTTTAGTGTTTTAGAGCATTCAGAAGCAATTGGATTCGACAGACGGGTGTGATGATAAAAAGTTACACATACATTATGCAAGAGCTAAATCTGCCTATTGCAGGTCTTTCTTTAGAACTTAAATGTTATATGAACTATTAATTAGACTATAATCAACTCTAGATGCCATCTGATGGGTACAATTTTAAACAGATTTGAAAATGATCTGCCATTCAACGGCTGTTCATGATTAACCGATAATGTGGATAATCGAGACTGCTTATTATCGTAACAACGGTATGACAATCGAGGCTAAAATATTTGTTCAATTCGGTTTTCTTGGCTCAGCATTATTCCCTTTACATGTTCTATTTTTTAACTATTATAGCTGCGACTGTCTTTATCTAATCTCCCATAATGGTCCCTTTAATATTGTTATATAATTAATTTGATCAATATTTTATAGTTGAGATGTCTGTAAAGGTGTAATAAAATTAGTAGAAGTATAGTTTAGTACCATTAAATGAACCTACCTTGAGTTCATTCTGCATTATTAACAAATCATTATTCTTTACTTCTATTTCTTTCTCCGCAAGTAAAGTATCTAGAGAAAATATGGACTTGCTGTTACTAGTAGATTGACTACTTGATGGTACATCATATTCTTTTTCACTATTTGGTGTATATACCCAGTCTTTAATAGGAACACTTAGTTTCTGTAAAAGATCATCATCAAAAATATCATTATTCAAGTTGAATAGACAGTGCAACACTAACTATCGAACAGAAATATAGAGTTGAAGCCAAGATACAATCAAAGGTAGTTTAATTAGAAAATATTTTGGTACACAATTCTAACTGATGTTAAAGCTAAGTTTCTATTGATTTCACACCGCCACATGTTTATATCTTTTAGACCACTTTTACCTGCAAGTCCGATAAGTCTCATTATATATTAATCTTATTAATAATCCTTACGATAAAATATAAGTATGGACTTTGAAATAATGTGAATGATCTGGAATGCAGATATAAAAAATGATTTAACTTGAAGGTTAAATTTAACAAAATAGTAAACCACATTAATCTGCCACGTGACAGGACATTGTTTTTTTCACAAATGAGTCTAGTAAAATGTGGTATCAGGTGTTCAAAGGAATAAGCAGATACTGCCTCATTCAAGACACTGGTCATATTTGGTAGCTATATATACTGCACTATCAGTAAACCTCTCCAGACCCATATACTCAATAAAACTTGAATATGTCACTCATACTTCTATAAATATAAGATGATGACAATTCAATCTTGTTAACTGATATAGGCCATACTAAGGGACTTGAAATAAATGAATCTTGAATCTATCTGTAATATATCTTACTCAATTTTATTTTAAATAAGTTGTTTTATCATACCTCAGCTAAAACTATTGATTCTTTAATACTGATCTTTTCTATAGACTTCTCTGTTCTGAAAACAAATAAAAATATGTTTGCATTATCCTTAAAAGCCAGGAACACCAATAATCTTTTGATGGGCTGCTTTAATTTGATTGGAACCAAACTGGTAGATTTTCTACAATTGATTTTGATTTCTTCATTAATTTTTAAATAAAAAATTGCAAATGACAATCAGCGGCTTTTACGGCATACTTCTGTTAAGTCTAGACATTCAGGAAGTAGCCTAGGTATATTTCTGCTGAATAAAAATGTTATACTTACACAATAGCAGAAGTTGTATCAATATCAGGAACCTGATCTAAATCATCATCATCTGATTTATCTAGATCTAAACTACTTGTTGGTGACATTCCTAGACATAGGGAATCTGTAATATAACAGATAAACATTCACTGAACAAAATTAAAATGTCAATATAAACCAATTTTGATACTTATATCTGGTGTACGAATGTATTCCTAGCTTAATTACCTGGCTGTTGTACAATAACGCAATAATCATTAATTGTCAATTTCATCATTATATAGTGCACCAAATACTAAATAAATAGCACCGCAAGCTGAAACATTTCGTTCAACTGTTTGATTTCCTATATAGAGATAAAACTATCTATTCCAATGACTTCTTGAGCCATCCATAAAGTAAGATTTTTAGAAGTAAAACAAAATGAGACATTGTTTTTTTAAAAAATACATCTAACAAAACTTACCATCAGAATAATATCCATCTTGAGCTATGGGTGTTACAACATCATTAACATCCTCATTCCCATCATCAACATCAGAAGATTTTGCTGTAAAAAAAAAACCCAACAAACCTAACAACATAAATAACAGTCGATACTGGTTCATTTTGCAGCTACCAATAATACTGGGATGTGAGTCATGCCATTAATACAGTGATTCTCAACCAGTGTGCCGCAAGAGCTTCCTAAGTGTCCTGCGGAATTTTGAACGGCACTCTAAGAAAATGCGAGAAACCACATGATCCCAATTGAGTATTCACTGGTGTCTATTGATACGTTCATATCTGTGTCAGTCTATGTGTCTATGACTAGTCTCTGTCTACGGTTGTATGACTTGCCATGTTTTTATTTTGCAAAATTCAAATATTTTTCATATGCGTTTAGCCAGGTGTGCCGCTATGTTTTCATGTCTTCCAAGGTGTGCTGTTGGCAAAAAAATGGTTTGTGAACCACTGCTTTAATAGGTCAAATATATTGTCATTATCTAAATTTAATGGATGTTATGCCTGAAAGTCATTAATTTATATAGTAACTTTAATAAACTGAGACTAGAACTGTGATGCAAATGAGACTTGTCAACCGAAATCGAGAAATATCGGTTACATTTATATATTGGTTACCATTTGTTACATATGCCATTTATTTTCATGGTCTGAGTGATAATGCCTCTTTAAAAAAGATACCAAATAAACAGAGAAAAACTAATTTTTCGTAATTTATACCTGGTACAATTTGTTCTGAGATTTTCTTAGACCAATCTTCAGATTTTTCTGGTGTAACTGGTGTCTCAAAATTTAGAAATATTTCTGCAGGTGGCTGTATCTTTTTGGGGCTGACAAGGCTGTTGTCTGCTTTCGCTTTCAGACGGGGAGATTTGCATAAATTCCTTTTGAAATCATCGAGTCTGGAATGTCTTATGATTAGTTTATCACTCAGTTTTTCTGGGGTTTTGAATTGTTCTGTTACATCTAGGGAGACAGACTGGTTCAAGGTTCTGGTTTGACTATCATTTGTCATATCCACACAGTCCCCACCTGCTAAATATTTCAATGGTGTTACCCTAGGTAGATTGTCCGAGTCGCTTGACTTCTGGGGTGATTTCAAACCTAAAACAAGAGATAAGCTACATGAGCATACAAGAATCAGACTTAAAGCAGCTAATGCTTTTTGATTTTTGTGAAAATAAAGTGATCAATTGGATTGATCTGATTTATTGTTTCGATTAATGACAGGTTAATATAGCAATTTTTATTTGCAATAAATCATTTTGAATATTTATTTTCTGAAGCATACAAGATAAACACAAAGAATAAGGCCATAAAAAATTAAATATTTTGGTTCTCAATCTTTTCAAAAAACCTGATGCAAGAGGTAGATTTTGGTTTTTGTGTTTTTATTTTGTCAAACGGTCACTCCTGGGCTAAAGGCTAAATGACTTCTCATAAACATCATGTTTCAAGGCACTATGTACATTTATTTATTGTTCAATGTGTGTGGTTATCCAGTATAATTTATGATTGTCTATAACATTTATCAGGGTTGCGTATTTGATATTTGAACCAATGGTACATTTCCGGAGCATTCAATTTTTTTTTTATGGAGTTACTTCCTGTAACCTGGGGAAAACATTTACGTGTGGTAATTAATTAATCAAACTGTTTCTACTTTTTATCTAAGATAAAAACAGGTCATGCAGTCCTGTTTAAGTGGTGCAGGATTTTCTGAGAACGAGAACATTTTTTTATCTGGTCTAATGACTATAATTATTTATAATAGCTCTTTCAAGCAGTATATATTTTTTTCTTAGAGATGTTGTTTATATGTAGGTGGTACTGACATCAGTGGTTTAGCTATGACTATGTCCAGTGCATCATTGATTATTTAAATGCATGCCACCTAAAACAGTTGTTATATATGGGATTGTAATAATAACGTTGAAAGTATCTCAAACCGACCATCATCAACTAGATTTTCAAACAAGTCTAAACTTTGATAAACATGAGCGAGCACCATTAGACATTTATTCAGTATATCTGATGGGATTGGGAAACTGGCTTAGTCTATGTAAAACCCCTCTTCTTAGATTGATTGAAAAGATATAAATAGTAAGAGAAAGAATGAAAAGATATGCTTATATTATAATATTTTATAATATAGATCTAACTACTAGAGTGTATCTTAATATAGCAGATTAATACTAAGAAAGATGATTGTTGATATAATATATGGAATTTTGGATAAAAAATATATTAAATTTGGAGTGTTGGCTGCTATGATAATTCTTTTTCAATTTATACAAGCACTTGCACAATTTATAAATACACATTTTACCTACAGTCTTCCGCCACACTGCACTGATGTAGATATAACTATAATAGGGGATAAAAAGGCGCAGGTGTATCAATGATGAGGATTCAACGAAAATAAGGGGTTAAAGAAGTGTAGAAACACCACTGATACAAATGTACCAGTTATAAAGGTAATAAAGAGATGCAGAAATTTCACAAATGTAGATTCAACCTTAATAGGGGGGCAGAAAAAAAAGAGAGAGAACGTCACTGATGCAGATTCAACTGTAATAATGATCGTTTAAAGGCTAAAATTATAACATGTTTTAAATTTTGAAATCAAGTATTATTTTAAAGTTATTCACACATGCTTTGCGCTATATTAAAAGCATATGACAGCTAGTACAATATCTAAAGATTATATATATCTATATGTATAACAACAGAAACTAATACAAGCTAGAAATCCTTCTATCTACTACAATAAGTAAAAATAATATTCAAGGACTCCCAAATCCAGCCCTATGAACTAGTAATGCATATATCAGTAGTACTTCTACAAACTACTGAAGTAAAGAAATATTCTAAATACTATTTTTGCAAGCTGAAATGAAAATGAAATGAAATGGGGTTTCAGGTCCTACTTTTCTGTTCCATCCTGTATATGCATTGCAGTGTGCTACATCAGCACTACAGGTTACTCTTATTTAGCATTCCAAGGGTTCTTTTATGTGTGCGCCAACAGGTAGGCAGAAACACTGGTGTCCAGGCTAAGTTTCCTTCATAGCACACTGCATTATTTATGCCCAATTTAATTAGCACAGTTGGAATGTTAAACCCGATTTTATTTCATTTCATTCATTTCTAAAGAATTTAATTACCGGTAACAGCATTGGTGATTTTATGCAATCAAAACATTTTAAAAACCACAAAAGAATAACTTGCATATCTGATTGATCAATATTTATGCATTATGGTATTACCCCAGGTACTAGCATTACCAAAGAATTGTGTGCAAAAAACATTATGTCTGACCAAGGTTGGAAATAAACACAAATGTCAGTGAACACTTAAGAACAGTTGCATATTTTATAGCATCCTCTTTATTAAATCATAAAATTTGACTCCAATTCTCTCAGAAATAGATATTGAAAGGCTCAAGTGCAAGTGTATTCAAAATACAGTTCAAATGATCACCCCAGTGCATAAAATCATATTTTTCTCAACGAATACACACCAAAAATAATCAATATCTGGGTTACAAGTCTGCAAAAAAGATTCATTACACATTATTAACAAGAAATAAATCTTGAAAGTGAACCTTTCCTCGATAATGACACCATAACAAAATATATAAGATTCCTTTTATGACATTATATTCTATAGCAGAAGTTTAACTAGATTGCTCTAGGACCTCACAAAAAGATTGTTCCCAACATTATTTGCATATAACAATTTATATATTACAGATTTCCGAAAATATAAGCTCTATAGAAATTGCACTTGAAATTAAAAAGAGAAAACACAGTATTAACACAAAGAGTCAAAAGTCGCTTTAAAAAAATTAGTAATAACTATTTACATGATTAAGTGCTGGCAAAATACTTTACTAATGTTTCAACTATTTTTTAATTTGATACTTACTGGAAGATAAGCTTTTATTCTGTGCTGTGGTATTGGTTCCTCTTGGTTTCAAAGGGATATAATCATCTATTCTTGTAAGAACAGGCATCTCATTAGGATTATCATAAGATGGTTCTTCACCACTAAGTTCACCTTTAGTCAAATCTGGTATAATATCCATGTCCTCTCTTCCAGTTATTGTACCCAAACTCTCACCTTCCACCAAACCTTCAGTCTTTTGTTGTGATACTAAACCATCTGTCCTTTTATCATCTGGCATTTCATTGGTACAGTTTGATGAATAAACCGATGGAGATCTATGCAACAGTCCCTTTGTTACACTTGTCAAACTTTTGGAAGTTATCTTCCGTATGTTTTTATGTGTTTTTAATGTGAACTTTTTGGACTTTGTCTTAAATGATGTTGAAAGTTTTAGTTTCAATCCTGTTCTTTTATATTCATTGTCTTCTTTCCCATCTGTTTTTGATGGATGTTCAGATGTATCATTAATAGATGCTGCGTTAGCTCTCTTACATTTAGTCTTAAATTTCCTTTTACATTTTTTCCTCTCTTTATCTGTAGACTCAATTTCGACCATCGCACTGGGTGTTTCTGTCTTGTCCTTTTGGTTCTTATCTAAAGCTGCTGTATCAGTAGGAGTACATTGTTCTTTGAAAAGTATAGGATTTTCATTTATTTTAGAATATGTAGCCATGGAGTCATGATGGTGGTTCTGCAGGTACTCACCAGTTGTAGACAAAGATACTTCTTTTATAGGATGTAAGCTTTTTTCAGATTCATATTGAGTTTGCAGGTTTGTTTCACTGACTTCAAATATTTCACTAGCGGAAGATTCTACCATCTTGCTTGATGGAGACTTTACATCCTTCATTATAAAACTAACTATATCATACCTTGCCTGATCAGTTTCCTTCGATCCATCTGCTTCTAATTCTAATTTGCCACTACCGATTGTGTTGCCATTATCTGGTGCAGGAATGACTGGGTTACAAAGTTCACTAGTGGCAGAATCATGCAATTTTTCCAATGAATCGTTAAATATTTCTGTTTTAGGGGGGTTTAGATCACTGGATTTATTTGATTGTTTTATTGAATCTGAGTTTGCTTCTCTAAACCTTCTCCGTCCAACTGTTGAAAAGGCTGATTGCTCCCCTTTTTTCCATGTCAAATCCTTTATCACATTTGCAACAACAGAAACTAAATTTTTTCCAGCAATCTGACTAGGTTTTCTACTTTCATCTTCTTGTGAAACAGTACATGTTGAATACATTGATTGATTCTGCACAATATCATCCTGATGAACCGACAATTTTTCATGGACTTTGAAAATATTTGCTGCATTTCCAATATTTCTATCTGCTTCTGGCTTACGGTTATCTTCATATTTATTACCACCTCTTTCATCTTTACATCTTCTTGTTCTACTTTCTTCATCCCATCTCCTTGATCGACAACCTTTCTTAACATCTGTCGCTATATTAAGATCATTTTTCTGAATTGTGCTACTGTTACTCTTGATATTCATTTTGCTTATCTTTCTTTTATAAACCTGATTCCATCTTGATGCTTTATTTGGGGAACGCATTGGACCACTTTGAACAGTTATGTTTGCTTTATTAGAAGAATGCGTAGGACTTCTTTGAACAGTTATATTGTCATTTTTATGTTTTATATCAACACTTTCACATTGGGAATCCTCCATTTCAGGTGAATGGCTGAAAATCGAAATTTTAGCAATGTCAAGTATGTTTTTTGAAACTAAGTCTGCAATGATATTAGGTCCACCTGATACATCATCTGATTGGGGGCTGTCAGTGTAGTTAAATACCTTAATTGATGGAACATCTGGTACATAGAGAGTATTTGAATTCTGGAAATCTTTTTGAAGATTATTACTTGTATCATTATCTGCATCATCATTTGTTTCAATAGATTGATCATCCTTTTCAAATCCTTTAAATGTTTTCTCTGATGGAAGAGGAATGATGAAAGGAACTTTGAAAACTGGTGACACACATTTTGCCTCAGGTATCGGTTTTATCATTTCTTCTGTAGTGATTTCAGATGATTTTCTTTTTGAGCAATCATCCTCTTCTGGAGACCCTGTTTTATGTAATGATTTGCTTGAAGTATCTGAGTTATCAATATTATCATCCCCTTTACTGATCTGTGCAAAAGGATTACTAGATAGACCTCTTCTGCTATCATATTCTGCCATATCTTGGCAAAAAATTTCTGCATATTTTCTTACAGTAAAATTTGCACTTCTTTGCAGAATCAATTCTGGATCAACAGCTATTGTCTTTTCAACTTCAGAAGAACAGTCTCTGGATTCAACATTTATACCTAGTTTATTTGGAGTAGTAGATGGTAGAAGTTTTTTGCTATTGTAAGTTTCCATATCTTGGCAAAATAGGGTAGCATATTTTCTTATACCTTCCCTAGATGCGCGCCTGGAAGTACAAATTTCATTTTCTTTTTTGAGAATATCATCAGTGCTTATTGGATTGGCAGAGACGTACTCGACTTCCTTGTCTAATATACTTTCTTCCAAAACAATGGTCTGAACTGTCGTTGAACTCTTCTTCAAATCAATGTCTGATATATGTGCATTAACGATTTGGTTTTTTTCAATTACAGAATCCCCTTTATCATTCTTTGGTAATGAGTTCACAAATTTCTCTTTCTGGTCAGCTGGAAAGGTTGTAGTAGTACACTTAGTAGAGGGATTGATTCCTGTATTACTTGTTTCAGTTTGTCCAGAGTTATGAATTGGCTCTTGACAAGGTACTGAAAGGATTTTGACATCAATGCTCTTTTCAATGCTCTTCATTGGAGATGGAGTCAGTTCATTCTCAGAAAGCGCAACCTTACATAATTTCATACTGATGGCATCAGTTACTGTTTTCATACTGATGGCATCAGTTACTGTTTTCATACTGATGGCATCGGTTACAGTTCTTTTAGGAACTTTGAATTTTTTAAAAGTGGTTTTAGGCACTGATTTTTTATCACCATCCCTATATTCTTCAAACTCCTTACTTTCAGGAGCCTTTTCAGATGAAGTTGAAGTGATGATTGGCGCATTAACGATTTGTTCTTTTTCAATTACAGTATCACCTTTATCATTCTTTGGTAATGAGTTCATAAATTTCCCTTTCTGGTCAGCTGGAAAGGTTGTAGTAGTACACTTAGTAGAGGGACTGATTCCTGTATTACTTGTTTCAGTTTGCCCAGAGTTATGAATTGGCTTTTGACAAGGTACTGAAAGGATTTTGACATCAATGCTCTTTTCAATGCTCTTCATTGGAGATGGAGTCAGTTCATTCTCAGAAAGCGCAACCTTACATAATTTCATACTGATGGCATCAGTTACGGTTTTCATACTGATGGCATCGGTTACAGTTCTTTTAGGAACTTTTAATTTTTTAAAAGTGGTTTTAGGGACCGATCTTTTATCACCATCCCTATATTCGTCAAACCTCTTACTGTCAGGAGCATTTTCAGATGAAGTTGAATGTACAATTGGTGTATTGTCATGAGATGAGATGTCATGAGAAGGATTCTTTTCAGATTTTCTGTTTTCTTCAATCTTGGAAATTATAACAGATCTAAATGCTTTACCACCGGGATTCTTTTTTAAACTATCAGATTTGACATTATCTGAGTTTTTCCTGTCATTTAATTTTTCTTTACTTGAACAAATAATAGATTTTAGGCAAGATTTTTGCTTATCATCTTTTATTTTACTAGAAAAATTAGACACGTTCCTAGATATTTCTGTAGGTTTTTGGTCATCTTCAGCAGTTGCAATGCTCTTCACTTTTACATATTTCTTAGGTGCAGCTGTTGCAGTACTTGAAATTTTCACAGTTCTGTAAGGACTCCTATAATAGTCTATTTCAGAAAGACTTCTCCCATAATCATCTTTCTTTGAAGAACTAGCTACGAAGTTGCTATGGTCACTGGTACTGGGATCACTGGTAGCTGGTTTTCTGCTGTATGTTACATCCTTGACATTTTTAACATTATATTTAATTGGGATTGGTTTTAATTTGGTATCTATTTCATTCCTTTTTCTTTGATCAATATGACAAAAAAGCTGTTTTTCAACTTCGCTTTCATTGATTTTATCAATGAAGAAATCTATAGGACTTTTTCGGGACTTTTGTCCCTCACATTTGCCAAGAAGATAATCTATTGGACTTCTCCTTGATTTTTCTTTTTCAAGCTCTACATGACGCTTATCTATATGGTCCATTTTTTGAGAATCATGGCCTCTTCCTGAAGAAATGGTAGGACAATAGTAGTCATGTTTATCTTCCCTACAAAAATGAGATCTGTATCTTGATGATTTTTCAGGACTGCTTTCCTTATTATAATTTGTAGAATTATACTTTTGTCTATAATTACTTATCTCTTTTCTATCCTTTTCATAATTCGGTGAGCTAGGCCTACTTTGTTGTCTTCTATCCTTTTTATAATCTGGTGACGAACTTTGCCTTCTTCTATCTCTTCCATAATCACATGAGGTACTTCTTTTTTTATTCTTTTCGTGATCATGTGAGGTACTTCTTCTTTTATTCTTTTCATAATCATGTGAGGTACTTCTTCTTTTATTCTTTTCATAATCATGTGAGATACTTCTTCTTTTATTCTTTTCATAATCATGTGAGATACTTCTTCTTTTATTCTTTTCATAATCATGTGAGATACTTCTTCTTTTATTCTTTTCATGATCATGTGAGGTACTTCTTCTTTTATTCTTTTCATAATCATGTGAGGTACTTCTACTTTTATTCTTTTCATAATCAGATATGTTTTGTCCCCTATTTCTATTATTTTCATAACGAGGTGAGGTACTTCTCTTTCTTGGATCCTTTCCACAATCAGGTGTAGTACTTCTCTTTCTTCTATCCTTTTCACAATTAGGTGGGGTAGTATTCTTACTTCTATCATATTTAGAATTACGTGAGGTACTTCTCTTTCTCCTATCCTTTTCATAACCATGTGAGGTACTTTTGCATCTAACCTTTTGGTAATCAGATGATGTTCTTCTCTTTCTTCTATCCCTCTTGTGATCAGGTGAAGTATTTTTCTTTCTTCTTTCATATTTGTAAACAGGTAGAGCACTTCTCTTTCTTCTATCCTTTTCGTGATCAAGTGAGGAATTTGTGATTTTTCCGTCCTTATAATCAGGTGAGGATCTTCTCATTATTCTATCCTTTCCATAATCTGGTGATGTACTTCTACTCATATCCTTTTCAGTATCAGATGAGATACTTCTAGTTTCACTTGAAGTGTGGCTTCTTGCATCAGACTCATCACTTGAATAATAAGATCGTTTTGCTGTAGATGATGAGGACCTGCCTGAGTATGAATAATGTTTTTTTCTGGATCTAGTATAATACTTGTCCAATGAACATTTTTTCCTCATATAAAGATCAATATCTTCATTTGATTCAAACAGCCTTCTACCTGCATCATCACAGACCACTTCGGATCTTTTATCTTCAGATGAATGACTTTTTGATACTTTCCTTGAAATGAGGGTTTCTCTACATAGTTCTTCATCTGAGGAACTACTACAATTCTTACTGTTATTTCTTCTCTGACTTCTATCAGATTTTGTAGTATTTGGTCGGGACATAACTGAAGGAATTATTTTTGGTTCTAAAGCATTTTCTCTTGAGCTATTTGATTCACTTCTACCCTTTATTTGAAAGGAAATTTTGTTGGGACCAAGACAATGGCTTATGTTTATAGACTGTTTGTTGGGTGACGAAGTACTGTCCATGGAGGTATTTCCACTAGAAGTCTCCATCAACTTAAATTTCGGAGATGTAGTATGTGTTAAAGGACTCTTGAAAGGACTCTTTTTTTCATTCTGCTTGGGCGAATTGAAAGGACTGTTTTTTTCTTCCTTCTTGGGGGAACTAGAGTCTAAACTAGTATCATTTTCCTCCAAATCTATTACCATGCCAATTGTTGGTGAATTCTTATCTTTGAGAAATAGAAATTCTTCATCTGAACTTGCATGTGTTTCCATATCATCGAAATCATTAATCAATTGTCCAATAGTTGATTTGGGAGCTTCTTTATATTTATGAGACGGATTTGCATATTTATAGTTATTCTTCTGCACAACAAATGGGACTGTACTGACAACAGTATTGAGATTTGTATTGTTTTGGGTTATATTTTTTTGGCAAACAGGTTTGACTAGATTGGAATGTTTATTTGCAGCTTGAGCTTTTTGGGGTAATTTTGCCTGCAGTTTCTTCTCTGGGGAGAGTAAACTATTGGTACAGGTTTTTACAGTGTTTTTTGAAGCTTCCACAATTGCATCTTCTTCATCATCAGATGAAATATGTATTACAGAATGCTGGGCAGAATCAGAAACATTTTCTCTTGGGGCTTGTTTCACGTTCTGTAAAGGATTTCCAGAGAATATGTTCAAAACTTTAGACTGTTCATTTATCGATGCATGGTTTTGATTGGTATTTGTTGACTTTCTTTCACTTGTTTTGCTACTAGTATCTAAAGAACTGCTATTGATGATAACTGAATGCTCATTTACTGACATGTCTGGATAAGTTATCCCGCTCAATATATTTCCACTACCATTCTCTTCAATCTTATCTTTTTCTGTGTGTAAAGCCAAAGGGTGATGTTTTTCCTTATTTTTATCTTTTCCTTTTTCATCGTAAATTTTAGGATATTCATTCGATTCATGGTCATGTAATGTAGCATTTTTTGATTCTTTGACATGTTCATTATCTTCTTTTGATTTTCTGCCACACTGTTTTTGGTTTTTCTTTCTTTCTTTGTCATTCATTTCCTGATCTATCTTTGATTGTTTGTCATGCTCTTCTTGATCTGTCTTTGATTGTGTGTTATGCTCTTCTTCATTTTTCTTTGATACTTTCTCTATCTCTTCTTGGTCTTTCTTTCTTTCTTTGTCATGCTCTTCTTGATCTTTCTTCAATAGCTTGTCATGCTCTTCTAGGTTTTTATTTGACACTTTGTTATTCTCTTCTTGGTCTTCATATAATTGTTTGAACTGAGCATTCTTGGGCTCAAACTGATACTGATCACCAAGTACACATTTTGGATGGTCTTTATTCCACAAATTTTCAATCAGACTTTTATGTGGTTCTGCAATAAGCTTAAGGTTTTCACCCACACCTGGTCTTTGATTCTTATTCAAAAGAGGCAGGTTATTAGATTTATTATTATCTACTGCTTTTGGAGTTGAACTTGAGCTATTAAAGTGTGTTCTTGTTGTTGCTGAAAACGTATTTGTTGACCATGACTTATAACTAGTGCATTTAAAACGTCTTAGAGGGGTAAACTGTGTTCTGGGCCTAAATATTGGTTGGCTTTGTGGTGGTGTAATTTGTGGTGGTGATAGTTGATTAGGTGGGGACTTTTGGAGAAATGGTCTTGCAGAAAACCTTGTTGGAATGTGAGGTATTGGTGAACTGTGTCTTAAGCTATGTTCCCATTCTAATCTAGGTTGATCAACAACATGTAATCTTTCCACTTGCGAATCTGATCTAGGATGATCTACAACATGTAGCTTTTCCACTTGGGACTCTAATCGTTGCAGTTCCTGTAAGGTGTGTCTTTTTTCAATTTGAAATGCTTGTAGTTGATTCCTATCTTGTACTGAGTATGGCTTAAAATGGACACTTCTATCTCTCGTTCCATAAACTGAATTCTGATTCAACTGTGGTCTTTGTTCCATTTCTCTGTTTGGAAATGGTTGTGAATTTGGATAGAAACCCCTTTGAAAACAAACATTCTGTTGATGGTTCATAGGCATTGGAGTAAAATTTGGATTTAGTTGTGGGTTGTATCTCGGCATGCGTTGATTACCATATTGACTCACAAAATTAGAATGTCTCTGATTATCTGGGATTTGGATTTGATTCCGATAAGCAAATTCCTTCAGTTCGAATCTCTTCATCTTGGCTCTAAAGTCTTAACTGTTTGATTATTTAGTATAAATACCTAGAAAAGAGATCAAATATATTCCCTGCACCCCCTCTTTCCACAAATAGTTGTATCCAAGTTATATTTTGGGTAGCTTCTTCCCAAATCCAAAAATGTCAAATTTCCCAATTTTGGCGACAATATTTTACACTAATCACATTATGTCTTTAATAAGTATTAATAAATCAATGTTAAGTATGGTGTAAATCAAATTGTAATTTAAATGAAAGTTTTAGTTTTTTCTTTGGTGTTATAATTATTTTTCAACCTATTTGTGAATGTCACAAAATACTGAATTTCAACCAACGGTTGCCAGGCATGACACGCCCACATTTTGCAAGAGATGGACAGATAAAAGCTAAACAAAAACGTGATTTTTTGTACAATCAGGAGCCATAATCAAGTTACGGTCTGATATGCATGAATATTGAAAGGAACCGAGATCTTTTGGATATAAACATATAATTCAAGTTTCATCAAGATTGGATAAAAGCTGTGACTTCTAGAGGGTCCACAACCTTGGTATTACATACTTTTACCATATTTGCATACAAGTAGCAGCCACTGTGTCAAGCAGTTTCGGTCCAATTTGCACAAGATTTGAACTCAACCATCATTAGTGTGTAACGGGGATATACTTAAACAATATTTTTTGATCAGATAAAAATTATGACCTCTAGAGGTTCCACAAGGTAAATAACGTGATTTTTAGTACAATTTTGAAGACATAATCCAGGAATTTACAGTACGATATGGGCAAATATCGAAAGGAACCGAAATCTTTGGGTTACAAACATGCATTTCAAGTTTCATCAAAATCAAATCAAAATTATGACTTCTAGAGGATCCACAACCTTGGTATTACAGTAGAATCTGTATGAGCAGCCACTCCTATTCAGCGACATCTCCTTGTAAGCGGTCACGATAAATTCCCCCCGTAGAAATTCTGTTGTTTCATCTCTTTATTCAACGGTCACTCCTCTAATGCGGCCAGCGGTCACTATTTTACTAATAAATTCAACAAAACATAGCCCATTCAACGGCCATTGTTGAATGATATCATCTTATCTTGTCGTTCTTTGTAACACCCCCGCTAATCCCGTGAGTAGTAGTTAATTAACTGGACCCCCACTGATCAGGTAAAAAGAAATGTAAAAATAACAATCAACCCGGGATTATCTGTTAATTAATCTTTTGTTTTATTAAACGACTAACCTGATCATTGTTTTCACGCGTAACGACACATTATTTGATACTGATTGTATAAAATAAAAGTACCGAGTTTTGTCACGATCATCTAGTATCTCTCTTAGCACCTCCTATAATATTACATACAGAGTTACACCCCCTGTAAATAGGTCATGAAATTAGCGATGTTTTTTTTGTCCATGTGCTTTTTTGATAAAATAAAATGAATTCATCGATTTTCTTCACAAAAATGGATAAATATTATGGAATGCATCACAATGGTAGACAGTAGTATCAAAGGTTGGTACAAAATGACAAGTTTACAGAAGTTATGTCCGAGATTTGAGTAAAGAATTTTCGTTCGGCGCTAGATTCGGCGACGGTCAAATTTACCGCTTCCAATGCATTCAAGCGTAATATTTAATTTATGTCAAAACAAAAAGCACCAAGATTTTATTAAAAGGCCACTCCCGTTAAGTTATGTCCGAGATTTGAGTAAAGAATTTTCGTTCGGCGCAAGATTCAGCGACGGCCAAATTTACCGCTTCCAAGCGTAATATTTAATTTAATATTTATGTCAGCACAAAAAGCAATGAGATTTTATTAAGAGGCCACTCCCGTTAAGCGGTCAGTTGTGAAAATTCCCTTGGGTGGCTGCTTAATGCAGATTCTACTGTACATACTTTTAGACTACTTGAGTACAAGGAGCGCCTATTTTGTCCGGCTGTTTCGGTCGGATTTTTACGGAATTTGAACTCAACCTTCACTGAGCTGTAACAGATTTTAAATTCAAATACAAATTATGACTTCTAGAGAGACCATAAGCTAAAAAAAACCCAAAAAACGTGATCTTTTGAACAATCAGGAGCCATAATCCAGGAAGTTACGTTCTAATATGCATGATTAATGAAAGGAACCAATCTTTGTGATATAAACATACATTTCAAGTTTCATCAAAATCGAATAAAGGGTCCACAACCTTGGTATAGACTATTTGCGTACAAGGAGCGGCCATTTTGTTTGGCAGCTTCAGTTGGATTTTTCTTCGGCAGTTTCAGTCAGATTTTTATGAAATTTAAATTCAACCTTCATTGATGTGTAACGTGACATATTTAAACGTGTTTCAAAATTCTGACCTTTAAAGGGTCTACAAGCTAAAAACGTGATTTTTCAAACAATCAGGGGCCATAATCCTGGAAGTTACATTCCAATATGCGAATTGAACCAAGATCTTTGTAATATAAACATAAATGTAAAGTTTCATCAAAATCGGATCAAAACTGACCTCTAGACAGTACACAACCTTGAAATAACATATTTTTCCTTTCCCCTATTTGTGTTCTAGGAGCAGTCATTTTGTCTTGCAATTTTGGTCAGATTTTCACGAAATTCGAACTCAACCCTCATTATGGTGTAACGGCGACATAATTAAACAGTTTTTTAAATCAGATAAAAACTGTGACCTCTAGAGGGACCACAAGCTAAAAACACACTTTTTCCTACAATCAGGGGCCATAATCCAGGAAGTTAAGGTCCGATATGCGTGAAAATCAAATGGAACCAAGATCTTTGGGTTATAAACATACATTTCATGTTCCATCAAAATCAGATAAAAATTGTGACCTCTAGAGTGTCCACAAGCTAAAAATGTGATTTTCTGTACAATCGCATAGGCCAAATACATGAAGTTACGGTCTGATACATGCCAATATTGTTAGTTTTTTTTTTTATCAAATTTGCACCATTTGATACCAACTGGCTGCGTTTATAGGCATCCAATTAAAAATATTCGTGGTAACTTGAAGTGATGTCATTTCAGCCAAAACTGTATTTCTAACCTTTCAGACAAACTTTTTTTTCCAAATTATTATTTGTTTAAATTTAAACTATTTCACTGCCTTCATTCAACAAATAGCACAAATCAATGCAAACATTGTTTCTAACTTGAGTCCAAGTTCTTTTGCCTGTAACAGAGCTAATTATTATCAGATTTAATCAACTTTTCACCATTTGATGCCCAGTCATAATATTCAATCAATAAAAACATATCATTATAACCGGCAGTTACTCAGTTATGACTGTAATTTTTACCTTTAAAACATTATTTTCAAGCAAGTATTATTCGTTACCCTTTAAGAATATTATTTATCAACTTTATTCAGATAGTATCAGATACGATCAAGCAGACGTCACAAAATAATCCATTGCTGAGAAATATCCAATGTCCCAAGAGTCATTTTTTACGATTTTCACATGTTAAAATGTCTTCATTAATCGTTATTTGGGATCCATTTTTAAAAACCTGTGGCCTAATTTTTTGGAAATTTGTTGGCACGAGAAGTGGCATCACTTTAAGGAAACTGGTGAAACCTGTCATAGCTGCATCTAGTTTCAATTAGTTTTTGTTTTTACAGGCAAAGTGGAATTTTAACAGTTATACAAGTTTTTAAAGAACTTACTAATGATGATGTTATGAGGAAAGAAGAACACTATCCTATAATACAAACCAATGAAATATTTCGATCTCCCACCATCATCAACAGCTATGGATGAAAGGGCATTCTGAGTTCAAAGTTCAGACGGGAACATACATATCGATTTTCTTTGTTTTTTTTAGCAAAAAATGAGACTGACGGATGCTCAGGCCCCTAACAGATGCGAGCTTTCTATTAGGAATGTCTGCTTGCGTCACGTCAAAGGTAGCGCGCGAAGATTGAGCACTTGATGTACATGCTGATAAACTTGATAAAGGGTTAAATGTACAACACTTTCTGAGATAACAACCATGGAAACAGATGTGGGCGGTGGATAATCCGAGAATATAATTATGCTGCGATATTTATGATTTATGGATAGCGATAAAAGACAACATTGCTTATGTATGCAATGAATTCTCCTCTTGCTTTGCACCCGTTGCTAGGTAGTGTGTCACGTAAGTCACGCAACACAAACATGACTTCTTTTAATAGATTTTTATATAGTAGGGGTATTCCCTCGCGAAAATAGTTTTGAGAAGAATTTGAAGCAAAATTTTGATTGATTAATTAGTTTGAATATGTTTTTAGTCCAAATACATCATAAAATCACCCAGTTTGTACGCGGTAACATATCTATAATTCATTTAGTCGCTGATGCATAATTTTGAGACCTACTACAGTGACTCCACTTATTTTTGAGACCCACATTCAGACTCATGAATAATTTATGCACTATATAAGAAATTAACGTAATCAATTAACCTGGACTAACCAAACTAATAAACCTACAAAATGACTTATTATTTCTATAATAATCAACAAATTACAGTGTGTAAAGTGAAATATGAAAAACATATTTCCCAAATTTCAGTACCCTGGAGTCTAATCACGAAGCACCTTGGATAATTCATGTAATTATCTTATATCTGTTAATTTGAAATATTGATATAATATACTGCAAATGAATTTATTTTCTTAAATCATCCAATCGAAAAAATTGCCAACAGTATTATTTTCAAAAAGCACTGGTTAGACAGACATACTTACCAGTACTGGTATCAAATACTTTTGTTTAACTTTGATATCCAAAATATTAGCAAACAATGCCACATATGGACATGTCATTTAGCAGTTCAACAAAATCATGTCAAATCCAGGACAAATTTTATTGTTTGGTGGTGACCGTAGAAGAATGCTTACTTTTCCTTCTTTCAATTCAAAAATATTAATCCAATAACAATGCATGCATGCAATTGTACATAAAAATCTACTGTATACATGTATACACAACATAAAAAGCAGTGGATGGTTAATAACTATAACAGGCAGAGGGAACATGGACATCAAGATGTTAAATCTTACCACAGGTTTCAGGGAGCAGTAGATTATCGTTTACTTTATATGGAATAACTTTCCCTGAAAAATTCATATCAGCTAAGAACACAAGTAATCAAAATACAAAATTAATATTCCTGTGATTGAAATGGGCATATGTCATGCAGCATGCTATGAGGGAAATTTTGCCCGGACAGTTGCGAAAATACATACTTCTACTATTACATATGGGACCTCACATCCAAACAACTGTTCCTTGTAAATCTAATTGTTTTTTTAATATTTGAACATGTGTGTTATAAAACCATGAAGTGTGATTTACAAAATATGAACCACATCTGACTATTAGTTTGAACTGCTAATAAACTGATGATCGAAAGAAAATATCATGTGATATTGAAAAGCCAGCATATACAGTTTTTTTTACAGTCCTGCCATTGCCACTAATAGTTACATACCAGAATCAGCAGCAAAGTCACCTATTTTCACTATAAACCCCAGAATGCCTTGTTCGGCCACAATTTTGCCACGTTGTAACGAGGTAAAAAAAATGCCTCGTTTGTCTGGAGTTCCAAAACAATAGGTTTTTTTAAATTGCCTTGTGTTTTTTTTCAAGATAATTATTAGTGGTATTTGCTATCAGCGAATAGAGCCACACAAATAATGTTCCGACCATCACGTGACAAATTGCAGATCTAAAAATTAGATTATTTATTTGGGACATGAATTTCTTCATAGTTATTGCTTGCTATACTATACTGTAACGATAATTAAATAATACGGCAATCTGTATTTATGAGAAAAAGAGAATTAATTTTCCCAAATCCAAAAATAGATGACTTGAATGGAAAGTGATTTTTTTTTATAAAGAAAGATCTTTGACAGATTTGTAGTTTTCTAGTTTGGGTGGATTTGTGATGTGAATCCATGTAATGAAGACAGTAAACAATTTGATTACAGGGTATTAAGTTACATATATAGGCCCTTTTTATATTAGCTTCTCGTCACATGTCTGTATTGTGATACTGCTTATGAACTATACATATATCAGCCATCGCGTTTTCAATAACTTCAGTGGTATATGTTAGTCAAAACTCAAAGTCGGTGTTTTATACATTTTATTATAAAATTGTAATAAATATATTTTACATGAATGATTACCAAAGACAAACAGTCTTAACCTGATAGGAAGAAGTTAAATCTAACTTTGAATAAGAAAAATACCGTTCAAATATATCACTGCTGCACCATGTCGGCTGAGTTTAATTTTTGTGAAAATCGGCCCGAAACTGCCCGACAAAATGGCTGTTACCCTTAAAAGCATGTAATACCCAGATTGTGGGCCAGAAGTTCGAGTTTTTCATCAAATTTTGATATATCCTAAAGGCCTGGGTTCGTTTCAATATTGGCACGTATTGGATCGTAGCTTTCTGGATCATGACCCCTAATTTACGAAATATCACGTTTTTAGCTTGTGAACCCTCTAGAGGTCACCATTTTTATCTTATTTTCTAAACCGTTCAAATATATCACTGTTACACTATAATTATGGTTGAGTCCGAATCAAAAGTTCTTGGACGAGTTCAACTTTGGTACGCAGAAGACCTCACATTCGATTATTTTTTCTGAATGCAGCTGCAACTGTCTGATTGGATGGTTGGAATTCAGGTGGGCATAGAGTGGGATTTCGGATGAAAACCAATTGAAAACTCTGAAGTTGTCTTAATCACGGGCTAGAATAGCAGAAAAACGCATTTCTTGTGGTAAAATTTTCATCTTTTTCTCCGGGAGCGTGAGGCCCCCATACCCCGCGACGATTGATTAGTTGTTTGGGAATTGGGATTTAGGTAAGTCACCTAAGGTAGGCTATATTGGACCACATTGAAGTACATGTATCTGTATTCACGGGCTGGTCTAGCAGGAAAACGCATTTGCTGCAGATAAATTTTCAAACATTCATCAAGCTTGTATGCCTATGCATCACTGGACCATTTTATGTATAGATTTATCTGATATTTCTAGTTTTATCTTGATAAAAGGACACTCACTGAAACGTGAAACACACTTCATAAAAGGCTTCTGGATATTAAAAAAAATTAAAAAATCATGTCAAGCTCCAAATGTATAAATAATGAATTTATTTATCGTTGATCTTATACATACGTATACATTTTCTCTCATCATCTTCTTTATATTATATATTATCATTGGCATACTTATTCAACAAGGGCGTTACTCTAATATCTATTTTCTTTTTAAACATAGGGGCATAAACATATTTGCGCAAACCAGTGAGGTGTTACATAGAAATAGAAGATGTTAATACAACCGTCTTTATCTAATATTCCACTATCTGCGGGCGTCAAATTTTCCTAATAACTTTGGGGGGGGGGGGGTCCTACATGGTATCTGTAACCCGAAAAAATTCATTTTTTGAGGCATTTCAGGTTCCGTCCCCTAACATTTACCTAACGGCATAATTACTTGTGTGCAATAACCCGCTAAAAAGAGAACTTGCAGACAAATTGAAGACACGCACACACTCCGCTGGGCCTGACATTTAACAATAATAACTATCAACTCCAAATAAGATTTTTATCATTACGGATCTTACAATTTTATTGGATCCCCACCCAAGATTTTAGAGAGATGAATATAAACTAAGCAGTCGAGTATCGACCCTTTTTTGGTTCTGATGTTAGTTAACACTTGATTATATTCTTTCTGTAATCTTATTATTTATGTACTTTAATACTCTACATACATGTATATTGGTCATAATAAATGGTTATATCGCTTCCCATCAGGTTAAGACTGTTTGTCTTTGGTATTCAGTCATGTAAAATATATTTATTACAATTTTATAATAAAATGTATAAAACACCGACTTTGAGTTTTGACTAGCATATGCCACTGAAGTTATGGAAAACGCGATGGCTGATATACACTCAAAGCCATTAAAAACGCAATGCCAAATTCAAAGTTTACTTACTGCAACAACTTTTAACAAATGTACTTAACAATTGACAAAATCGAGATAACAAGCATATGTGGATAATTTCATGAAAGAATTCACTACAAATGCATGCAGAGAACCATGAAACAAAGCAGGGGTCAGCTGAAGTCAATATCGGGTATGTCCACCCTGAGCTCTTACACATGCCTGAAGTCACCTTGGCATGGACTGGCACAGATGTCTCACTACTTGGTGTGGGATTGTTTGCCAATGATTTTGGAGTGAATGTGCCAGCTCTGCAATAGTTCGTGGTGGCACTGCTTGAGTTCGAACCCGTCGTTCAAGTTCATTCCAAAGGTGTTTGATCGGGTTCATGTCGACGTCGGTAGATACGGTCACGTACATCAGGAAAACTGAGGTTGAATCAGGATTCATCCTACCCCTAATTTGCGGCCCATTGCTGTCTGTTACAACGTGGCAAAATCGTGGCAAACATTTTAACTTGTTTTTGCCGAACAAGGCATTCTGGTGTTTATAGTGTTTGAAATGCCCTGAGATAACTGAAACCAGAAAATTTAAGCCAACCAAGATACGCCAAATTTGGGAATAAATTTTAAAATGCCCTGACATAACTTAACCCAGAAATTTTAAGCCAACCAAGATAAGCCAAAGTGGGAATAAAACTTGAAAGTTAAGCTAGCTTAATGATGATCATCATTTTTAGACCAAGGTAACATTTAGCAATTCAATGACACATCAGATTTATCTGAATGATGATGATGATCATTTTTAGACCAACTTAACCTTTAGCAATTCAATGTCACATAGAATTATCTTAATGATGATCATCATTTTTAGACCAAGTTAACATTTAGCAACTCAATGACACATTAGATTTGACTTTGGTTTTAAAATAACATCAGTTGAAAATGTGGGTGTATAAAAATATAGCCATAGAAAGAAAAAGTTTGGATGTTGACCAAATTTGATAAGGATAAGCTACGTTTTCAAGAAACTGAACACCTATTGTGTTGACTTTGTATAAGTTTCAAGTCAATTGAAATTTGGATGTTAACTTTAGTCTCTAGATTATAGAGGATCCACAAGATTTTTCAAAGTGATCAAGGGCCATAACTCTTGCAGTAACAAGTGGAAATCGCTGAAATTCTTTAGACTTTCTCATCTCATGACCATAAACACTGTACAGTATAAATTCAAAGTCAATCGGATAATAATAATAACTTTATTTAACCGCTTAAGCGTCCACAAGATTTATAAAAATGAAGGGTCCACAAGATTTATTAAAATGAAGGGTCATAACTCTGGCAGTAGAAATCAAGTCTTCTTAGTCTCATGACTATAGACACTGCGTATATATCTAAAGACAATCAAATAATAAATTTAGCCTCTTGAGCTGACCAATGGACAGAAAGACAAGGGCAACGACAATTGACATTGACAACCACATATCAATGTGGGCATATAAAAAGGCAAATCTATACAGGACAAAATGACTGGCACCAGAGAGATTGTGCCTGGCAAATTTTTGCCTGACATTGTCTGTGACAGGTGCCTTATTTCCAGACTTGACCTACAAAATGTCTTTCTCGTGCTGCTCAGAATTCTTTCGAAATAGACAGGTTTCAAATGTGCCATTCACTACAATCCAAAGTAATTGCTTACTCAAGTTACTGTTGTGCAACAGTAAACTGTGAGGTATGCTCATAGGTAGACCTAGTGTTGATTTCAACAAACTGGAGCCCTACTTCAGATCTGCACTGCTTTTATTACCTATGCTGAAATAGTATCATGCATCATGTGCCTTTTACTTTTATCACACTTTGTAACATAACTTTGCAAATGTATGGTTGCCAAACCCCAAAGAATGTTTTGTCAATTTTGGTCTTAGTCTGCATGATTTTTTTTTTCATAAATATTTTGGCTTGATTTCTTCCGATACTCATTTTATTTTGAAGCAAACTCCAGTCAATGCTTAAAACGCACATTTGACAAAGCATATTTATAAAAAATACCTTCTTGGTTAACTGCTTTTAAAAACTTTCTTATGTTCTGAACCCTGAAAATGAAATCAAATAATATTGGGAAATTAGAATCAATTTTTTTTTTAGAAATGCATTTTTATGATAATGGCTGTTTTAATGATAAATAGGCAGAAAGTAATAAAAGGCCCTGCTTAGGAGTTTTTAAGAATTTAGATAAAGGAAATGTACCTTGCATAAATTAATTTATGTATTGCTAGGAAGTTTATAATCATTTATCTTTCCATTCCAAGGAAGCATATCCAACATTTCTATAATTGTATTTACTGTCAGATCAACAATCCTGCTATTAGTTATAAATATCTGACCCTGAAATGTCAGTGTAGGTAGGGTTATCATTCTGACTCATTGGAAAAAATAATATGAAATGAATCTTTTGAATACACAAGTTTTGAATACACATTTTTCAAAAATAGCTCTGTTCATAAACAAGCCAAACTATGCAAAATGAAATAGGTCCACTCCAAATAAACTTTTGAGAATAAAAACTTTTGATCTTTTTATGTTTCTGTGGCAGAGCCCTGAGAATATTTGCCATCCATCTGACAAGGAGTAATTTGTCACCTGTTCTTGTCATTTGCTAACATTAACACTGCAATAGCTTCTACCCCAACTATAACCCAAGAATACAGAACTTTTTCTGTGTGGGTTATAGCAGGAACTCCATAAAATGGCAGTTTCTCTACCTTTTGCTTTGCTAAAAATCAAATGGTTATATATTTGACACTCAGGTGTCGAATATCCTAGTGAACTGGTGGCAAATAACTATTTGAATTGTTCTAGAATATTCGCACACAAGTGGTAAATAACTTCTCCCCAATTCTGCTAGATTAGTGTTGGAAAGGCTTATTACAGTATACTATTAACTATAAGTTTATAAGGAAGTATTTTAATTTTATCATGTACAGCTGGTGCAGTCCTGGCCTGCAGACTTAATGATAGAGAAAATTGAATCTGTGTAATTTACTATCAAGGTGATCACATTTACTGAATGAACAGGTTGAACCCAATAAACCGATCTATAGTTAACGTTGCAGCATGATGTTGGAGATGAGATACTCCAGATATATATATATCCATATAATATAAATATTGTCATTGAATAATTAATATTGATATTTTTGACGGAGGCCTGGAGTAACGGACCAGGTATAAATAGCTAGGCCATGCGGTTATAATTGTTTCTATTTTTATCCACAGTTGGCATTACCCTTGAAGAGGCTGTGGTTTTCTTTTATTCATGACTGCATGGTGATTCGTAGATCAGCTTTTCTAAATCAAGTAAACAATTTTTGTACACACTACGCCATTTTCTTCTTTTTCGATTATAATTACCTCCCTTGAATGCCGAGTAGACTAGATTTACTAGGTGGATAGATATTTTCTTAATTACCGGGTCGGGTTCTTGAAAATAATACCGAAATTTCAGTGTTGAAATTTGTCCACAGAAAACCGCACCAAGGCCGACTTATAGTGGTGCCTGGGTAATGACAACAAAAGTTTATGGTCGACAATTAAACCGGTATATAGAATAAGTCCGCGCATTACCTAGTTTGATTGAATATTCTACTTAAAGGTACAAATTAAAATTAAGACATAGGCCTATACTATTATCATTGGGTTTTAAAAAAATACTGTGTAGTTGTTACCACTCTTTGCCTTATTTGCATCATTCCCCTCGACGAATAAGTCGTTGCAAGGATCTCTTCTATGTTAAAATTATATTTGACCGAAAGTATTCAGTTGATTAGTTATAGCTATAGGTGTTCGAGGTACATTTTAAGAATATAAAGCAACGTATATTATTTTGGTTTTCTAATTTCTTTTCTTTTTGTAGTAATACCGGGCTTCCTTGTTGTGTTTCCTTCGTGATCATAAATAAAACTGCAGGTTAGTTCATTTCTACAACGTTATTAATAAAACTGCTTTGCTTCAATGTTAGCTGCTCGGAATATCTGGGTGAGCTCTGATGAATTTCGCCCAACACCCTCTTTTATACCCCCCTTAATTTTTGTACGTCAGACTGACCTTGGGGTAGGGTTAACGTCAACTCGACACAAACTACGTTATTTCGGGACTAACATACGATTCAATTTCATTTCAATAATTCGCTTGCGCAGGGGTCTTTAGCAGTGGGAGGAAGCCCACGATGCTGGACATGCGACTCTACTCCTTGTCACGTACAACCGAGGAATCGAAACCACGCCAGTTGACTCAATGACAGACCTTATGATTCAACGCGCACGCACTAATCATTTGGCCATCCAACCCCCCTTTAAAATAGCCAAGTCTTTTACTCAATATCATCCAAAATCTTCGACATTGAAAACACGCATTATTTGTCAATTTAAATCAACATTGATGTTGTGATCCTACCGAGAAAAGATGGGCTTCTGATATCCAAAATTTAAGACAAAATAAACATTATACCATTGGTACTCGAATCGTGTACCATAATAATGCGTTTCAGCGCCATTTGTAATAAGGGACCCAAAAAAACAAGGTTAGGCATATTCCACAAGCCATAACAAACGGTGACGACATATTCTTATCTAGAGAGCATGCGCAAGAAATACTATCGGTAGACTGGAATAACCAAACGCTAGAGATTGCCATTCAATTGAGACGCCTGGCGTATTTCGTCGAACATAACCGATTTGAAATTAGAGTATAAACGGAACCGATTGAATGTAAATCAGTTTATATACATTCATATTACATTATTATATGCGTTGCGACCGTTTTGTGTTAATTTCTAGATCCCAAATATGAGCGATTTAGCCCATTTAAGTAAAGATGAAGAACTACTCTCAAGTAGCAATAGTCAATGGGTGATATAGCAGGAAAAGTTGGAAAACGCGTGTTTCGTCCTTTGAAGTTCATTCCAAATTTTGGGGAAGGTAAGGTCGCTTCATGGGGAAGACTAATCTAAGGCCCATTTCTGCCACCTCTCATTCAAAATCAGGAGTTGGGGGGTGGGCACAGAGTGTGATTTCGATTCCAAAGCCCCCTCCTATACTCCCCGTACTCTGGCACCCCGACGGGACTTTTTTTCGGTCATTACATTTCTGCGAAAATGTAATACTATGGTCCTTGCGACCATATTGTATCTTTAACTAATTATTTGGTTGACAATTTCTATGGAGTCAAAACACACGTACTTAAATGAATTTGAGTGATATATATATAACCCTGGCATGCGGCAGGGATGCACTCTCTTGAACCATTGAATAACCCGAGCGGTATTCAATGGTCATTGAGTTCTGTTTTTATTCTATATAACTACATGTAAATCATATATATATATAAAACAGTGATATTTTGGTAAAATCCTTACCATTGACAAAATATCCATCAAATACAATCTTATTTATGACATTAGTAATTCTACACGGTTTTTAAGTTATTATTTTGTAAATCAGCCTTTACTAATTACTTCCACATTGTGTTGTAAGATATGTTTTTATTTGTTCATTACATAATGGCACCCAAAACCATAGGGTACACGACTCGTGTACCGATTTTAAAAATTTTAATTGTGTCTTCAATATTGGATGAATCATATAGTTTCATGAAATGAAATGTGGTTTAACGTCCTACTGATATAGTTTCATGGCAAGATAACAGCATCAATATTGATTAAAACTTATCAATATTGAGTTAGAGACTTAGCTCCTTTATCGTATACATTTCCACCGAGGGAGATATCTCAGACTTATTGCAATCCAATCTCACTTAATCAGGGGCCGCGGAACACACACACACTTTTTTTTGCAAATTTTTTTTAAAAAAATCGTTATTTCGCCCGCTAATCTACGTCCCAATCTACATTTATAAAAATTATAACTCGCATTGAGTGGTGAGTCATGGTCAGCTTTTCTTTCGTGATATAGCAGGGGGGTTTTGGATTACATAAAATGCAAAAAATCACAACAAAGTTTCAAAATTTTCTTGGGGGCCCTTAAGCGGACCCCAAACCCCAGCGGTACGCTCTCACGTCGCTTCGTTTTCGGGACTTCATCCCTCAATATTATTGTAAGACCCCCCCCCCCCCACTTCGGAAATCGCTCCGCGGCCTTTGTCAATGCCCATCGGAACTCCACAATCAATCTGTCTACTATACTATTGCTGTTGTGTACAAAGGTAAAAAGTGCCCAACCCCCACCCCCTGAGAATTAAAGGAAAACATTAATTATGATCGATGCCCCAAATTTTCGCACAATGCGGTGTGGTTCCGGACCAGGAAGTTATGCGGTTTCAACTATAGAACTATAGAAGGCAAAATGGGTTATCATTTTAACTATTTTTACCCGTCTGCCTGAAATATTTAATTGTCCACAGGTTTGGGGATGAGGAGGGGGCAACGAAACAACCATCAGCTTTGCTGTCCGGGCAAACAAATTCTCTAACCATTTTGAATACAAGTTTAACAATTTTCCTTAATAGCTGATCAAATTCCAGACCATTTTATAAAGATTCAAACCGGAGTTAGCGAATTTCTGGAAGATGTCAAAAATTTATAGGACGTTTTTTTTTTTTTGTTTTTTTTTATCTATCCATCTTATTAAATTTCACAAAGATCTATTATGTAGTAGTCCCTAAGGTTTGGTGTCAAGGGACATAATTAAGTGAGTTATTGTCGGAAACCACTGAAATCTGTAGCTTACGGCTACATGTATCTGGTTTTTACTGAGCGGAACATCCTTTCAAAATGTTGCAATGATTTAATAAAAATAGCGAACACAATAGTGCCAAGAAATAGCCGAAGTGTTAACTAAAGACAGTATAATAATGGGCCTTCATTTTATCAAACACACCTATCAATGATCTTATTGCAATTTTAGTGTTAACAAGATTTTGTAAGAAGTGGACATAACCCGTTCAGTTATCGTTGAAGAATTAAAGCTAGGACATGGTACACAATTACACAAAGCATAGTATTATTATTAAATCTATGCCCACAACAACCTATTGAGCGCCAAGCTGTACAATGTTGATGTACGCATGTAAAGCTAATCTATGTAGTCTCGAATCCCAGTCCCATTTCATCATTTCCGCTGAATGTAATATTCATGACCCATATAGTGTGTACCACTGAATGAGTTTTGTTCTGTTTATCTAACGGGTTGGCTTATAACGGATCTGATCTCACAATAACAATAGCGTGTTCCTGAATCTCACCCTACATGTTACATTAGTACATGGGATATTTTTTAGACGTTATAATATTACGTTTATCACAACATTATAAGTGTCATTAGGCCACTGCTACTTCTCTTCTTACGATTCTTAGTAATTTGTTGTGCGATAGGGACCTACACGTATTCACTATTTTCCTTGTTGACGTGTTCCCGGTAAATATTCTTCCCTGGTTGTTATCGTAGTTACACAAATAATGGTGAAAGGTAGTCTAGATTTAGATACCAATTATGAACAAGAGGAACCATTTGATCGCTCAAAAGGTGAGTACACGGCATGACGAACTGTGCCTATTTTACTGCAAATTATATACTTCGTTGGCTACTTGTGCTGGTTTTATTAGTTTTAATGCGTTTGACAAAGCTTTCAGTCATGTGAATAGATTTTATAGTTGCTGAAATAGTTTTCAAAACAACTAGCAGGCACAGTTCGAGATGTCCATGATCTCTATAACAAAAAAAAAAAAAAAATCTATATTAACTAGTAGGCCTAGCTGTGTATGTTTAAACAGGGGATTTAAAACAGATGTCTGAGATGATAGAGCTTATTTAAAGCTAATTATTTTAGATCTATATTTACCGTTCGACTGCGATGATAAAAAAAAGCTTATTTTTGAGCCATATAAACGGAAAGTATTGAAGAAACGGCGACAACGGACAACAGAACAAACCGACTAATTTTTAAAACATGTTTTTTTTCAAAAATTCACTTGTGCGTTTGAGTTCTGAGAAGTGGGATGAAACCAGAGTAGGCCTACCCTACTGCGAGAAATACAATGACTTGTGTGCAGAGCTCAGGTGTTTGTTTTGTTTTTTTATAAAGCAAAACAATTAAATATCACATTTAAGATATTTATCTTTTAACTCTCCTATAATAGCTTATTAAATTATTTTGTGCATATTCTTGTCAACCGACACCGCCATTTCTGCGTCTATTCATTTTTTCCCCCAAAGAAACTTAAGTTGCTATATGTAGGTAGATATTTTATTTAACAATAATTATTTTCCACGTATCCTTCTATTGTCGTATTGAATGTTTTTGATTATCAATGACAAAGTAGTTGACAACATGCTTTACCAATTTTCTAAGTCAATACATGTACATAGAAATATATTATTAAAATGAATGTTTGGTTGTTTAGCTAAAAGTGCAGAAATGAAATGAAACTGAAAAGAGGTAGAGATAGCGTCCTACAGTTCGGCCCCAACTGGACAAATGATGACTAACACACGCCATACAAGCAGGGCCGTAACTAGCTCAGAGCAACGAGGGGGGGGGGGTCTCAGGGGTGCTGTAAAATTGACGGACAATGTATATCTATAATCGACTATTTTTTTTCACAGGGTGGGGGGGGGGGCTGTTGCCAAGGGTTCTGTTACGTGTATTGGACCTCGGTTTATTATCCCACCCAAACCACTAAAGTATACGTTGTCCCACAAAAAAAAAGGAAAACCAACAACCTTTTCTGCTGTTGTCCAGAACACCTGAGAAAATATATATGTATTTACTATGCGAATGTATTCTTTTAGAGATAATAAAACAAACACACCTAATATGTCGTAATAAAACCCTTATTACATCTGACATAAGTTTTATATTATGTAACATTACTGTTACTGTGTGTAATAGAAATGTCATGTACAATGAAATCATTTATGAAAGCTATCAACTCATGTTTTTATAAACAGAGACAGTTGCCCTACTTATCTACTTTAACTGCTATCTAGAAGTACCAGAAGATCGCAAATAAAATGAATTGCCATTGTTACTGTTCACAATGCGGATTAAGTAAATTTGCTTATGAGCCTGAAGCGAAGGGGCTTGCTTGTAAGATGTTCATTTAATATACTATATGATATATTGGTATAGTAAACGTAATACGACCAAAAGAAACACGATACCGTATACCAGGAGCGTCCGGCGAACGATGCCCTAGATTATAACACGGGCGCTTACTATCCCAAGGGCGAACAAGATCTTAATCTGACTCTAATTCATAACATTTTAAGAATAATGACATCTTGCATTAAGTATTTTGATACTCTATCCCTACAATAAGGTAACTGACCTAACCTGAATGGTGATTTGTTCTGACGCGTGCACTTGGGTCTGTCATTAAAATATTATGTTGTGGTTTCGACCACACCAGTTGCGTGTCAGACCGGGTCACGGGATTTCTCTCTCCGACCCCTCCGGCCCTCCCCACCTTTGCACGCAACCCAAAGATCAGTGTGAAACATTTACACGATGTTCAAATTAGATTGAGACATCAAATCTTCAGCAGACGCTCGTGAACAATGCATGCTTCTTTATTCTAAATGATTAGTTTTTGCATTTTCGATAATAGTCAAGGGTTCAGGGGCGGATCGAGGAATTTTGAAAGGGGGGGGGGGCGCCGCAAAATGAGGGCACTGACCGCGGAGACGGGGCACGCCGCTGAGAGGGGATTTTTTTTGGGGGGGGGGGGGCAAGAAAATTATCCGTCATTTCCTTGCATCTGTAGCCATTCCAAGAGCTATTTGGCTGATATTTTCGTCTAAGTAAACGTTCGGAAATCGTTGAAAAAGAGCCTTAAAATCGATCAAAAAAGCCAGTTGAACATGCGGCTCGAAAATTGTCATGGGCGAGCGAGGCATTATGATGGGAAAAAAGACGAATCTATTCCCTAGCCACTTCACTATTTAAGCCTTGTAACTTGTACTTTGTGCTGTCCACACAAAAAACATGAAACAATGCTACATCAAGTTGCACTCATGCGCGTCGTTGATGGACATGAGTGTATACGCTGCCGATTCCACAAGATGTCTGTCTATGGGCACCGTCAGCTAAACAACAAGAATTCGTTTGAAAGTGGAAGCATTAATTAGACCAGACTGGTGTGTTTGAATCGATGGTTTGAGTCATTTGGGATCCCTGCAACGGGTTGGGAACGGACATATTCGGGTCTGAGAAATGTTACTTTCAGCAGTAAAAAAGGGCACTGTCGAAAATAAGGGGGGGGGGGGCGAGGGGCGCCCCCCTCCTTGAATCCGCCTCTGGGGTTGTTATATCATATTATATGAAATTTTGAACTAAAATTACATTTATTTTTTGTTGAAATTTCTTTTATGCACTGTAGTGAATGAGAGCTCAGTCTACGATTTTTACAATTTCAAGAAAGCATGAATCTACGATAAATGTAATATGATCGCGCCATTTTGACTTTCTTTTCAGTTCCATTTTGGACATCATCGCGGCTGGGTTTAGCTGTTTTGGGATTTTTTGGATTTGTTCAGCTGTACGCCCTGAGAGTAAACATGTCGGTGGCCATAGTGTGTATGGTCAATCACACTGCCGTGAAGTTGATGTCCGAGAAAACAAACCAGTCATCGGATTCTGTTGAAGCTTCGTGTGCAGCTAGATTAGCGAACACCACGTCAGATATAGCGGTACAAATATTTTTTTATATTCTTATTAAGGCCAGCTTCGATGAATAATCTTTGTTGAGTCACATAAAGATAAACCTACACCGATTAAATGTCGGCAAGAAAGCTCAATAACGTTTTCTTTATGTCCGTAGGGGGCACGTGTCATCAGGATTAAAAAAAAAATTACACAAAGACAGCCACGAAAAGCATAGTAATATGCCCGCGCATTAGCTGTCCCGATAACTTATCCAAAAGGATGTTGGTTGACCACATTTGATAAAGCATAAGGAGCCTTCACAAAAAGACCCATTAAAAGCTATATAGCCTCTTCGGAATCGAGGGCATAATTCTGTAACGCTGAATATCGACCGAGTTCGACCGCTGATGACCACAATGCTTCACAATAAACAGACGGCAGATGGGTGACGGCATGATACGCCTACACGAGGGGGGGGGGGCGATTGGTTAGCACGTGCGCGCTTTATCATTGAGTCAACTGGCGTGGTTTCGATTCCTTGGTTGTACGTGACAAGGATTAGTGGTCACCAGTCCAACCTCGTGGGTTTTCTCCTGGTTCTCCGGTTTCTTCTCACTGCTAAAAACCCATACGCGCAAGCGAATTATTGAAATAACATTTAACCATCTCTCTCTCTCTCTCTCTCTCTCTCAATTGGTTTCGTCGCCGACATGCTATCCTGCATGATGTAGATGTGATTCTCACTAAGGATTATTTTATTTATTTTTTTAAAAAAACAAGTCGCTATCGGAATGCTGGAAACCTTATGAAATTGAAATTTCCCGATTTTATCGGGAAAAACGTTGGTGAAATTTTTCTGTTTTATGGATACACCATCTTCAATAGAAGGCTTGGTCTCGCGTTTACTCCGTACATCAAGATGTAAAACTCGCGGAGTCGCGGTCGTTGCTTCACCAACTTCAGCGTTTAGATTATCAGCGTTTAGTCAGCAACTGGAGCAACCTAAAAATGATAAAACCACCGCCAAAATTATACAACGGGTGGTATCTTCCGAATTGACAAACTCTTTTGACTCGCATGTTTATCCGTTTATGTTTCGTAGTGATGGGTCGTGTACATTTAGTTGCTGTGCAGTCTTTCTGCACGTGACTACATGTAATATGTATTTGGCACAAACATAAACAACATAATACACGATACATTTATTTATGGTAATAGTGACTTTTTGTACTTACTATCTAATGTCATTAGAATATCACTTGTGTGTTAATGTCACAGTTTTCGTCTGGTATGCGATCTAGGTTAGGTATACAATAATAGTGTAGAATGTCAACACAATAGGTACAGAGTTCACTACAAAACACGGTGCACGGGTTAGTGCCTTAATGGTATATATACTATATGTCACCTGTATGCATCGTGATCATGACCTAACTATTTTACCAGACAAAGAGTAAGGGTGCGTGTACGTTTAACAATTTCTCACATTTTAAAAAAACAACAAAAAACAATATTTATTTATAGAAACTGGATTGGAGAACATTGTTAATGTGTTGTGTGCGCGACCGAATATAATTGCTCGATTGCAGCCTTCAGTTAGCGTAAATAACTAAATATTGATAATTAAAGATACATTATGGGAGATTTTTATAGAGAATTGGCCATTCTTGCTATAACAGTTCAAAAGTAGATTAAGATAGAAGAATATATTGAAAATTTCAGTCAAATTACTTTATTCTGAAGTAATAAGTGAAATCCTATTTAAATCCGAGCTGTAGCCGAGCCATCCGTGGGTCTACAGAGTTGATTTTGGGCTTGTTTAAGATCTAATTTATAATTTCTATAACATCTGAAGCCTAAATTAAGACTTGCAATAATCAGATTTTGCTCTTGCATAATGTATGTTTAAAGTTATGTTGTCCTTTAAGATGCACACTGATCATGTCAAACGCAAATTTTTAGTTATACTTGCTTTGAAAAATCAAAAAAACAGAATAGACAGCCCCCACCCCCATACACTTTTTGCAATTTGGCCCCATAATGCATGAAATCCATTACCAACTCTCTAAACCAATGGATGACCGAGATTTAATTGAATTGATACACGATCACCATTTAATAATTTAATTTAAAAACAGATAATCGATTGTTAGTCTCGCTTGTCAAGTATTGTTGCTACGACAATAAACAATCTATGCTACAACTCCAAATACTGATATATCTTCCTCAGAATAAAGTGGTTTGAATGAAATTTTCAATATAACGGTATTCATTTTTCATTTGAGCCATTTGAAAATGATCGACAAAACAGATTTATATAACTGTTTCTTTAATTCAGCTGATAAACGCGATTATTCGGTGCCATTTGTAAACTTGATCCAGGTTGATCAAGGCACAAGTTCATTGTTGGCCAAGATGCTCTTTAAAGGGTGTATGGCTCTATTTTCTGGAACCTTGAAGTAGACAAAAATGTTTCTAAAAGCACATATTAATGTAATATGAATGTATGTAAAGTGATTTATATTCAATTTTTTTTTTAAAAAAAATATTGAAATTTCTAATCAGTTATGTTCAGTGAAATAAGTGAACAATTCAAATTGAACGGCAGTCGTTTACGCCTACTTAGTGCATTCTACACATTTTTATACGCCAACATTTTCATGTGGACGTATATTGTCGTCGCCCCTGTCCATCCGTCCACAATTTGTTTGTGGACACTACTTGGCAGCCGCTGGTTAAATTATTGTTTTGTTGTTTGTGAATCTGCCTCGTGTACTGATTATAAAATGTTGATTGTGTCTTAAATATTGGATATTAGGATCCTATAGTTTCACGGCAAGATAACAACATCAATATTGATTAAAAGGGATCAATATTCAATTCTAATTTGTGTTTTTAATTTCAAACATTATGGAAAATATTGAGTAAGAGACCCCACTTGACAACTGGGCGTTGGTATATTTCACAACGATAAACGTTTCTATGAACCCTCTACTTTACCTGATTTTTCCACGGAAATATGTCTTGGATTTCTCCTTTTATGCAATTCTAAACACGGCAATTGGACTAGTGTTTTCTAGGCTTGGGAGTTTTATAAGCATATATACTATTCAAAAAAAGTAGGGGATATTTGATTTTGGGGGCATAATACTAAAATATGCAAATGACTACGAAAAAAGTCACTATAGAACCTAACAGAAGAAACATTTCCAGTTACATGTGACGCCCAAACGCACCAATAGCTACCGCATGGAATGCAGGTGATGCTTGGGATCATCATGGGGGTCCAACCCAAGATTTGCACGACTCTGACTTTGAATGTTACAGTCATTGTGGCATTGAATTCCAGGGTGGAAACATCAGTTTAATTGTTTTAGTGACCAGGAAACAAATTTTGATATGCGTCGGCTTACCCAAAATGAAAGGTTACGTGCCCTTGGCATGCTACAGATCGGCACAACACAGGCGGTTGTGGCGCGGACGATGAATGTTTCTCAGTCTGTCATAAGCAGGCTATGGTCCAGATACCGTGATACACAATCTGTACAGGACAGACCACGCTCAGGTCGACCAAGGGCGACAACTCAAGCCCAGGATCGATTTATCCGTACCTTGGCCTTGAGAAATCGTGTCATCACAGCAAATCAGATCAGCGCTCGTCTTCAAACAGACACTGGTGTGAGAGTGAGTGGCCAGACGATTCGGAATCGACTGCATAGGGGTCACCTTCGCGCCCGACGTCCTCGCGTGATCCCTTGTTTGAGAGATCATCACATTCAGGCAAGACGTCGTTGGTGTAGGGATCGTCAACACTGGGATAATCGACGCTGGAGCAATGTGATGTTTTCAGATGAGTCAAGGTTCACTGTTGATTTTTTGGACAGACGTAGGAGGGTGTGGCGTTGTCGAAACGAGCGCTTCCAAGACGTTAACGTCATCAGACATGATCGATTTGGGGGTGGTTCTGTTATGGTGTGGGGAGGCATCACTGTTGCTGGAAGAACGGCTTTACATGTTGTTGCAGGGCGTGTTACAGGCCAGTACTACCGGGACAACATCTTGGCAGTCCATGTTGTGCCGTTCGCACGACGTCATGGCCGCCGTTTCATCTTCCAGGATGACAACGCAAGATGTCACAGGGCCAGGATCGTTACAGGTTACCTCCAACAACAGAACATCACCACATTACCTTGGCCAGCACTGAGTCCCGACCTCTCCCCCATCGAGCATGTCTCGGACATGCTTGGACAGAGGTTACGTCAACATCAACAACGTCCTGCCAATGTCCAAGAACTTGCTGCTGCGTTGCAACAGGAATGGGACAATCTGGACCAAAATGACCTTAGACGTCTCATTAGGAGTATGCCACGTCGGATCAATGCTTGTTTGGCAAACAGAGGAGGATTTAGCCGTTACTGACTTGGTTGTGATGCTGTGGTAACTTTGCTGTTTGACCCCGGGTATCATTTTACCCTTATAATGGTCAGTCTGTGCCTTACTTAGTCTAACGATCATTTGGAATAAATCGATGAATGTGAACTTCATTTCATTTTGTCATTTGTTTCTTCGTCAGTTTCATTAGGTGACTTTAATAACACTTAAAAATCAAATATCCCCTACTTTTTTTGAATAGTATATAAGTCGACATCTATCAACGTATAATATTTTTTAATAGATGCAGCTAAATTATAATATGTGTATTAATTCTCTACTTCAGGACGGAGATAATGATTGGGATAAAAATATCCAGGGCTGGGTACTTGGTGCTTTTTTCTGGGGATACCTAGTATCACAGATACCGGCTGGCTGGCTAGCAACGAAAATAGGTGGAAAACGGGTACTAGGATGGAATATGTTTGCTGGAGCAGTTCTAACTCTCTTGACACCAGTCGCTGCTAACGTTAGTTATATCTTCTTGATAGTAATACGAATTTTGTTGGGTCTTACGTCGGTAAGTATATTGATTTGTATTTGAATGATTCTGCAATCTGTTTTTCAAGCGACAAAGTTGAATGTTTGACGATTGTCCAGTCAAGTCTCACATGTTAGCCGTCTTCAATTTCAAGTTACGAAGGTATGAATGTTGTTTATGGAAGCTTATGGATATATTCGCCATTTTGTCTACCAATTCGTTTGTTCAATATAGGTCAAAATGATAATGACTAATTCAGATTTAACTGAATGCCCTCACGATGGCCTTAATATGAGGGTCAAAATGGACACGGATTGAACACGAAATTTTACCGTTGCAAGGTCCTTCGGCAATTTTTGGGTATGGCCAAAGTTTTTGCCAGCTCGCACGAAGGTGCAGCCGGACCCTGAGAAACTCCACAGATGCCCCCACGAATGGTCCGATTCTTTTACGATCAAAGCAGAATTTGAACATTTACTCTTATCGCTCTACAGAATTATCAACCTGTTAGGAATAATTCGATGACAAATTGTGGAGTTGCGTCCCGTTTAAGATTGGTGTATAAATCAGTGAAGTAGTTATCGAAAGGCTGTATTAAAGGCTGTTATTTCGCAGTACAGCCCCCACCCCCCGCCAGCAACGGGCCTGATATCAAAACTGGGACAAAACCGCCTGGCTTCCATTTTGACTTACATTATATGTAAGAGCTAAATCTGCCTAATGCAGCTCTTTCGTTTGGCCTTAAATGTTATATAAATCATGAAAATATATACATTTATTCATATACCAAACCCCAGGGGGGGGGGGGGGCCGATAACTTTGGTTTTAATTAGGTGAAGTAGTTACCGAAAGGCTGTATTAAAGGCTGTTATTTCGCAGTACAGCCCCCACCCCCCGCCAGCAACGGGCCTGATATCAAAACTGGGACAAAACCGCCTGGCTTCCATTTTGACTTACATTATATGTAAGAGCTAAATCTGCCTAATGCAGCTCTTTCGTTTGGCCTTAAATGTTATATAAATCATGAAAATATATACATTTATTCATATACCAAACCCCAGGGGGGGGGGGGCGATAACTTTGGTTTTAATTAGGTGAGAGCGATAGAACTCTGGGCATAGATTCAATATATCAATTTTGATGTTGAGAATTTTCTGCCTAGGCTAAGTAGCGATAAGCTATTTGGTCAAGACTTTGGAACATAACATCTCTGCTTTTTATTTGAACGGGATCGTTGATTCCATTAATCTTACCATTAATGTCATTACTTAGGGATAAAACAAATTCATTAATAGTTTTAAATTTAGAGTCACTTTTTTGCCGAAATTTGCTTTCGCTTGATTGCACCAAGACACATGAGTTTAACAACTTCTGAATGATTTTTTATACATTTCACTGGATTGTGCAGTAGACTTTTAAAAGTTTTTTTATTATACGGCATAGGGTTGGGTTATCAGCGGATTTTTCAAAATAATATAATGTTGTATTATCTAATAGTGAATTTGTATTGTTATTGGTATTGTTTTATGATTTGGAACTAGAAAGGTTCTGTCATTAATAAAGTACACGAAATTTGATATAGTATTGACAATTTCAGGGCGTTGCCTTTCCGGCTATGCATGCCATGTGGGGAAACTGGGCGCCGCCATTAGAGAGATCAAAATTAACTTCATTTACTTATGCAGGTTGGTAACATTAATAAATACAACACATTGTACTCTTGAATAGATTAAATACATGACCTTGAAAAATATTGTATCATAAAGTACAAGCTACTGTTACAGAATACACTTCTGTATCACGTTAACAGCAATTGAACATGGCTACAATTTTTATACGCCCACATTTTCATGTGGACGTATATTGTCGTCGCCCCTGTCCGTCAGTCCGTCCGTCCACAATTTGTTTGTGTACACTCTACAGGTCACAATTCTTATCCGATTTTGACGAAACTTGAAATATAGGGTTATCGCCAAACGATCTCGGCTGCTTTCGATATTGGCATGTATCGGATCGAAACTTCATGGATTATGGCCCCTGTTTGTACAAAATATCACGTTTTTAGTTTGTGGAACCTATAGAGGTCACAATTTTTATCCGATTTTGTTGAAACTTGAAATGTTAGTTTATAACCCAAAGATCTCGGTTCCTTTCGATATTCGCGCATATCGGACCGTAACTTCCTGAATTATGGCCCCTGATTGTACGAAAAATCACGTTTTTAGCTTGTGGACCCTATAGAGGTCATAATTTTTATCCGATTTAAAAAAAACGTATTATTATATCACCGTTACACCTTAAGGATGGCCGAGTTCGAATTTCGTGAAAAGTTTACAACCCAAAGATCTCGGTTCATTTCGATCTTCGCGCATATCGGACCGTAACTTCCTGAATTATGCCCCCTGATTGTACGAAAAATCGCGTTTTTAGCTTGTGGACTCTATAGAGGTCATAATTTTTATCCGATTTAAAAAACCGTATTATTATATCACCGTTACACCCTAAGGACGGCTGAGTTTGAATTTCGTGAAAATCGACCTCAAATTGACAGACAAAATGGCCGCCCTTCGTTCTCAAATAGCGTAAAAATATGGTATATCAAGGTTGTGGACCCTATAAAGGTCACAATTTTTATCCGATTTTGTTGAAACTTGAAATGTAAGTTTATAAACCAAAGATCTCGGTTCCTTTCGATATTCGCGCATATCGGACTGTAACTTCCTGAATTATGGCCCCTGATTGTACCAAAAATCGCGTTTTTAGCTTGTGGACCCTATAGAGGTCATAATTTTTATCCGATTTAAAAAGCCGTATTATTATATCACCGTTACACCCTAAGGATCGCTGAGTTCGAATTTCGTGTAAATCGGCCCAAAATTGAGAGACAAAATGGCTGCAGTTCGTTCTCAAATAGCGTAAAAAATATGGTAAATCAAGGTTGTGGACCCTATAGAGGTCACAATTTTTATCCGATTTTGTTGAAACTTGAAATGTAAGTTTATAACACAAAGATCTTGGTTCCTTTCGATATTTGCGCATATCGAATTGTAATTGCCTGAATTATGGCCCTTGATTGTAGGAAAAATCACTTTCTTTTTAGCTTGTTCTCTATCCATCTCTCGAAAATGTGGGCGTATCCTGCCTGGCAGCCGCTGGTTTTCGTAGTGTAACGACACATTACGCGATCACGTATTTAGTCGTTAGTCACGGGAGCCTCTTGTTGACTGGGAAAGTTTCCCCTGTCAGTAGTGCAGGAGGGAGGGCCTGAGAAGGAAAATTGTCTAGTCGTTCAGATGTTACGAAAACGTTGGCATGCAAGTAAAAGAACCATTAGCAGTTGGAATTCGATGAAGGCTAGGCGGAAACGCCACTAGCTTGGCAAAATATCCGTTATTGCACACTGTATGGCATATGTTCACACTGTTAAAAATATTTTGGTTATTTTACCCTAAAATTACGGGCAGCAAAAGTTGCCCCTAAATCATAGGTAAAATTACACCATTATTTATTTAACAATTTACTGTAGAAGGACATATCTGTTAATTTACATTTCTTGTAAAACTACATCACAATGTTAATTTACATTTCTTGTAAAAAATACATCACACTGTTAAATTACACTTTTGTTAAAAATACTAATATTGGTAATTTTACATGCAAGATTCGAGCAATAGCCCCGGTGTAAATTATTTCGTATTAATATCACTTCGATATATATTGAATATCGATAATCCTGTTTGGTAGACGAGGGCATGGTTCGAGGCTTTCAGATGTAAGCTCGCGGTACTATCTATTTGCAGGCATTATAACCCTACTTTACAGACAGTCCGGCCCCACTAACACTGGCCAATCGGTTTAATTTACCGTCTTCAAGTGAACTTGAAAACGAGATAATACAACCTACGGCCAGAAAGTCAAAACATTTTTTTTTTATGCATTTAAGAAAATACTTACAAACTGATTAACGTGCGCTAAATATCAATACACTTTATAGATCTTATAAATAATGGAAACTAGATATACATGACATGCAATATACTAAATTTACAAGATGTGATTGTCCATATTATGGTTAATAAATTGAAATGAATACCATAAGAAGATAATTATTAGGAATGTTTCGTTTCTATGGAATACTAAAATACAATAAGAGATAGTAAATTTACCGAATAAGTAAATTTACCGAATAAGTAAATTTACAAAATAACGTGAATAAACGTAAGTCTGTAAAATGACATGCTGGCTATGTTATTTTCCGTTCAATATTTTAAGGTAAAAACAAATTCTTTAACTGCTGTAATTTTACTTATATTTCTTACCTAAAAGTAAATTACATAATAATGTGAACAAACGTAAAATCTGTAAAGTAACACGCTTGCTGCGTTACTTTCAGTTCAGTTTTATTACATTATATGTATTTTTACAGGATTTTGAATATGTCTTTCATTGGATCGCCACTTATTGTCAAAAAGACATGAAACTCGATAAACATACTTGAAACTCTGTAAAAATACATTAGACTTGGTAAAAGTAGTATGTTGTAAAATATACCGATAATTGAGGTACAAAAAACCCTTGTACTACTGTAATTTTACATACATTTCTGACAGTTCACCTGGTGGTTGTCGTAACATCATTTGCTATTTGGTTGTGGACTTCAACGGTCACTGTTAATTGGTTGTGTGTTGAGAAATGTTAACAAAAATATTTCAAGGTTTGCTTTCATTACTATTGAATAAAGCATTTCTGTGATTTCAACATTTTACGACAACCAATTTGGGCTACGGTACATCTTCCTATATAGTTTGAATACACTGAACATTACTGTATTTTGACGTTACGTATGTAAAAATAAATTATTTCACGGTAAAATCACCTGTATAATATGTTTTTTTTACGACTATTTGTACTATCACTCCTGTTTGGTGTAATAAAACATACATTTGTAAAATAACATACAACTACGTAAATATTTTACCACATTCTTACGGTAAATTAACATTTATTTCTAACAGTGCATCTTCATTATCACGGTTGGTGTAGAAAGGTAGAACTTTAAACCCCACTTCATTTCATTTCTATTTCGTCGAATCCAACGATAAAGCAACTCCCGTCCTCTAAACAAATGCGGATGGAGGAGGGAGCAGGGGCGGATCCAGGAATTTTTGCAAGAGGGGTTTGCCAGGCCCCTGATCAGGGTAGGGTTTAGACACCCGGCCCAACCCCGGGATGTATGAGTGGTCTAAAGCTAGAGATTTAGATCACAGCGTCGTTCAGGCAACCCATGTCACGTACAAGCTATGGGATTGGAATCACGGCATTTGATTCATTGCCAGACTTTATGATTTCAAACCCAGACTCGCATTACCCACCCCAAAAACCCCAAAGGTCAATATTTTGAAAATCACATAATAAACCAGTGATGTCAGAGGAAACAATCAGGCTGTGAAAATAATATCAGCACCGTATATATTTGACATGCCTTAACGAATTTCCTTTGATTGATTTTTTACTGTTCAGTATTCTGTAAGCACGGTATTATGTTCTTCGTGTTAAGAATCGCCAAACTGCATATCAGTTTGGATATGTAGTTCATATAATCCAAACTACGCGTCTGTAATATGTAATGTAATATTGATAGCGCAGCGTGCGCGCGTTAGTAATTAAATATGTGCCAATTATTGCTTACTCCTGTAAGTAGATAATTATATACACCAGTGCATTTCAAAGATGTTACACTATATGCGTAACAAGCTGTTGCATTCAGTCGTGGTATATCGATAATTGAAATTGTTTGTGTGATTAGTATTTTTTTAGCTGATGACCAATTAGTGTGGGGAGTGTGTGAAGGGTGTTGGAGTGCGTACCATGTCGTAGAGAGAAGTTTGAAATTCAGCACGCATCAATGCGCGTGAATCATGCGTGAACACTGTGCGTACTCTACGGACACTGCCGACGGTGCGTATCAATGCGTGTCAGTGCGTGCCATGGGAATCTACTACGAGCGACAGGCATAAACAGTACAATATCTTAACATACGTAGTGCCAATGCGTCTCAATGCCCCCAATGCGGCCCATTTTTGCGCAAACAGTGAGCAAACACGGCTACCACTGAAATGGCACGCCTCGCAACGACGCATTGTGCGGCATTACGTTGACAAAAATCGTCAGGGTGTTAGTGTGGCATTACAGTATCTAATCGTTCGGATGGTATGATAACTGCGGTCCCGTGTACGCGTTGGCATACACGCAAAAAAACAACGCTGGCAGAATTCGAAATAAGAGTAGGTCGTAGCACCGCTTCCTGGGCAAAATGTCCCTAATAGCAATAGACGTAAGAATGGTTTGTTTGGATTTCAAAACGACCAAGCGAATATATAACGGTTTAGGAATTTAGGAATTCAAAATCCTTCGATCCTCTTTCTTTAGCCCAGAACTACATTGCTCAAATATAGTTATCTGAGGCTGATGATTATAGAACTTGTGCAACCCACTTCGCATGCAAAATGCAGAAGTGAAATGAAAAAATGGGGTTAAACGTCCTTCTGATTAAAAATTTACCTCTTTATTTCTAGGCACACAGTTAGGAAATGCTGTTACTTTCCCATTAGCAGGATTTTTGTGTAAATATGGTTTTGCTGCAGGCTGGCCGTCTATATTTTATGTCATTGGTGAGTCAAATAAAGTTATATTTTAATAAAAACGCTCCGAAGCCTACCTTTAGCTGCATAATGCAAAGGTAATGTATTAAAATAAGACCAACCACAGTGGTTCGGGTGTGGGCGCGATATTCTAGCCTGGTAAGTGGCTATGAATTTTTATATTTCAGGTAAAGTAGGTTTAGTATGGTTGATATTATGGTCGTACATTGTCGTCGCCCCGTCCGTCCATCGGTCCGGCGTCAACAATTGCTTGTTGACACTCTAGAGGCTAATATCCGAATGCCTTTAGATTTATACACAGTATTTAAGGTCATGGGACAAAGAATCCTATTGATTTTCAGCGATTTCTGATAATTACCTCCAGCCTTTTGGCCCTTGATCACTTTGAAAAATCTTGTGAAGCTCTAGAGGCTAAAGTTAATATAAATTGTTCAAGGTCATGAGACAAACAATTGAAACAATTTGTGATTATTTACTTAATGGGTTATTACTCGTAGTAGATTTTCATGTGTTGTAAACGTTCTCCTTACCGACAAAAGAAAAAAATATGCGACAACCCTTGTTGATTTCCCGGACAACTTAGCTACTGAGGGCGTATGTTTCGTTGCCTGGCAACCTATAATATATGTTATGGATGTTTATACTTGGGGTACATTGGGTTTAGTACGGATTATATTTTTTATGGATGTTTATATTTCAGGTACATAGGTTTAATTTGGTTTATATATATATGTTATGGATGTTTATATTTCAGGTACGTTAGGTTTAATATGGTTTGTATTATGGATGTTTCTAGTTAGTGATACACCCGGACAACATAAAAGAATATCAGCTATAGAAAGAAAATATATAGAATATAGTTTAAGAGAATCAAAACATCAAGAAAGCGTGAGTGTATACATTTCAATATCTAGATTTTAAATATTATGTTATCTACTGTCTTCTCGATATACTGATTACTCAATTACAAGTTCTCGTGCAATTAAATAACAAATCTGTAGGTAACTGATGATAATCTCATCCATAATTCGTCTCATTTTATTATTTACCCGATGTGGTGGTTTCTTGAATATTGAAACAATAAAGGGAGAAAAGGAAGAGAAGGATACTTTTTTTTTAACCCTTCCATTAAGTCACGAAACAAATAGATTTTTTGGGGGGTCTGTAAACAAAACCAAACGAACATAAATAATTTATATTTTATGTGCCATCGTGTAAATTTCAATGTTTATTCTCTCTTTTTTTATCATAAGGCAAACACCAAAGCAAATAATTCAGTTGTACTTTGTCTTACATTGTCTATTAAATCTTAATACTGGCAGACAGCTTGCAAATCTTATAGAGATATAAAAAATTTAATCAAATCTATACCAATGTTGTTAAGTACATGTATATTGCAACATATTATTTTATTGTTTTAGAAACCAGCCGTGCCATGGAAGGCTATATTTACATCATTACCTGTATACGCTATAGTTGTTAGTAATACCACCTCTGACTGGGGAGCATATACTTTATTAATAAATATACCTACATATATGAAAGAAGTATTAAAGTTTGATATAGCGTCGGTAAGTAGTCTTTAAATGAAATGAAATGAAATGAAATGAAATGGGGTTTAACGTCCTACTGTTTTGCTCCTAAACTGGGCTAATGAAGACGGGCATACGCCATACAGTGTGCTATGAGGGAAATTTTGCCCGGGCAGCGGCACTACGGCCTACTCTTATATCGAATTCCAACTGCCAAGGGGTCTTTTACGTGCTCGCCAATTTGTACACGGGACCTCGGTTTTGCGTCCCATCCGAACGACTAGACAGCTGTCCTTGTCAGGCCCTCCATCCTGCATCACTGACAAGGGGAAACCACGCCGGAAAATCGGGATGAACTTTCTCGGCCAATGCAGGGATCGAACACCCGACCTCCAGGCTAGCGAGCCAGCGTCTTACCCACTTAGCCACGTGATCCCCCTTAAATGAAATGAAATGAAATGGGATTTAACGCCCTACTGTTCTGCTCCGAACTAGGCTAATGAAGACGGGCATACGCCATACAGTGTGCTATGAGGGGAATTTTGCCCGGACAGCGGCACTACGGCCTACTCTTATATCGAATTTCAACTGCCAAGGGATCTTTTACGTGCACGCCAATGTGTACACGGGACTCGGTTTTTTATCCCACCCGAACCACTAGACAGCTGTCCTTGTCGGTCCCTCCGTCCTGCACCACTGACAAGGGAGAACCACGCCGGAATATCTGGATGAACTTTCTCGGCCAATGCAGGGATCGAACACCCGACGTACAGGATAGCGAGCCAGCGTCTTACCCACTTAGCCACCGTGATCCCCCAAGTAGTCTTTAACCTGATAACGTCACAAATGTAACATTGAAGACGGGGATCCGATAACTATTTGATCCCTAAGGGTATTTTATGTTTCAACCAAATTAGAAGGTTTCACTAAAGTTTGTAGACGAGATTGACTGCTAAAACAACGTTGCAAAAAATAATTAAAAGCTTTGACTTGTAGAGCGCTAACATGAATTGTGAATCAGGAATGGGGAGGCCAAATGATATTTACTGTTGAACAACAATAATTATTCATTGACCTGTTTAAATTCTGAAATAATTAGTTTAATCACTTTGTCATCAAAAATAGGCTTTTGCTGATCCACATTTCAGTCACAAAAGCGCAGGTAACGTGAGCGGTGCTTAATGTAGTCAGTGTTATTGATTTTCAGTATTTACTTTAAACTAGTATTATGTATATCTTGACCCAAGACCAATATATATGTACCACGTACAGTCTAAAGATATATAACTTGGTCGATAGGTACAACATCTGAAACGAACAGCTGTCACCAATCCAGAAATATATAACATCACCCTATATCTTAATGCAATCTACCAAAGCAGTAAATCATAGGTTGCTTGGAAACGAGATATACATACACCAATCATACCTTCCCACCAATTTCATGCTTACATTTTGCCCCTGACGTTGAAAATATAACAGCCACTTGACACAAACTAGACCATTGCTGGGCTAACATTATGGTTCAATTTTATTTCGATAATTCGCTTAGGCGTAAGGGTCATTATCAGTGGGAGGGAACTGGAAGTTGCGCAGGCAAACCCTTACTTCTTGTCAGAGGCGTAGCCGTGAAATATATATTGGGGAGGGGGTCCGCAAATGAAATTATATAAAATTTTGACAATCTGTGACGCCGGAGGCACGAGGCTGCGCAGCAGCCGATGTAGCGCGGTAGGGAGTGTGTGAGGGTCAACCTCCCATAAAAATTTTTTTAAAGTTTCAATCTCCTGTAAACACTGTTTTGGCATATTTTACGGGGTTAAACTAAAACATCACACCAATACAATGTTTATCATGTTTTAAGTCAGGGGGTGCCGTATTCATATTTTTTCATGACTTTTACATATTGAATGTTACGCTAGAGTTATGAACAACACGACAAAGTGAGTTTAGTAGAGCATTTTTTATGAGGAGGATCCAAATGAAACAAAACTTGATCACATAACTTTAGTTGATGAGGATGCATATTTGACAACCATCTTGTTAACTACAATCATATACACATTGACATTTACAAGAAAGTTGTATAGATATTTAAAGTATTTTGTGTATTATAAATGGATTTCAAAACGTAAACATAAGTGTTTGTGTTTAAATTTGTACATCGTTTTATACAGATAAAATCTTAACTAATCCTAATAATTGTTGTAAATAAATAGGAGTTAGGGCCTACTATGTAAATTTGGGAAGGTCCAAGTATATTCAGACCCCCCCCCCCCCACGTCTGACGCCCATGCTTCTTGTCACATCATATTATAAGCTTTGGGTCGACCATTCCCAACAGTCAAAATACATAATACAGAAAAGCAAAGAGATAGTGATCGTGATTAACAATAAGGTGAAACAGCTAAACATCTTCAAAACTTTGTTTCAGAATGGTTTGTATTCAGCACTGCCATATATAGGTTTCTGGTTTTGTATTAATGTATCTGGTTTCATGGCTGACTTTGTTAGAAAGCGGAATATCCTTAGTACAACATGGACCAGGAGATTATTTGATGCTGGCGGTAAGTTGTAAGCTAATTAACATTCTGGTCGTTGACCTAACGCTTGTTTCACATGTGAGTGACCCACGTTTTGGGGTTAATAATACCAGATCTATTATTGAACTGTTAAGTTTTAGTTTTAATACTTTAGAACTTCGATGTTTCAGTGCATTCAATAAATAAAATTGCAATCAAAATTGAATGTTTTTAATTGTGTTTTGTCTGTTTCAGGAAAAGTTGTGCCAGCTCTGTTGCTAATAGGTTTAGGTTATATTGACTGTACACAACCAACTGTCGCCATTATTTTATTAGTTTTAGCAGTAGCCTTAACGGGACCCCAATACAGTGGTTTTACTGTTAATCATGTAGATTTAGCTCCAGCCTTTGCTGGGATCTTGTATGGGTTTTCAAATTCGGTAGCATCAGTATCAGGTTTTTTGTCTCCACTTGTCAGTGGTGCCATTACTAGTAAGGTTGGTAACTAGAGTTTTAATTTTATTTTGATTCAGGGATGGCCATATTTTTAAACTGAATGTTGAAAAACTATATCTTTTATAGTTTGAGTTGATTGCGCTAAGAAATGTGTTTTCGAAATGCCATTTATTAGGATATACAAACTCCTTATATTTTCACTCCAAATTGAACTGCTAGGCCATTAGAATTTAGAATCCCGTTTTGGGTATTATATAACTTACCAAAAGTCAGTACTATCATTGTCTGATATCTTGGACGTCATTTTTCCACGGTCATTTTTTTCATTATTATTACTGTATTATCATTTCGTTGGATCATGGGCATTTAAATGACATTTTACAGCAAAAATTTAGGGGCGGTGGTATTTGTGCGGTAGGGCACTGCCCCTTCAACAAAATTGCCTCAGATTCGAAATGTGTGGTTGGGCCCGAAGAGCTTTCGTGGGTTTTCAAGCCTGGTTCTTGTCATGAGTTGCCCCTAGTGGAGAACACACATACAGCACAATACAAACAAACATGTAACTAAGTGTGTTTCTTAGAACTTATTGGTATCTGAGCTCCTTTATTTACAGTTAAATTGTTCTGTTAGATATTGCAGTGGCATCTTGCCCTGATAGCAGCGTTTGCGCCTCTTCCAAATGCCAAGAGGTATTTTACGTGCACGCCAATAAATCGAACTCGGGCCCTCCTGGTTTGTGAGCTAACGTCTTACTCGATGAGTCACCGCTGTGATCGTCATTGGAACATACTATCTTTTGAACCACAGACAAAAAAACAAAAACAAACGAACAAGGCGGATCTACTTGATTACTGGTACGGAATCTGTATATATCCTTCGTTTCCTACATATCCCTTATTGTTAAAAATTGTTTGACGTTCTAACTCTTGACGTCAACTGGCAGACTATCGCCATTGAGGAGACGACCACTGTCAAGATCGGTCGCATTATTTCTGTTACGTCTTTTTTGTATTCCTGATTGTTTTCAAATTTGAGTGAAGTCTGTGTCACTACAGGCCCGGGACTGTACAGAGCAGTGGACGTTCACGGCTGGCCCCCGGATCCATTCACTTAATTTGATATTTGTTTATTTGGTGCAATGTCTATTTTCTGTCTTGTCCGCAAGTTTATCTTGTAGATTTTTGTTTTACGTGTGGTGCATGTATATGGTTATTAGTAAAAATCTCATAATTTTTTTAAATCTTTTTCTAGGGACAATCAAGAGCTGAATGGCAGATTGTCTTCTATGTTGCAGCAGGCATCTATATATTCGGCGCCATTTTCTACATACTGTTTGCTTCCGGTGAACTACAGGATTGGGCTAAGGTGGAAGACGACAGTAAAAACGATATAGAATTAAAAGAACCGTTAAAGAAGAATGAAAATGATGTTGACCACGCCTGAACACTGAACACGTGTTCTTATTAATTCAGGTTATTTTAGTAGACAGAGTGGGCAAATTCTTCAATAGTTATCTTAGTATTACCTGACCCATTTGGATAGCTTGAAGATCTCCAACCCCTACCATCGGTTATGAACGTAGAGTTTTGAGAGTGTCCTCATCAGTCATGTTCATTAGCCGTGACTAGACCTCTTTCATTTGGGTAAAACATAAAACTGTCGATTTGTATTGATCTGTATTGACATTGTGCAGTGGGTATTTTTCTATATTTAAAATTGCAAGTCCGCAGGTAGAGCCAATGTTTAACAGTCGACCGTTTAAGTAGAAAAGAACGAAACTTAAATTAGTAAACAGACTGACTGCCGGCTAATCTATCGACACTAAAATTTAAAAGTATAGGGCTTGTATCATTATTCGAAAGAAAATCTCAATCCAAGTGAAGTCAGCAATTTTACTTTTGCCCTAAACCAAAATACAGTCATAATTGTGACTCATATCTCGTGAAAATGATTATCATCAAATAGGGTATATTATCGTGATATAGACGCGCTATTTTTGCGCATGTGTGATTGTAATATCAGTCGTATATTCAGGTTGCTTGTCGATTTTTCGCTTTTTAAAATCTCAGAGATATAAATTACATTACCAAACATGACCAAGTTTTCTCCAATTGTTCCTCGGGCAATTTACTGTTGTTATGAACCTCTATACCCTTTGTAATCTCTCCCTGTCATTAGAAATGCCCCCATTTGACACAAACCACGTATGTTATTCTGTGTACATCTGTATAGATAGGTACCAATATTATTTTAGATATAACTGACTTTAAATAAATCCGTGACAAACACGCCCACAAAAAGCATTGGCTATTTAAAGCAATAATCATAGATTTTGTTCACCTTCAAGTTTTAAACCTTTATCTTGCTGACAAGTAAGATTTGGATAGCAACAAAACATGCTATATCTATTTAGGTTGAAGATATGGCCGGCCTGATTTTCTTAAAGGGGAAGACATGCCAGTACCGCCACAGGTTGAAAATATGACCTGATTTATATTTTTCTACAATATTAACGTTTACATAAAGGGGAAGACTAGAGCAATTACTGTCATATCTCAGATAGCAACGGCTGTTCCAGGATTTATGTAATGTACTTGTCATAATATGTCTTCTAGTTCATGGGAAAGTTGAGAGTTTGGGTATTGAATTTAAACAGCAATGAGTCTTCTATTTTAAGGATTTGGTAACACGTCTACAAGTTTATCAACTTATATTTGTTTATGCAGTTTACATAAATTAATGATACCCCTCAACTGTGCGTCAAATTTAATATAAAGCTGTATGGTGACCCGTTATACCCCTTCTGTCCGTTTAAATGGATCTCAATTATGGTATAGATATTAATTACAAACAGCGTTCTGTCAAAATTTAGGCTTTTCGTGACTCATTTCAAGAGACATTTATTTCCGCATTCATTTTAATCCGTTATGCGAACCTTTTGTAACCGTATGCTTTGTCTTCAACAGCACTAATTTGTCATCCATTCATTTAATAGAACTCTTCAAAATTAAATCAAATATTTACTTCAGATTCAATATTTAGATACTAGTCCAGATGAATTTTGAATATGCTGTCATTGTTTATATTTTCTTTTATTCCATGAATATATTATTTTGATTATTGCCATTATACTAAGTTTACTTATTTTTTTAGCTAAGGCGGGATCCCGTAAATATGTGGAGGCTTCATTTTATATGTTTACATTACAGTGTCGACTATTTGGGCGACCTTCGGTTATAATTTTTTCACGACTAGTGGTCGGAACTAGAAACCAAACGCAAATGGTCCGGACCATCGTCTGTTCAAAGATGGCTGCCCCCAGGGACATGGTGATGTCATTTTACTCTGCTTTAGACCTCGAGCATAACCCTGAAAAAAAAAACCTGAAAAAAAACTACTTAACCCCAAGGAAGGTCTATACATCTCTCCATGGAGGATAATGAATCACTGTGTTACATAGTTTAATAAACAAATAATACTTTCATGAAGTTAAATTTGCATAGCTCAAATATTGAAATAATGTGTAATTTTTAGACTTACATAGCTTCAGACATAACATACGAGACAAAAAATATCTGCTCATAGAAGTAGCAACCATTTAAAATTCATTCAAGCTTTCTTAAAATCATATACTTAACAAAAATAGATTCTTTCTACTGTAGAAATTCTACATATTGTACACATTTCGTTTCATCGACACTGCCATGGTTCAGTATTTTCGGACTATGGTCCGGACTAAATGAAATTCGGATTCAGTTAGTTCGACCATAGTCAAGAAATCACGATAACCGAAGGTCGCCATGGCTGACACATTGACAGGACTAGAATCCCTAGACAAAATATAATAACGTCATTTTATAAACAAGCCACTACATATTTGTTCCTCGGGCATAAAGAAGGCCCCAGTTTCGACCATGTTTTTGCCGAGAAAGCTTCGCTGACGGTTGGGAATCTAATTAAAATAGGCCGTAACTCCACTGTTCGGACAAAATTACTCTCTCGATTAGATGGTTTGAAAATTGTTAAACCTGGTTTCATTTCACCGGACAAAGCTATGTATTCACAACAAAACTGTGTTCATTTTCAAATGAATTTCTCTGGGGCTGTACCTGCTTATATATTGTATTTGTAAAACTATTTACAAATGGTAATTATTGTCTGTGGTGAAACTATCTTAAATATAACAAACACATAATGTGTACAAACCAATGATTGTTTTCCATATAATTTTTTGCTCAATCGCTCAATTTGTTTCAATTTGATAAAAACGAATGTCCATCACGTTGGAAATGGTGTCGTATATTACCGCCGCCCCATTTGTCCGTCCGTCGTCCACATTTTTTTGTGAACACTCAACAGACTGCATTTATTATCTCACTTAATTTAATGTCAATAAATTGCGTTCATTTCTGCTAGCGGCAACAGATAATATAAATAAAGCAAACAGCTTTTAATGGGAAACTGAAAACACCCGTCTGTTAATATTTAGTCTTATTTGTTTTTGTTTATAAAAATAATAACTGTGTAGTCGATGACAATTTTGTACCTAAATATGTTATTCATTCACAAAAGACATTTTAGTATATTTTATCATGTTATAGTAATTTGTAATGTTGGTGTGGAGTGCTTGTTTTTAGAGTATATTTTATTGTTTACAGATATGAAACAAATGTATTTTGAAGCAATCTAATAAAAAAATTTTTTTTCTCTATTTATCTTATTATTCTACATGGTCATTGTTTATCAAGATCTTCCACAGCTTGCATTCTGATTCTTAAAATGACCAGATCTCTTTTATTTTGTCCAAAAGGAATGAAATGAAATGAAATGAGGTTTAACGTCCTACTGAGCTAATGAAGACAGGCATACGCCATACAGTGTGCTATGAGAGAAATTTAGCCCGTTCAGTGGCACTATGGCCTACCCTTATATCGAATTCCAATTGCCATGGAATCTTTTACGTACACGCCAGTCCTTGGTTTTTCGTCCCATCCGAACGACTAAACAGCTGTCCTTTTCAGGCCCTCCGTCCTGTATCACTGACAAGGGGAAACCACGCGGGTAAATCCCGATGAACTTTCTCAGCCAATGCAGGGATCGAACAGGCGACTTCCAGGCTCGCGAGCTAGCGTTTTACTCACTTAGCCACCGTGGCTCCCTTTCCAAAAGGAAAGTACCAATTTAACTTGATATTATGGGAGGGGGTTGGGTGGCTGAATGGTTATCGTGTGCGCGCTGTATCAAAAAGTCTATCATTGAGTCAACTGGCGTGGTTTCGATTCCCGGGTTGTACGTGACAAGGAGTACGGTCGCCTGTCCAACCTCGTGGGCTTTCTCCTGGTCCTCCGGTTTCCTCTCACTGCTAAAGACCCCTACGCGCAAGCGAATTGTTGAAATAAAATTAAACCATACGTTAGTCCCGAAATGACCTAGTTTGTGTCGAGTGGACATTAAACCCCATCTCTCTCTCTCTCTCTGATATTATGGGTAGATTCGCTTTATGGAAATGCAGTGTCTACTAAGAATCCAATGTTCTGCTTAGTATGAAATGAAATGGGGTTTACCGTCTCGCTGTTCTGCTCGACTGGGCTAATGAAGCCGGGCATACGCCATGCCCTGACAGCGGCGCTACAGCCTACTCTTAAATCGAATTCCAACTGTCAAGGGTTCTTTTACGCGCACGCCAATGTGTACACGTGACTTCGGTTTCCGTACCATTCGAACGTCTATGTTCTGCTTATTGTAATGGAGTCATGAATTTGGAGTTAATACATGTAGATGTCAGAACGACGACGTCGGACTTGTATTGTGATATTGTATTAGAGTATGTTGATAGATTATTGTAATTGCTTAAGACAATTGCCTTCATTCATTTGGGAGGTCCGCCTGTATTGCAAATAGTATCCTGGGTTAATTATGTATCATATATGGAATTAAATGGTCCATGGGCATGCAATTTCTTATTAGAATATTCATTTGTGGGCGTTAGGCGCTTACATTTCTCAGGCATCATTAAGAGACATCATTCAGAGTTCTTCGACACATCATAAGATAGACACCACAGATCGTTTCAGAAGTTAGTCTAAGTTCCAGGCCCATGGAACTAAAACTATACTTTGGAAAGACCTTGACGTTTTTGAAAAGCTGCACATTGTTTGAGGTTAAACATGAAAGTACACACGTTACGCCAATTTTAATGTAGGTAAAGTGCATGGGATCAAACATCTGCAGTGCGTACATCTGGGTTAATCTGAGTACAGAACAAACTCAGCCATGACACATACAGAGTACAGACATTACCATTACATGACATCAAAATGTTGATGTTGTGTCATCGGTATGAAAAGTCATATTACAAATCATAAAAAGTACTTGAATGGTGGTCATGTTTCCGCCATATCTGATGGCCAAAAGTAGTTTTTATGTTCAGACATACTACAGGCCAGATATGCAATATAAGTATAGAGTTCACACATAATTGGAGCCATATTTGGGGGTTGGATGGCCGAATGGTAGGCGCGTGCGCGCTGCATCATAAGGTTCATCATTGAGTGATTTCGATTCCCCGGTTGTACGTGACAAGGTGTAGGGTCGCCTGTCCAACCTCGTGGCGTGGTTTCGATCCTACACTTGCACGTGAGACGGATTCCATCGCCTATTTTTCTCCCGGTCCTCCTGTTTCCTCCCACTGCTTCCACTCTCTCTGGAGCCATATTTGCCGCCATATTGGATTGTCAAAACTAATAAAAGTCAATAATCAGACTCATTAAAACCATGTAACAAGACCCTATGCAAGGCCCCGTCGGTGTATTTTTAGGGGAATTTACACCAAAAACAGAATTCTTGGGTAAAAATACGGGTAGGAACATTCAGGGGGCATGTACATGGACGGGACGGAATGTCACGGATAGGATTTGTCCGCTCATGAACGAAATGCTACATGCTAAATTTGAAATATAAATTTCAAATGAACGACAGTTAGCGGAACACTGATTATCGACAGGATTCGTTATCTTATGACCCCAATTCTTGGAACCATATTTTAAGAAAGATCTTTTTAAAAATATAGCCTTTAGAACATTCACAAGGTTTTCGAAACAGGGGGCTTAACTCCAGAATACTCACCTTAGTTCTTTTGATCATGTATATAAATTCTAAATCGGACTAACAAACTTTGTACATATTTCACATTTTGCGTGGAAGGAGGCGAATGGTTAACGTGTGCGCGTTGAATCATGAGGTCATATCATTGAGTCAAGTGGCGTGGTTTCGATTCTCCGCGTGTACGTGACAAGGAGTAGGGTCGCCTGTCTAACCTCGTGGGTTTTCTCCCACTTCTTAAGACACCTACGCGCTAGCGAATTACTGAAAAAAAATTGAACGAAATGACTTATTTTGTGTCGAGTGGACTTTAACCCCCCCCCCCCACTTTCAGTACAACGTCTACAGTTCTGAGCCATGGTTGTGGTTGACATCTGAAGACAGTGAACGCGCCGATGGGTTGATATGAATTAACATTGCAACGAGTGTGGGGGACACAAGCTTGGTTAATTCCATACGGACCACAATTGTCCCCACTGAAATGTTTCATAAAAGAAATTATTGGACTCAAGATACAATGTCCGCCAGACACCAATGTTCATAGGGTAAAGGTAATCATGAATAAAAACATGTCATTATTATCGCGGATCTATGTTGCAAACACGGACTTTTATAAATTGATCTTAATCCTCCCGGACAGACTCACCATAATACCTAACAGAGAACTGTATTTAAAATAAATTTGATATGTGCTTCTTTTTGTTGATAACAGAGCATTGTTTTACACATTTACTGGTGGACTACTTGACTCACCAGTTTACCCAAACCATTAACAACTGGTGGGCCAACATTTTAGGGATTATCCATACCATGGAACATCAACTTTCCACCAAGAAAACAGGCTACCGAAATGATCTTCATCGACTAAATCATGTATGAATACTCCCCCCCCAACCCCCACCGTAACATATTATTTTAATAAAGAAAAAATAGTCTTTTTTTTTGATAAAATAACAAACTATTCTTACAGCTGTGATACTATGCAGTTGACAGTTACGTTTTTGTTACTGAATTTGGGTGTCCTTGCACAATTCTATACCACTTTCTTAGAATGCGTTACTCACAGTTCCAGCCCTCAGCTATTTCTGAAAATTGGTGATCTGATTTCCTTTAAAAAATTACAAACTGTTACCTCATTTGGTGGACGTCCGGTCAAAGGTCTCAGATCATGTGATAGAGGGCTGTAGGTGGCTGGATTCAAACGGTTACACATATGGTTATAATAACTGGGGTAGACATCTTCTGTTTTAAATGTGTTTAACGTTTAAGTTCTGCAAGATAGTTGCTGTAATTTGAAGTACGTATCGCAAGCTAATCTTGTTGTGTTTACACACCTCTTTGTGGGGATCCTGTGACCAGAGAGCCATGACAACGTATCGTGTCATCCAGAAGGGTTGGTAGGTTCACACAGCGTTGGTCGTCCGTTGTTCTGTGTCGGTCTCTGTGGTTATAGAACGACCGGGGTTAGACTACTGAGAAAGTTCCCTCCCCCTCCCCGGTACACTTTTCACTCAGGGTCCACCACTTTAAAAGTTGCCCGCTATGACAGCAATGGTATATCTGTTTGGCAACCGATTGAATTGAAAGAATTTGCTTGCGATGATTATCATTGAAGCTGATAAGACACCACACCGGATGTAAGTTACATATATAAAGAGTTCTGATAAGAGGTAAACGGCCATAAAGAACACAGAGTCGTCTATCCAAAATGGAAAGTCGTGGCTTCATAATATTAGTATTTCTGGTACCGTTAATGAACGGTGTTAGCAGTTTAGACTTAACACGCAACCGAAGAGATGATGCATGTCAAATAGACCAAAACCAGCGAATAGATTGTTATCCGGAAAGTGGTTCCAGTCATCAAGGTTGTCTAGATAGAGGTGAGTCAATTTAATCAGGATCAAAAATGATTCTTCATCATTTGGTTGCGCAAGTATGAACAAACCGAATCACAGGATTCATCACAAATATGACAATTGATATAACGCTAATTTATATATAAAAACAAAATCAAATATATATTACACACATCTGTCTAAAAAGTATTATTTATATTAAAAGTATTATTTAGATTAAAAGTATTATTTAGATTAAAAGTATATATTTAGATTAAAAATAGTACAAAATTTAACACAATTAATGTAATTGCACCCGCTGTCCGAAACCCGATGAAATAACCATTCATAATTTTGCTCAGAATAAAGTTATTTGGCTGAAATTCTCAACATTTTCATTTTTCATATCTAATTTTGAACTATTCTAACAAGAATAGACAGCCCTTTCTCTACATATCGCATAATGTCTCGTTTGTGACCAATTATATTGCAAAATTAGGTTATCAACGAACCCATTTTCGTATGAAACTATTGTATCCCTAATTTAAAATGTAATTGATAATATATTTAGTCAGACATGTTTTAGGGTCTATCTTGGTGAGATCCATTATAGAGATAGGTTTCCATGCAACAAAAGATAAACCACTACAGCTATGTCGTTCTGGCAGTCGACAAAGGTTGTCCAATATTTATTCTTTTTTAGGTAGTGGGGACACTTACACGATACTAGATTAACAAAAATAATGCAATTAGTAAATGATTTAGAGAGTTTTGTGGTCTTTTTGGGATGTTAACCAATAAGACTACATGTTGACTAATGTAATTTTTCGTACATAAGTTCGAGGATTTTCACGTGTGATATGTGTGTAAATTGTAATGGCCTTCTCTGTAGCATTTCTGACTTTATTAATTTTTAATAACATCACATATTTAAAATAGCATTAGACTCAGTTATAGAACAACGACATCCAGTAGGCGGTATATAGCAGCATATAATAACTTTTGAAAAATAATGATATACCTTTAGTTACTTTCATTGGGCTATTACAATAAACTATAACTATCGGTTAAATGTAACTATCTGTATCTTGTGACAGTCAATTCTTTTTATAAATAGTTGATTCTGAACTGATATCCCCCCACAGTCTCATATATAACAGCTATTTGTGTTCATCTAGATGACCAGTGAGCTGAACATCATCTGTGTTTCTCAAAAATTGATTTCTTTTATTTGCTTCATATCCGGACTATCCAAATCGTTTTTCTGCATCATCGGTAGCAAAGATCTATAATTGTTATGTATTGCAAAATGAAATGAAATGAAATAAAATGGGGTTTAACGTCCTACTGTTCTGCTCCTAACCTGGGCTAATGAAGACGGGCATACGCCTTACAGTGTGCTATGAGGGAAATTTTGCCCGGGCAGCGGCGCTACGGCCCACTCTTACCTCGGTTTTTCGTCCCATCCGAACGATTAGACAGCTGTCCTTGTCAGGCCCTCCGTCCTGCATCACTGACAAGGGGAAACCACGCCGGCAAATCTGGATGAACTTTCTCGGCCAATGCAGGGATCGAACACCCGACCTCCAGGCTAGCGAGCCAGCGTCTTACCCACTTAGCCACGTGATATGTAAAATTGTTGGACATTGACACAATTGTTGTTTAAACGTTAGTAGAGAAGAGAATAATATCTTTAATTTCAGGATGTTGTTGGCTCGAACCACCTGGTGGAGTTCACAATATACCATGGTGTTTCAAGCCATCTGGGGGAGCAACTGGGCAGATAACTCGGGCTCCAATAAATGTGGACCCTAAGTGTGCTTCTACACCTGAAGACCGTCGGGCGGATTGTTATCCAGAGCCCGGATCAACACAGGGTGGTTGCGAGAGTAGGGGTTGCTGTTGGCAAGCCTCGTCTACACCTGGCGTACCCTACTGTTATTACGTTGAAGATAAAGACATCGGTTACCAGGTTGATAGCATATCTGCCGATAAATCTTCAGCTACAATAAGCATCATCAAAGCAGGTCATTGGGCTAATCCAGTTAATAATTTGAAGTTGGATATTTACAGAGAGACACCGAAAAGACTGCATTTTAAGGTACTTTTGCATCTATAAACGAACTAAATTATAAGTTCAACATTGTAAAGCTTGAATTATCGTTTAATCACATATGGATGTAATTAATCAAAAGCACAATTTTCTAGAATGACACTAGTCTCTAACCAAATAGAATATTATTAAAATAATCAAGTCCTAAATGCATTTACGACCATCTTATAAAGTTCCAAAGATTATTCAAATCAATCAATTTGACTGAGGTTGTAATTGCTTTCTGTTATAAAATGACGACAAGAATTCATTTCGATCCATAACCACTGACGCCAGAATATCATCTAACCTATGTTTGTTTCATTGGTCTATATGAATTATTTTTGTTGACTTTAAATAAGGAAGTGATTTTTAGCCTTCATGAGTGTCATGGCTTTGATCCTCTTTGTCGGTATTTTAAAGTGCGTGGGGATGGGTGGTGAGGGGCGAAAGGGAACAGTTGGTGCAGAAACGTAGGACGTTAAATCCCATCCATTTCATTTAAGTTAATTGATCATGGATTGCCTATTTCGAGGAACGCATGGTATACAAAGAAAATGATTTCATTTACTAATTAATTGTAAATTGTTTCTAAGTTTTATTTATCTATTTTTTTTAAGATCACCGATCCTAATAATAAAAGATTTGAAGTCCCTATAACTACACCGGTACCAAGTAACGATGCAGGTGACACGGCTGAGTATGATATCCAAATTGTGGAGAAACAGTTCGGGGTTGTGGTCAAGCGGAAATCATCAGGGGCCATTTTGTAAGTAAAATTACATATAATATGGTTATAATGGCGGTTTAAACATACGATGAACTATCAGTGGTAACTACGTGGAACATTTACACCTTGAATCCAAGAAAATGGTACCTACCGATATACAACACATTGAAATTTCCGGTTAGAATTGGTTAGAATCTATATACAATTGGTAGAGCTGTTGTTGGTGTTTTGGTTGCTGGCAATTCTATGTTATATTCATAATCACAGAGGCGGTGGGAATGTATAGACAGTGCAGCACCAATTTTCCAACATGAACACAAAAAATCCCCAAATACCAAAGTGAGTGGCAAAGCGCGTCACAATAACATAATAGGGCAGTTAGGTATGATCGTTTTCCAAAAATAAAACCGTTTTCAATACTGACGACAGACATTTCTCTTCTTTTAATTTTGGTCCAGGAACTGGGCCCCAAATAATTGTTTATATTGTTATCGTTCTACAGATTTGATACGAGTATTGGACCACTGACTTATGCTGACCAGTTTATAGAAATAGCTACATCACTACCGACATCATATATCTATGGATTGGGTGAACATCGTGGACAATTTTGGCTGGATCCTAAACAACATAGAAAACTTAGCATGTGGGCGCGTGATATACCACCATCGGTAAATACAATATATATACTATTCAAAAAAAGTAGGGGATATTTGATTTTGGGGGCATAATACTAAAATATGCAAATGACTACGAAAAAAGTCACTATAGAACCTAACAGAAGAAACATTTCCAGTTACATGTGACGCCCAAACGCACCAATAGCTACCGCATGGAATGCAGGTGATGCTTGGGATCATCATGAGGGTCCAACCCAAGATTTGCACGACTCTGACTTTGAATGTTACAGTCATTTTGGCATTGAATTCCAGGGTGGAAACATCAGTTTAATTGTTTTACTGACCAGAAAACAAATTTTGATATGCGTCGGCTTACCCAAAATGAAAGGTTACGTGCCCTTGGCATGCTACAGATCGGCACAACACAGGCGGTTGTGGCGCGGACGATGAATGTTTCTCAGTCTGTCATAAGCAGGCTATGGTCCAGATACCGTGATACACAATCTGTACAGGACAGACCACGCTCAGGTCGACCAAGGGCGACAACTCAAGCCCAGGATCGATTTATCCGTACCTTGGCCTTGAGAAATCGTGTCATCACAGCAAATCAGATCAGCGCTCGTCTTCAAACAGACACTGGTGTGAGAGTGAGTGGCCAGACGATTCGGAATCGACTGCATAGGGGTCACCTTCGCGCCCGACGTCCTCGCGTGATCCCTTGTTTGAGAGATCATCACATTCAGGCAAGACGTCGTTGGTGTAGGGATCGTCAACACTGGGATAATCGACGCTGGAGCAATGTGATGTTTTCAGATGAGTCAAGGTTCACTGTTGATTTTTTTGGACAGACGTAGGAGGGTGTGGCGTCGTCGAAACGAGCGCTTCCAAGACGTTAACGTCATCAGACATGATCGATTTGGGGGTGGTTCTGTTATGGTGTGGGGAGGCATCACTGTTGCTGGAAGAACGGCTTTACATGTTGTTGCAGGGCGTGTTACAGGCCAGTACTACCGGGACAACATCTTGGCAGTCCATGTTGTGCCGTTCGCACGACGTCATGGCCGCCATTTCATCTTCCAGGATGACAACGCAAGATGTCACATGGCCAGGATCGTTACAGGTTACCTCCAACAACAGAACATCACCACATTACCTTGGCCAGCACTGAGTCCCGACCTCTCCCCCATCGAGCATGTCTGGGACATGCTTGGACAGAGGTTACGTCAACGTCAACAACGTCCTGCCGATGTCCAAGAACTTGCTGCTGCGTTGCAACAGGAATGGGACAATCTGGACCAAAATGACCTTAGACGTCTCATTAGGAGTATGCCACGTCGGATCAATGCTTTTTTGGCAAACAGAGGAGGATTTACCCGTTACTGACTTGGTTGTGATGCTGTGGTAACTTTGCTGTTTGACCCCGGGTATCATTTTACCCTTATAATGGTCAGTCTGTGCCTTACTTAGTCTAACAATCATTTGGAATAAATCGATGAATGTGAACTTCATTTCATTTTGTCATTTGTTTCTTCGTCAGTTTCATTAGGTGACTTTAATAACACTTAAAAATCAAATATCCCCTACTTTTTTTGAATAGTATATTACAGAATACGACAATGCCTTAAAACGACAGAGTAGATATAAATGTAGAGAAATGTAATGGTGTCAAAATCTGTTGACTTAGTTCGGTGATGATTATTTTCTGGTAAGGTTCGGCAGAGCTTATCAGTTTGATTTGTCGAGTCTCTTGTTCTCATTGCGTGATTGATGTGGGGAACATCCGACTCACTGTTTAAATTCTGTAAGTCTTATTGCAAATTTAATAAACTGCAAATTATCTTATCTCAGTGCAACTGGTTAATAGTTTATTTACTGTGATCATGGTTCCCCTCATAACGTCATTAATTAAATCCCAATTCTGCATTGATCAAACTAATATCAGCTGGTGGTTTGTTTATTTAAGGCGATTACTAAAATTGGAATGAAATATGTAAAACAATCGGCAATGGCTCGCCTGGAGTTTCAAAGGAGCTAAATTAAGATTTTACAAGCACTTTATAACAATCAGCATATTATGTACTTTTTTATTCAAACAGGACAATGTAAATCTTTATGGGTCACATCCATTTTTCTTGGGAATAGAAAATGACGGTAACGCTTATGGAGTTTTCTTACTAAACAGCAACGCAATGGGTAAGAAATTTGTTGTGTTCTTTTTAGAATTAGGTTAAAATTGTGTGTAACATTAGTTATGGTATGGCAAGTTTTCCATTATTTATTATTTTAAGAGTGCTGGAAAGATTTTATTTTTATGGTCCTACTCCGAATTTTTATAAAGGAGCATTTCAATTTTACTGGGATTGTTTGCCTAGTCCTAAGGAGGAACCCTATGGTAATCCATATAGATTGGAGATTTGATACATTATTTTCAGACGGGACATAACAACGAAGTTATTGTTTTTATAATTTATACAAAATAGAAACTATATCACGAAGTCTCTGCTCTCTCTGATGAATAAATGGCTCTTAGGGGTTTACATATACAGGCAACATATCTTGATATATATTCTACTATATACTTGTTGATTTTACATGAAAGCTTTGATTAGGTATGTTCATGTATGTTGTATTAAATCTTAGATGAAATTAATTCATAACATACCTTAATTTTGGTGTTTACAGAAGTTGCATTGTCACCAACTACTCCCGTTACATTGCGTTATAAAACCATTGGAGGAATCTTAGATTTTTACATCTTCACTGGTCCAAGTCCAAATGAAGTCATCGAACAATATTTAGAAGTTATTGGTAAGCCAATGTTGCCGCCATATTGGTCTTTGGGATTCCACAACTGCCGTTGGGGTTATGGTGGTAGTGCTGGCATGCGGGAAGTTATTAAAAGATTACGAGATAACGGCATTCCCTTTGTAAGTTGACTAAATATATCACTCAAAATAAATAGTCCTGCAAACCACCGGTTTCAAAATCTGATTGGATTCGGAAATCAGTTGTGTGCAGAACCCTATACAATATAAATGAGTAACTGATGACTTAGTGTGTGATTGATGATAATCTACAGATTTCAATGCTGACCTCGTTAATGTGTCCACTGATTGATGACGGTAGTGATAAGTGTCTTGCACAAAGTAGGGTGTGAATATCGTTTCCATTGGGTCTTAGTTTGCAGTGAGGCGTTTTTATGAAGCTAGATCACTTACTATTGATTGATTCTGTCGAATTTGACCGAATCTGGCAAATCTATATTGTAACTTAACATACTTTCGACACAGCCATGTCCTGGCAATGTTGATATAACATAATTTCAGGATACACAATGGAATGATATAGATTATATGATTGAACATAGAGATTGGTCATATGATACTAAAACATATGGAGAACTACCAGCTATTGTTAAAGATCTTCACGATCATGATCAGAAATATGTTATTATTTTGGTGAGAACCGTTTTATTTCACTTTTTATACACCCACATTGAAATGCGGTCCTATATTGTCAACGCCCCGTCCATCCGTCCGTCGGTCCGGCGACCACAATTGTTTATGGGCGCTCTAGAAGCTAAGGTTAATATCGGTGTTTACGGTTATGATGCTATTGATTTTCAACGATCTCCGATAATTACTGGCAGAGTTATTTCCCTTGACCACTTTGATAAATCTTGTGGACCCTGTAGAGGCTAAAGTTAATATCTGATTAATTCAAATTTATACACGATGTTTGCGGTCATGAGACGAAGAAGCCCATTGGTATTCAACAGTTTCCGATAATTATTGCCAGAGTTATGACCCCTGATTACTTTGAAAAATCGTGTGGACGCTCTAGAGGTTAATATCCGATACACGGTATCCCAGACGGGGATTGGTGTTCAAAAATTCCCGATAATTACTGCCAAAGTTATGGCCCTTGATCACTTTGAAAACTCTCGTGGACACTCTATAGGCTGGAGATGATATCTGATTACACACAGTGTTTGAGGTCATGAGACGAAGAAGTTTATCGATTTTCGAGGAATTCCCATAATTACTGCCAAGAGCTATGGACCTTATAATTACTTTGAAAATTCTTGCTGATGCTCTACAGACCAAAGTTACTATTCGATTGACCTTAAATTTATACGCAGATTTTAAGGTATTGTGACGAACAAGTATATTGCAATGATTATTGTTGACATGAACAGCTAAATCCCTGATATTAAATTGTTGTATAGTAATATCTTGGTTCCTTTCGATATTCGCGCATATCGGATCGTATCTTCCTGAATTTTGGCCCCTGATTGTACGAAAAATCGCGGTTTTAGCTCAGAATTATTATCCGATTTAAAAAAAAACGTTCGAATATATCACCGTTATACCGTAATGTTAGTTGAGTTCAAATTTCGCGAAAATCGGACCAAAACTGCCGGACAAAATGGCCGCCCCTATACGCAAATAGTGTAAACATATGGTATACATGTATATCAACCATTTGATTAAAAACAAAGAGGAGTGATTTTAACATAGAGTTTCAGAAGAAGAAAACCCTAATACTATATACTGATCCCTGGGTTACGAGAATCAGGGTTGTGAGAGTCGCGGTTAGATAACTGAACAGTCTATCTTTCTTTCAAATCAATCTCACGTCCGTTGTATCTTTTTTTCTTATACTCTTTCCTTGTGTCCCTTATCCATCAAATAATTCACTGCTATCAGTTCAACCAAGCGGTTGCCATGCAAGATACGCCCACATTTTGCAAGAAATGGAAGGGGAAGAGGTAAAATCAACAGGGCTCATCCCCTCATTCAAGATCTTTTGATCTTTAATATATATATTTGTCAAATTTTATCTGAATGGGACAACAATTACCCCCCCCCCCCCCTTGAGGCTACAAAATTCATACATATTTGAAATTTTGCGTGAAAAGCAGGGACTATAGCTCTAGAATGCAAGGTCTAATGCGTACCAAAGTCGAACTCATCCAAGAACATAGCGCATAGTTTAAGTTTTATAAGCTATAAACCTGATATTTCGTACAATCACGGGGTCATAATCCAGAAAGTTACGGTCCAACACGCGCCAATATCGAAAGGAACCCAGATCTTTGGGATATAAATATATATTTAAAGTTTCATCAAAACTGGATAAAAAAAAATCGAACCTCTAGATGGTCCACAAGATGAGTATTACGGTCAGATCTAAATATTAAGGCCACCAGCAAGATCACGAGATGTAAACAGGCGGCCCCTGGACCCTCACCTAAAGACCTAGAACTGTAGCGCCCCCCCTCCCCCCGCAATCAAAAATTGCCTCCGCCGGCCCTGATCTTCTGGCAACCGCTGATTTATGTAAGGAAACAACTGTTCTTAAAGTGTTTTTTTTATCTAAGCAAACAACTATTCTTAAAGTTTTTATTTGAGCAAACAAGAGTTCTTGAAAAAGTATTTAATACTAGCTGGATACTTGGCTTCGCCAGGGGCCCAAGATCTGAAACCTTGACCTTCTTAAATAATGACCTAAACATTCACAGGGTCATGCTGGCTGATTTGATACCAAGTGGGGGGACGGGGGATCGGGGCGACGAAGCATGTTGGGCAAACAAACACAAGGAAATCTTTGTTTTCAGTGATATTGATAGCTAAGCAAATAAATACCGATATAGTTAGTTTTATAGAAGCAAACAATACTTCTTAAAGTTTTTTTCAAGAGCTAAATCGCTAATATTTGGGACCCAGAAATTGACACAGATAAGCCAACAACATTTTAAAAGTTCTTTAAGTATAGTTAATCAATTATTCCTTCAACAAGAAACAATTCTGAAATAAATCTTTTTAAAAATCTTTATATGATGAATGTATCCGTCGTAAAATAGTATAAGTTTAAGGACTAAAATAGCGAGCCATGGCAGTAATATACATCTTTTTGAGATATTCTTTAATTTTTAGAATTATATTTTTTAATAAAGGATCCTGGTATAAGCTCTACAGCCACAAACTATCCATCATATGATGAAGGTGTTAAAGATGATATATTTATTAAAGATGCTGATGGAAATAATTTAATTGGAAGTGTAAGTTTTGTTTGTTTTTCTAAATGAATTAAAGGAAGTATGTTTTTAAGCCATGGTTTTTTAGCCCAACAAAGTTCACCTCGCGCATTTCAAACGCAACCGCCAGGATAGAAATGGCCATATGCTAGTCTCCACATGACTGAAGTATATTTATGACCAGACGTTAAACCCCAGCCTATTCCACGGCATATATACCCAAAAGTTTAATGGGTTTTTAAAGGGATATTCTTCTGATTAATTATAAATTGAAAGCCGCCCGGGCATAAATGCCTTTATTTTTTTAATGGAAGGAATTGAAAAATGGCATTTTTGGGTCAGTGGGCAATTTCCTTTTCTTATGTTTATTTTAGGATGTTCTTGAGATTTTGTAAAATTTTACAGCAAAACGACAATATATCTTAATATTCATTTGTGTTTAAAATAGCTCGAGAAACATTTTGGTGGTTTTTGGGTGTATTTAGTTATTTCTAAATTTAGGTATGGCCAGGTGAAACAACATATCCTGATTTCACTAATCCTAAAGCAGAAGTTTGGTGGGAAAGACAGGGTAAACGATTCCATGATCAAGTTCCATATGACGGTATCTGGATTGTAAGTATTATGCTCTGTATCATATAAAATCATCTAGAAAACAAATTTTGTCAAGTACTGATCTACTTTGTGAAAATTAATTTTCACACTTTAAATGTTATTTTAAAGGAGCTAAATCGCTAATATTTGGGATTAGAAATTGACAAAAATGGGTCGCAACGCATATAATAATGTAATATGAATGTATATAAACTGATTTACATTCAATCGTTTCTGTTTTTACTGTAATTTCCAATCAGTTATGTTCGGCGAAATACGCCAGAAGTCTCATGTGAATGCAATCTTTAGCGTTTGGTTTTTCCAGTCTACACCGATGGTATTTACTGCGCATGCTCTCCAGATAAGAATATAGCGTCGCCCTTTGACATGAATTGTGGAATATGTCTATCCCTGTTCTTTGAGTCCCTTGTTCCAAATGGCGATGAAACGCATTATGGTACACGATTTTCCGATGGTAAAATGTTTATTTTGTCTTGAATATTGGATATCAAAAGCCCATCTTTTCCCTGTAAGATCACAAGACCAATGTTGATTTGAATTGACAAATAATTCGTCTTTTCAATGTCGAAGATTTTTGATGATATTGAGTTAGAGACTTGGCTACTTTAACCCATACTTGCTCCATATTACAGGATATGAATGAACCATCTAATTTTGTTGTGGGTTCTACTAAAGGTTGTACAGATAATAGATACGATAACCCTCCATTTACACCAGGTAAATAAACATGTATTTTATTGGATACATAGAAAAAGGTACCAGTGTGAGAAAACGGGTACTGAGAGACATGGCAGCATTAAGAAAATTTGGTATTATACACTGGACAATTTATCGTACAGGAGCCTTTAATCTGTCTGGAAATATTTTGAAGTCTAAATTAATTAGGATACTGGTGTCCACTTTGATTCTTTCCAGAATATACTACTGTAATATTTTACTCAGTGCCGGACTGGGCCCACCTGTCCAGCTGTCCGTGACAGGTGGGCCTAAGCTCATTAAAAAAAAGTGGTCCTAAGCCTATAAAGAAAAAAGGAAAAAGAAAAAAGAGAAAGAAAAAAGAAAAAAAGATAAGAGAAAGAAAGGAGAGGGGGAGGAAATAAAAGAAAGAAGGAAGCAGGGGACAGGACACAGGACAGGAGAAAGAAAAAATTTGCTCTCTTCTGCTTTGGTCTGAAATGCTTGGAAAATGGGTTGCGGTTGTCAATTTTCAAAATTTTCCTGACCCCCCTCGGAAGCTCGCTCGCATTAGCTGCGCTACTGCCTTTTGCGGGTACTTGTGTGGGCCTTGGTCAATGACCTGGCAGGTGGGCCGAAGTCCGGCACTGATTTTACTAGACGATTTACCATCTTTTCTTTCTTGTTTCGCTACTCTAAAGAATCCAGAACACAGTAAACAGGATAATCATATATCTTGCCCCTCGCTAGTCACATATAACGTTTCAGCATGGTAATCCTCGGGCACATATCTTTGGGACGTCGTCACTCACGAAGTCCCCAACTGCAAAATGTCCGTCAAATGGAAACAGCAATTCGGAGGCTTATCGTCTTCGCGCGGCAACGTCGAAACGTTGCATGACATGTAATAGCGGTTAGAAGTGGACGCACACGTTACTGACTTTTGATTTTTACTCCTTGTGCCTAAGTAGTAAAGTTCATGTTGCTGTTGATTTTATTGTGTCGGTAAATGTTCAGAAAAACCCCACTGTTCGCTGCATTATGTCTCTCCAGCATTTCGCGTGAAATAAGTGGTGCGTTTTCATTCCGTCTCAGTATATGTTTCTGTTCTCAAACTACAAAGCGATTTCTTAACTCCAATAGCAATAATCCAATTATACTTGACGTTATGAGCAACGTTTGTTACAGTAAGTAAATTTATTACCCGAGGGACTACCACAAGACTATTGAATAGCCTACATAGTGCAATGGCAGAAAGTGATGGAAAGTATGGCAAGCCAAAGCGGAATTAATTGCAAGACCGTTTTTCTGCATGGAAAGAGAAAAAATCGAGTATATAACTATTTTTTCGTCACCTTCCAAGCATGTTTTTCTGTACAAAACGACGTATAAAGATTCAATAAAGATTATTTTTTTCCATTGCTGCTCTTGTATTTTGTTATAGTCCAGTCAATTTATACTGTTCACGGAAATATTTTACCATTATATTTGGTTTTTATGTTATATACTCGATTTCTTCTCTTTCCATACAGAAAAACGGTCTTGCAATTAATTCCGCTTTGGCTTGCCATAGGAAACAGTTCTCTGGAATAAAATATTACGGTTTATTACTGAGCGACGTTACGATTACGATTCTCTAGTCGTTATTAGGCTTTTCTATTGTTTATTCCCAAGATTGGGTTGGTAAATGTTATTCTGTTGTCGTGTTGAGTCAATATTAATTTATATCACTTAATTATGTATATTCACAACTTATTTCAGTTATGGCAGGTGGAAGTCTTCGAGATAAAACAATCTGCCCTTCTGCTAAACAGTACATGGGAATGCACTATGATCTTCATAATATGTATGGCCATTTTGAAGGAAAAGCAACTAATGAGTAAGCTATTTAATCAATTGAACAAAATCAAATTAGAATTACTCAGTAGTAAACCTTCAAGAAGAAACTGTCCTTTGGGATTTTTCACCAGGTCTATATTATATATTTACAGACTTTTGACTAACATCAGAAAGAAACGACCCTTTGTATTGTCACGATCAACGTTTGTGAGTAGTGGAAAATATGTAGCTCATTGGGAAGGTGATAACAATTCAGACTGGTATGATCTTAAAATCTCTATTCCAGGTAACGCCTATTAAATATTTTGTATTTGCTATACTAATAGAGTAGTAACTTAATTTTTATGCTGTTGCTAGTCATTTCTGCATAATCTGAAATGGACGAATCCAAGTTAAGAGGTCCTTACAAATTTAGAAATAAACACTTTCCGTTTCAAATTTCAATTTCCGCCACACCTGTCCATGGGATGAACCATTTACTCTAATATATACCTTATACTTGTCAAAACTAAGAAATCCATTCCGAAAAAGGATTACAAAACTAAAACTAAAAAGTCTTTTTCTTGGAGATGTTCTTTTATCTTGTTACAGAAATTTTGAATTTTAATATGTTCGGTATACCATTTGTTGGATGTGATGTATGTGGATTTTTTGGAACAACCACAGACGAATTATGTACAAGATGGTTTCAGCTTGCTACATTTTATCCTTTTATGAGAAACCACAGAGATAATAAAGGGCCGGTAAATACGTTTTAGTTTCTTTTGGAAAAAATAAAGCTGCTTATAAATCTGTTCATCATCTGTTCTGTTAATTCTCGTGGTAGTGTCGAAGAGTCTACTACCTCCGTCAGTGCCGTCATTGACCAAGGCCCACACAAGTACGCGCCGAAGGCGCACGAGCGTCCGAGGGGGGTTCTGTTAATTCTCGTGGTAGTGTCGAAGAGTCTACTACCTCCGTCAGTGCCGTCATTGACCAAGGCCCACACAAGTACGCGCCGAAGGCGCACGAGCGTCCGAGGGGGGTCTGGGGATGGGGGGGGGGGGTCTGCCCCCATGAAAATTTTGAAAATTGGCAAACGCAAACCCATTTTCCAAGCATTTCAGACCAAAGCAGAAGAAGGCAATTTTTTCATTTCCTGATACAATTAGATAACAGAATGACCTAAGAGCACTATCATAAGATGAATTTGAGAATTCTCCTCTCCTTCCTTCTTTCCTCCCCCTCTCCTTTCTTTCTCTTTTCTTTTTTCTTTCTCTTTTTTCTTTTTTCTTTATAGGCTCAGGCCCACTTTTTTTTAATGAGCTTAGGCCCACCTGTCACGGACAGGTGGACAGGTGGGCCCAGTCCGGCACTGACCTCCGTAATGATCTCCTATTTCCTATTAAATTTTCTATTATCTTTGAAGCTTACAGTAAGCTACTGTGATTATAGATAAGAACCTTTTTGTGAAATCAGGGAATCTCTTCATTGGTCGGATGAGAGGCCAGTTTGAGTTAACTGAACATCTTTGAGATGTTGTTAGACCTTATTGTACTATAGCTTCTAAAGACAAAGGCCCGTTCAAACGAAAGAATATGTGGTATAATTTAATTAGACTGACACTGTAGGACCCTATTCTATTCTAAATTTAAACCACCTGCTAATATCTGAGCAACAAGTCGTGTACAGAACGGTTTTCATCAGTCTTTGAGACGTTTTGGTGCGTACTTTCATTCGGTTCTTAATTAAAACAAAATATTATATAGTTTTTGGCAGCAGGGTCTTGGGTGTCAACTTGTGGAAGCAGACGTTAAGCCCCAGATATTTGAATGTGTCTCTATTTCAGCATCAAGATCCCATGTCACCAGATTTTAGTGGTACAACTCAAGCGAGTATTAAAAAAACCTTATTACTTAGATATCGCATCTTACCATACCTGTATACGTCATTATATCTGAGTCATACTACAGGACAGGGTGTAGCCAGGCCGTTATTCTTCAAGTAAGTCCATTCAAGGCTCACGGCCAGTCTCGTGTGTTCCAAGAAAACTAAAGAAGCCAATTTTTTTTATGATCAGTAGTGGAAAACCGCGTTTTATCAGTGAAATAAAAGTGTTATTCCGCTGGCTAGCAGTAGTCAATGTTGTTTTTACCTAAAATGGTTCTAAAATCATAAAATAAATAGAACATTTATCGTTTTGTCGTGAATAACATATTTTATTTCATCTCTAAGCAAGAAAACGTTTATATTTTCACTCATGCTACGCATTCGTGAAAATATAAGTTTTCTTGCTTCTCTATAAAATAAAATATATTATTCACTCTAAAACGACAAATATCCTCTATATAACTTCAATATACGTAATTGACGAGAAATACACACGAATAGTAATTATAATTATAAATTCATCTGTTTTTCACCTGGATTGCTCAACTTAACAAATTACGCAGGCCTGATATTCTTATATAACAGTGTATTTTGTCCGGTGCATCATGTCACAATTTCTTGATAGCCCTATTCGTATTGGAATCTCACAGCAGACATTATTACAGAGGATCAACTCTGGTAGTTGTAGGAGTCAAAAATTAGCATATCAATTTTCCATCTAGTTTCATCGACAACTTATAAAATCAAATAACCACCGGTTGATATTAATTAATTATGATAAATGAAATATTAAACTAACATCTGAAATAAATATTTGCCATTAATAAAGTTTTGCTGCTGACGTAACCTAAATAGAAGTGATGCTGATAAACTGTTAATTCATATCCGTTTGTTTTCATAATATGTATTGATTTAGTTAATAGTTTCCTTTCGCAAAGATGGTATAGCCAAGCGATCCAGGTGTAAGTGAACAGCATTAATATAGCATGTATTAATATAGCTTTACCTCCGGTTTCTCTAAAATACTGTTTGAATATTCTGCACATTGTTGAAAGGACCAATAGCTGCCCTTTTAATAGATTAAGCGCAGGGGACATATAATATAACACGAACTGTGGATTCTAGCTATTGACTGTTCAGCTCAATCCGAACTCTGTTCTTTCAAATTCAACTATACTCCCAAATGACTTTGTCAAGGTAAATCCCTTAGCTCACTCAGTAGTTCTAGAATTCACTTAGCACCGGAAGTACACTGCCACACTTACATTAGAGCCTTTCTCTCCTTTTTAATCCACCATATTTTCTGTCTCCCTGACTACATGTTTTACACGGTGTGTTTTTTATATTGTTTGGTTTTTTTCATCAGATACCCGACAGATCAGACTGCCTTAACCATTGATGATCAATTTATGTGGAGAGATGGTCTCTTGGTTTCACCTGTAGTCACACAGGTACGCATTAACAAATCTGATTCCGTTTCATACGATTTGCTGACAGAATATGTTCACTGGTGGCATTACCTGTACTTCACGTGAAGCTAACACGGGTAATGCTTAGGCTTAGGGAAATGGTGGACGAATTCTGTAATCGCTACACAAAAGTATTGTAGTCGTTGCATTCGGATATTGTATCAAAGCTGGAAGGGTGTCAACTAAATCGAAATTAGTTCCCCGTGTATGTTTTGGCATTTTACATTGCTTATGAGGATGGCCACGTTTTATAGATAAACCTTTGGTCAATTCATGGTGGACATATGCTAGAAGTCATCTTGTAAACTCCTTTCTATGACATTTTTATGTGGATTTTGTATTAAAAGGGTGGTCAGCAAGTAGAAGCTTATTTCCCGAAAGATCGATGGTTTGATTTCTATGATGGTGGTGAAGTCGCATCAACTGGAAAGAAAGTAACTTTACAAGCCCCGTTAGATAAAATAAATCTTCATATTAGAGGTGGAACCATTATTCCTGTTCAAGAACCAGATGTTACTACCACTGCTAGGTAATATAGATTTCAGTCTCTTACAATGTTCGGTTTTGGATTAAAGAGTCATTTGTTTGAAGTCTCATGCCGTTATTTTAGCGCAATAGGAATCCCTTGCAAACTACAATATAGGGATACAAGTCTGACACAGGTATTTTACCTGTTTTGCGATCTCCCATTTATCTATAGCGAATACAACATCACTTAAAAAAACAACAAAAAAACCTACAATATTGTAAAAGATGAAGGCAAAAATGGCTGAATTCCGTTCAATATTTACAAAGTTATGTTCAATTGAAATTTCACCGATATATGCTGTTTGCTATAATATAAAACCGCTGCCATTTTGTTGTGGCTGAACATAATTTATAGGACTATTAAAAATCCGATTAAATCCATCTGAATGTTACCTATAGGGATGCTATTCAGATTTTGTTTTCTTAATCAAATGTTAAATATTCCATCAGTTTGATATTTAAGCGAAATGCAAATAACGCATCGTTACTTTAATATATTTTACTAGTGATTTCCCACTCTGGAAATAAAAATAGTAATGTCATTGTCTATCTCTTCTAGTCGTGTAAACTAACCTACAGTATATATTTAAATTTCAGTCGTAAGAAAAACTTTGGTTTGATTGTAGCACCAGCTACAACTCAGACAGCTGAGGGAACACTATTCTGGGATGACGGCGATTCTTTAGGTAAAATATAAATCTATTATTAATAAATAGTTCAATGTCGGTGCATATAGTTAAACATTAGATTACACTGATGTATATACAAAAGAAATGTGTTTTCTCACCTAAAAATGCGTTCTTAATAAATATATAAGTAAATAAATAGATAAACAAACAGTAACCTTTACTCAACAATCACTTATGTAAATACAAATAAATCAACATTCGACTAAAGTTGCCAATTTAATGATTTTAATGCACAGACGAAGTAATTCAAGAATAGTTTACTTTTTAACTAAACTTGTTTAGTCACATGAGGGAGTTCATTGGCTGACATTAATCGGACAGCCGTTGACTGTGCTGGTCTGTAAACAAAACATATCGTCATTGTTTTACAAGCAGAATCCTTGGTCTAAACATAACAGTGTTACAATGTCAATAGTTCACAACAAAAAGAAGCCCTGTACGTACATGTATACCAATACAGATAATTTGATTTCTCAATAAGTTCACGTGATCTGGATACCATCTTCGAAGAAAATATGCTAATGTAGAACAGCATGAAACGTAGGGCCTAATTGAAATGTGATTATTTTTAGATTGACACCGAGATATGTATGAATATAATGTGTTGTAAAAACTTTGACGTGTATGAAACTTGACAACTTAAAGGCGTATAAATTTGTCAGTTTTATAATATTATTTGAATAATTACAGATTCTATCTCAGGAGGTCATTATAACATAATAGACTTCAAGCTAAGTGGAGTAAGTACTATTTTCATCTGGATCTATTGTCTTTGGTAGTAATTGTCAAATGGGTTTAACATCCTACTTCTCTGCACCAATCGGGCACTTGACTGATCACCTGTTAAAGGTTGCGTAGCTAGCAGTTTCGTATTTATTAGGAAGTTTATGTTATTTCTGTGCACTGTTTGTTTCCTATGTAGCTGTACACTTCAGGGGCTTAATTAGCTACGACGCAACAATAAATCAACCTATTTTTCTATTTTATAACTTCAAACACTTACTTGGTGCGATTACTGTTTATCTTATTACAAACGATGGTGCACAAATGCAAATCGTTGAAAGGACATGGTTCGTGGAAAGTAAACATATCTTTGTGATCAGAAACCATGTACCGTATTAAATTATTCCCGCGTTTGTCTCTTGATCTACATATATTACTTCAGGTCCAGACCATGCATATGTACCAGATGGGTAATATTTAATTTATATTTATGTTATATGTTATGTTTATTACCAGAGTAAATTAACTGCAACCCCCACTAAATCTGGTTACCAAACCACCATGACACTTGGATCAGTTGATATTTATGGGATAGCAGCAAACCCTGCTAGAGTAATGGTTAATGGTGCTGAAATGGCTCATACTTATAACGTGCAAACGAAGGTATAACTTTTCTTTCTTTTAACTGATTGTGCCATCTTTGTATTGAATTTATGTCTGTTTAAGTCGAAGTGATTTCAACCTTTATTTCATAGGAAGTGGGTGTTTAATATTCAGTAAGTCAAGCAAAAAGTAGCAACTCTTTAAGTTAAATATTTGAATTAATATATATTAACATGCATCACATTCACATCATGATAATCCTTATTTATTCCTAAAAATGAGCTAGTAGAAATGTCGTGTCTTTAAAAGGCAACGTAGACTTTTTCTCTTTGTTCATTGCAAAACCTTCTTTTCGCCTCCATTGTTGACTCACCAACCTGATCTGAGAACGGCTTTCAGTTTTTACCCAAATTGAAACCTTATAAATTGTGTTGATTTTTTAAAAGGTTGACAAAATGATTTAAAAAGAAAAGAAATAACGGTTTTGGTATGCATAAGTATTTTAGTTGTAACACAGGCAAGAAACAATTTATGTCAGAATGCATTTGAGAAAAAAAGTGCATGATCTCATAGCCCAAAATGCGCATATAGTAGCGTCACGCGTTCACGATGGAGGTCATTAGTTAAAGGGACAATAACACTCTTGCTGGCTTAAAAGCTCCAGAAAATAAATAATATCTCTATCTAAGTACTAGATGTTTAAGTGTCCTACCTGTTGTGTAAATTATCCATTACATCCTATTTTACTTGTCCAGAGGGTTCGAAAATATTTTTAAATCGAAGTTTCATTTGAAAAGGTTTACGTTAGACGTTTCAAACCATTATGTTGAATTTTTCAAATTTTTTAAATAAGGTGTGTTAAGATGAAATTTGTATCACCAATTAATTGAAATATTCTAAAATAGTACAATTTGTTGACCAGAATAAAGATTGGGACATATTATTCAGTTACAACAGGAGTGGTATTGAGCCTTTAACAATTTACTGAAGCCTACAATTGTCTGAAGATAATAAACATTTCCTACAATTTATAATTTAATTTATTTATATTAAGTAATGTTTATGTTGATTTCAGGCATTACACATTGAAAGACTTCATTCAGATCTATTACAACCACTAACTATCACCTGGTCTTGATCACATCACAAACACAGTTTAAATTTTCAGATTTATATTAAATAAAGGTCATTATTTTTTTCTGACACATTTCAGGTTGCATAAATTTGGTAATTTCCTATTTAAAATAAAAAAAAAACCCAAACAGTTGCTATGGTGGCTGTTAGCGGCCATTCTAGCCCTCCCGTCAATTTTCAAAAACCCATTCTCGAAGAACAGATTTCTTTTCTCTAGGTTATGGCCTGAATCGCTATAGATTTGATATCAAACCCCCTATAATTTCATTGTCTTTGGCTAGTGCTACATGACAAGACCAGCGCACTTTTTCGTCATAGGTCCCAACCCTAGCCCTAATCCTCGACCTAGCCCCAATTCTTACCCTAACTCTAACCTACAGTCTCGCCAACCATCAAATGCCCTAATCTTATTTACACTTCAACGACCATGCCAAAAATTGAACTGGTCTACACAATTAGATTTAGCCCATTGTCTGTTCATAAACTCAGGCCTGTGTTTCCCAGCATTCTTACTTCATTCGTGACCATGTCACCACAATAAACCGTAAATATGCAATGTGCGTGTGGACGGGGGTGGGGGCCTCACGTAAATCAAAGGGTTTGTATAAATTATGCCCAGTCATCTGTTTGATCTCTCGTAATTTGAACATAGCAAAGAATTGGGTCTAACGTCCACTCGACACATTTCGGGACTAACAAATGATTCAGCTTTATTTCAATATTTCGCTTGCGCTTCGTGGTCTTTAGCTGTAGGATGAAACCAAAGGATCCGGAAAAAACCACGAGGTTGGATACGCGACCGACTCCTTATCACGTACAATTGTGGGATCGAAACCACGCCACTTGACTCAATGACAGACCTTATAATCTGAGCACCATCACCCCATCCTATTAGACAAGTGTATGTTAACAACCCCACTCCTTTTGTTTTGTCTTTGGTGTGTTTTCCAGTTTATTACAAACAAAATGGACATAACAAAAATTACGTATTTAAATTCAAATACAGTGATTTCCCATTTATTTACATACCGAGAATCAAAACCATTATAGCCCCCTCCATAAAACCATTTAGAAACAATAAAGTTCCATAATTATCTTCAACATCGAATACATTAATTTTATAAATATACTAAATATATTCTTACTATCATCTATGTTAAGATCTATGTTCAAATAATGAAATGTAACAATATTCGAGAAATAGTGATGCAACAATATTCCAGATATAGTGATGTAACAATATTCGAGATATATTATAGTGATGTAACAATATTCGAGATATAGTGATGTAACAATAGTCAACAGAGATAAAGCAATGTAAAAATATTCGGGAGAGATATAGTAAAGTAACAATATTGTAACTATATATTCCAGATGTCTGTGCACCTTCGCCAAAATAACATAGTTAGCAGAGTTTTTGATTGACTTTAGAATAAAAATATTTCATTTATGTTGACAATAGATCACACAAAAATAATACCATACTTATCTATACTTTTAAGATATAGGCCTAACCTTACACACAAATAAAAATTATTTAAAGTGATTCTAAGATATGAAAATTAATCATATTTTTTCCTTTCTCATTTGGAAATGCTTAGTCCACTTGACGGAATTTTGATACTTAATTTATATTTTTTGTTACATAACTCCAAATATGGCGGTAATTCCAATGTAAAAACCATCGGGAATGAAAGATGCCCTTCAGTTGTTTCTTGAACACCTGCAAGAAAGAAAGCAGGACATTTATTTATTATGAACTGTGTTAATTCGTAACAATATGCGACAATTATTTTTAAATTTCTTACTAAAAAGATCATTATTTATCAGATTTTATTTTGCGTTAAGTAAATAAAACCTATATCTGATTTTCAGGGGCCGACTGGGCTTGGGTTCCCTACAGTCTTCTCTTATTTTGAATTCGAACTGTTAATGGTTCTATGCTTTGTGTCTTGCCAGGCCTTCCGTACTTCACACTTTATAAACGGATCAGTAACATGGTTTTAGAAATATGACACACCTACATAACTATAATCCTTGTTTCAACTCATCCAACCCTACTTCAACATATATAGGAACTTTAATAAAGTCATTCGAATTGGGCACCACAAACTGTTGTTTTTCTACAGCAGGAGTTGCTCGTACCATCGTTGGTGGTTCTGTCACCTCTACCACCTCTAGCCTTGGTAGTGCTCCACCTAGGAAACGACGAAAGAGGCAACATTAGTCAGATATTTGAATTTATATCGTCACTATATATAAATATATTTACATTTTCTAGTTAAACTATCTTAGAGAATACTGATCAAGTGCAAATATCCAAATAGAATGAATGACTGACTTGCCTCTTACAGTTCGTTTCCCAGTTGATGTGTAAAGCACGTAGACCCAACAATCCATTAATAACAAACGGGGTCCATTGCCAGAAAATTTACATGTTTCAGATTTCAGTTGGAAAAGAATAAAAGGGGAAAATTCGGAGATCATATTATTTTAAAGAATTTTCGATTTTTCTAGCCACGGGATCCATTGGACTAAAATTCGACTGGGGACTGTTCATTCCAACAAGTCGAGTCATCACATCCTTTGAAATGATATTTTACTGAAAGTATATTTCCATATCATAATGTATTATCACTCAGTGGCGGATCGAGATGGGGGCCCAGCTATCCTTAATATCAGTATAGAAATTCAATTATAATGCTATTTCTATAAAACGTGTAAATTGGAGTTGTCGGTAAATCCAAGGTACACTGTCTTGGTGCAGGAAAGTAGTGGTACGTTGCAGAACCCAGTTTATTTTATCCAATACCAACATGGTTACTTAAACTGTGTATAAATGAACTCCTACCAATAATTACACATATTGTTAACACATCAATTATGCATGGTAATGTAAGCCAGTTCACAAAAATCGCCCATGTTAAACCGCTACTGAAGAAACCAAATCTAGACCCGAATAACTTAAAGAACTTTCGACCTGTGTCTAATCTGTCATACATATCAAAACTAATTGAGAAAGTTATATCCACGAGACTAAAACACCATTTTGTTATTAACAATCTTGACGAACAATTTCAATCAGCATATAAGAAGGGTCACAGCACTGAAACAGCACTGCTGAGAGTATATAACGATATTGTTACTAACATAGATAATAAACAGTCTGTCGTATTCTATTAAACCGGTTACAAACACGTTTTGGCGTCCATGAACTATGTCTAAAATGGATACGCTCTTATCTAACTGACAGGTCACAGTATGTAGTCATTGAGAAAGCAACATCGTCTCCCAAAACCCTACGCTTTGGAGTTCCGCAGGGGTCGGTTCTTGGTCCCCTTTTATTCACTGCCTACACAACACCAATTGGCGATATCATCCGAAAACATGGAATTAACTTTCATCTTTATGCTGACGACACACAACTGTATCTTGCTTTGAAACCACCGAGTGACTCCACCGAAATCTGTAAACTTGAGGCTTGTATAGATGACATAAAAAATTGGATGAATCTTAATTTCCTAAAATTAAATGATGATAAGACAGAGGTCATCTTAATCAGCAGAAAATCTCTTTCTCAATCCGTTAAAATCGGTGATTCAACAATAACATCCTCTCAATCAGTTAAAAATCTTGGAGTTTACTTTGATCACGATCTTAAAATGAAAAGTCACATCTCTACTACCTGCAAATCATTAAATCTTCATCTTTACAACATTGGTAAACTTCGACCATTTATAACGTCAAATATCGCTAAAATGTTAACTAACGCTTTCGTTCTCTCCAAACTAGATTACTGCAATTCGCTTCTATACCAATTACCAGCATCAGATATAAACAGACTCCAGAAAATTCAGAACAAAGCTGCGCGTATCGTTTCTCTAACTAAACAATCTGAACACATTACTCCAGTACTCCAAAATCTTCATTGGCTACCAGTTTATCAACGAATTAATTTTAAGATCGGTCTTTTAACTTTTAATTGTCTAAATAATAACTGTTCCCCACAATATCTTAATGAACTTTTAACCCCGTATAAACCAAGCAGGAACCTACGCTCTGCTGATAAAAACTTACTTCATGTTCCTACAGTAAAAACTAAAACTGGTGAACGGGCTTTTGTTTACGCCTCTGCTAACGTGTGGAATGAATTACCTAGACATGTAAAAGACTCTACTAACGTTGCTGTTTTTTAAAAAAAAAAATTCTTAAAACCGAACTTTTTAAACGTGCTTTTAAACTATGAACATGTTGACATTTTAATGTTTTAGAACTATTTGTTTTATATTATATGTAATATTTTAATTGTGAAAAGCGCCGCGGAGCAGCTGTTAGCTGGAGCACTCAGCGCTATACAAAAAAAAAAAAAAAATGATTATTATTATTATTATTATTATTATAATATACACACAATCTTAAACTTGAACCGATATCACATGGTCAAACTTTTGTGAAACAACATGGCACCTTGGCAACTGTCGTTAGAATCGACTAAGAATAAACAGACTGAAGAAAAACACCATGGGACGACGCGATGGACCATCGGGCATACAGAGTGGCGACAATAATACTATACAATATCTGTATGTTGTGTTAACCTGTACCGAAGTGGGCGTGGTAATTTTCTAACTAAATCGGAAACCAAACAGAGAATGTATGGAATGGATAAAAACTCAACAAACGACCCCACTGGCTGCCTTCTATGTTTTAAAGATAAAGTTTTTTTAAAACATCCTATTCATATCTTCGACTCGGGGGAGCAACGGTGGCTAAGTGGGTAGGACGCTGGCTCGTGTTCAATCCATGCATTGGCCGAGAAAGTTCATCGGGATTTTCCGACGTGATTTCCACTTGTCAGTGGTGCGGGACGGTGGCCTGGCAAGAACAGCTGTCTAGTTGTTCGGATGGGACGAAAAACCGCGGTCCATTGTACACAGTGGCGTACACATAAAAAGTCCCTTGGCAGTTGGAATTCGATATAAGAGTAGGCCATAGTGGCGCTGCCGGGCAAAATGTCCCTCATAGCACATTGTATGGCATATGCCCGTCTTCATTAGTCGGGGCAGAACAGTAGGACTTTAAACCCCATTTCATTTCATCTTCTTCGACTCAGCTCCCACAAATTTAAGCGTGTTACAGTGACATAGATTTATGGGTGTATATTTATTAATCATATTTATGCACAGTAACTCGACCTAGAAGTCAGACACATAACTTCAGAAATCTGACGGATATGACGAAACTCCATTCAGTTTATACCCTATAAAAGGTCAAAAGGTAATATCTGAGTGAAACTCTCCTGTCACATTAAAATATGGAATTAATTAAGTTGAGTCTGAACAGATCCTAGATGAAAAACTATTTATGAGCGGGCATAATTGTAGTCTCGCACACAAAGCTGATTAGTTTCTGTCATTTTGGAGACAAATCATACAAGGAAGAAGCTGATTTATGTGTATGAAAGAAGTCTCCAGTTTCCTCTTACAGTGTTGTTTGCAATAAAGAATTAATTCTTACTAAAATATGCCTTTAACGTCCACTTGACACAAATTAGGTCATTCCGGGACTAATACATGGTTAAATTTTTTATTTCAATATTTCGCTTGCGCGTAGGGGTCTTTAGCAGTGAGAGGAAACCGGAGGACCTGGAGAAAAAACGGAGATAGGGATTTGTTCTCGATCATCCGTTAATGCATTTATGTCAATTTTTGTCATTGTATTGATATAGATGACTTTAATTTCTTCTTTAAATAACTTGATGTATAGCCGCCATTATATATATATATATATGATTAGCTAGTTTTGAACTTTATAGTTAGTTTAATGGTGCTATTAATTATACTCGTGTGACAGAAGTTGATGGTTGACAACTATTCCGAAATAACATTCTTCCCTAAAACTTATTAACATATATTTTATTTTCGAATATGAAAACCTGTGGTATATATGCGTTTTGACATTGGCTTTGTCAGAATTGTCATGGCTAGGGCCTTTTTTGTTTTGTACCGAGTCAAACCGCGACATTAGACACAATTTACTTTCTGGCATAACACGTAATCTTAGAAATCTCATTAACGCATCGCCCGGATAATGGTTCATGGAGGTGTGGTTCACCTTCACGAAATATTATTTGAAATGGCTACACGTTTGTTGACAAATGTCAACCAACAGCCATATTGAAAACAGCCAATTTAACGCTGTTCTGATATCTTACCTTGTAATTCCGTTGCAGGTGTATCGGCATTTGGTGGTAAAGGAGCACAGGTCACCTGATACAGACAAACTAAAAATGCGACTAGAATCACTTCCAACTTCATTTTTAAATTGTGATCTTGTATCTTTCTCTGTCTATTCTGAAAATATAACATACATATTAAATAAATGAAATCTGCCAAGGAGTTGTACTCAACCAAAAGCCAGGGGCGTGGTGATAGTGAGTTTGCGAGTACAGATACTCATGCGCCACTTGATCATTTGTGCCAATCTTAATTTTTGCGCCTCTACTTACTATCATAATTTATTTTATTTTGCATAGAATCTTGCCAAAGAAAAAAAAGGTTGAAGAGATTTAGAAAGGAAAATATAGTTGGCCAAATTTGAGGAGTTTTCTGAATGTCTGGGGTGGAGTACATGATTCATACACAGATAAACAGAAGTCTTATGGAATTTTCACATATTCAGAAGATTGTCTTGTCAATAGACAATAAGTCCCGAGCAATGAAAACGATGACAGAAGATTTTAGACAGTTTTACCGGTCATTTGATGACGAGGCAAAGTAACAACAATAATCCATCATGCTTGAACTACACTATTGTAATAGGATAGCCTACTTCCTCAAATGGTCGAAGTCGTCTATTACGACCTATTTTAGGGCTAAATCTATTTGTTAAGGCTAGCTCAATTTTTGTCAAGGTCGCCGAGATGTTAATAAGCCTAGGGTACGTGATTGTTGGTGAGATTGTAGGTTAGGGTAAGCATTGGGGCTAGGTTCCAGGGTTAGGGTTGGGATTAGCGCTAGCCTTCAGTCAAGATCCTGTGTTATAAGCCCTTATCAGTTACATACAAGTGGTCTAATGGGTTCCCCCCCCCCCAGTTATCACTTTTAATTATGTATATTTTTTATCCCGCCCCCCCAGTTATTAACTTTTAATAACATATATTCTCTGAACTTTAACACCTTGAATCGTGATTACTATGTTAACTTAGTAAATTATTATTAGCCTATATTAGATCCTTCAAACCCTTGGATCAGTTTATTGTGTTATCTTAGTGCTATTATGCTTTGTTTTCATAACATTTTGTGAATGTGGTTTTATTTACAAGATCGTGTGTTTATAAGCTCTATCTGTTATATACTGTTTGTTTAATGTATGGTTTCCCCCTAATCATTTTTCTTTTTCAATATCAGGGTGGTTTTAAGGTTCATGTACAACTATATCCTTGTCATCACACGGTGCTTTTCAGGTCTTTGATGTTAAATATGTCTGTTAATTGGTTGAACTCTTCTAATGATTAGTAATAAGAATTGTTTCGCATTGTACATATATATAGACCCTCAAGTTTACTAAATGTTATTGTGCTTGATAACGATAAGAGAATACTTATCGAAACGTCGTGCCTGTGTATAATAAACCAGTGATTGTTGTCCCATATAACTGTATAGTTTTGTTATGTTTCCAATTGCGCCCTACATTTTTGTGCCACTCAGGACCGCCCGTATTCACGGGCGGTCTGTCTCAGCTGCACCTTGGAAGTCAGGGTAATTCCTAACCAACCTAAATTAACGACAAAGCACTCTTGCCTACTTTCTAATTCCGAATATTCTGATATGTCTGTACTAATTGCTCAATATATCCATGCGATAAGTCAATTTTCAAAACGATTCTGAAATTCATATGTAAAAATACATTGTTATCATTTGTCTGAATACCAAGTTTTCTGTATCATTATGTCACTAAAGTAGGTTTCTAGAATATATTTTCAAATTTATATATTTCTAAACATTAGTAATGACTTTCATGAGAGAATATACTAATATGTGATAACAATTATTGTCTCCATATTGTAAGCATAGACAGCTTTATTGATAAATTTACTAAAATCGTGCAGAAACAAAAATAAATTTCAAATAAATGTCCACAAACATTCATTATTAGAATACAGAAACTTTTGGTGAAACCATGTATTCTACAGTTTTTATCAACCATATTTATATGAAACTCATGCAGCGGAACTATGGCTTAAGTTAAGCATGCATTATGCAAGAGCTAAATCTGCCTATTGCAGGTCTTTCTTTAGGCCCAAAATGTTTTCTAAAATATTAATTAGACATTAATTAACTGATCCAGGCCTTAATCAACTCTCGATGGCATCAAATTTCTCCGATATTAAATAGATTAGAATGGTTCAGCGATACTTTGATTTAATCAAATATGGAGGACCGAGACTTAGATTCGATCAACCAGTACGGTGGTTGAAATTATTGCACACGTCTGTCAAACCTTTAAAGGCTATATCTTCGCTTGCAATAGTGTAATTTGAATGAAATTTTCAAATTATTCATTTTACATCATCTACTTTCGAACTATTATAGCAAGACTGGCTAGTTCTTTATCTAAATCTTACATACTGTATCTTTAAAGGTAACAATTTGTGTCTGGTGAGTCTGCTAGTAAACAAAAATGAAGTGGTCACGATTTTGTTTACTTCACATGGATATCCGATTTAACTAGGTGGCTAACTTCATGGTTTTAGTCACAATAGTAATAAAATACATTTTTAGAGCTGCTAAAGCATCAGTGAGGCCTGGATATTTCCGTAATTTGATTGCAGTTTACGACAGGACGAAATGAGCTTCGATGCCTCGACTGGTTAGTGGTTAAGGATATCTCCCTTAAAAGAATACCGACAAGGGGAAATTAGGATTAATATCTAATTTTAATACTCGGCAAATGGCTGTTGTTGTTTTTTTAAATAAAAAATGTAACATCCTTAACATCGGTGTTAGAAGAAAAGAAATGGGGTTTAAAGTCCTACTTTTCTGCACCAACTGGGGATAATAAAAGACGGACATGGGTTATTTTACACGTACACCAGCGTGCCACGGGACCTCGATCTTTCGTCCCATCCCATTCCAACTGCCAAGGTATCTTTTACGTGTATGCCAATGTGTACTCGGAACCTTGGGTTTTCGTCTCATCCGAACGACTATAAGTGTCCCTTGTCAGATCCCCTGTCCTGCACGACGGGAGAATTGATATTTACATCAACTCGACCCGAATTGGGAAAATTCGGAACTAACATATGATTCAACTTTATTTCAATAATTCGCTTGCGCGAAGGAGACTTTAGCAATGGAAGCACGTAGAAAAAACTCACAGGGTTGGGAAGGTGACCCATACATGCTAGGAATGAAAACCATGTCACTTGACGCAATGATCTAAAGTGCACGCGTAGATTTTTCGCCCACCTAATCCTCTTCCCTCCCAAGAAGTCTATTAATATATCCATATATTTTAACGTCATTATGCTGTTTCGGTTGAAATAATATAGCTCATTCATTCGTTTCGGCAAATAAAAAAAAATCTATTTGTTAGGAAATGTACGACATAAAAAGGTACCTAGATCTCAAGTCTACGTTTTAGATCTCAAATCTGTGGGAAGCCTTCCACTGTAGAATTAACTTTTCTAAACCAAAAATAATCTTACCTGGGTAACGGTAGCCTACTGTCGATATGACCATTCATAAAATTTTTCTACTATTAAAGGTACATAAAACGCCCACTTAAAGGGTTAAGTAGGTTTAGTATAATTTATGTAGATAATACATCACAGCGACGTTACTTTATAATCCATCAACGTTCATTAAACTTTTCTTCCAGTTTTATATATAAATAATTTGATGAAAAGGACGTATATAGAAACAGAAAATATTTCTAGCTATTTTGTGTCAAAATTATGATCTATTAGGTTATATATAGATTTTAGTTTTTAAAAAGTATAATGACAAGTCAATTATCTAAATGTAAGACAGTTGTGTTGATTACGTTACCATCGAATCTCTATGTACCATACAGATATAGATCTGACGATCTATATGTAAGGATCTAAGGATGACCTGGCAAGTAGAGTGTCTAGTTTTTCGGATCAGACGTACACATCGGTGTGCTAGAATTCGAAATAAGAGTAGACCGTAGCAAAATTTCCCTCAGAGCACATTGTATATTGCTTGGCGGCGTATGCCCGTCTTCATTAGCCCAGTCGGTGCTGAAAAGTTGGACATAAACCTCATTTTTTTTCATTTCACATAATATTGTATGCAACGTGTTATTTTCATCCAGTATATATCCTCTAGTACAGATGCGCGCCCCATTAATATAGCGCTTAATGTTATCAACTGCCGTGCATCATATTTTAATAATTAAAATTATTACTTTACACTTCATGGTATCATAATCATCCCTAGTTCATTATGGTGGGTATCCTATTATCTAGTACGTTATGGTGTACGTCCTATTATCTAGTACCCTATTATTTAACACGTTATGTTGCGCGTCCTATTAATTATCTAGAACGTTATGGTGCGCGTCCTATTAATTATCTAGCCCGTTATGGTGTGCGTTCTACTATCTAGTACGTTATGCTGTGCGTCATATTAATTATCTAACACGTTACGGTGCGCGTCCTAGTCTACCCGATGTAGAACAGATCTCAAAACTGGTTCTTGGGCAAATTTTCCACATGACCCAATATATTTTTTGCACTTTTACCATTGGTTATGGTTTCTTTAATGCACTAAGGACTTGTTTTTCTAAAAGGACGGCTCGATCGTGCGAACCATACCAAATAACCTTTGTTCTACCATAGGTAGGGGTATTGGAAAAAATATAGACTTAAACCGCTAGCCTACTAGCACTCCATGGTATCATAATCATCTCCGGTACGTTATGGCGCGCGTTCTATTAACTAGTACGTTATGGTTTACGTCCTATTATTACCTTACACTTCATGGTATCATAATCATCCCTGGTTCGTTATGGTGCATGTCCTATTATCTAGTACGTTATGGTGTACGTCCTATTATCTAGTACGTTATGGTATACGTCCTATTATCTAGTACGTTATGGTATACACCCTATTATTTAACACGTTATGTTGTGCGTCCTATTAATTATCTAGAACGTTATGGTGCGCGTCCTATTAATTATCTAGCCCGTTATGGTGTGCATTTTAGTATCTAGTACGTTATGTTGTGCGTCCCATTATCTAGCACTTCATAATCACTTCTCCGGTACGATATGGCGCGCGTTCTATTATCTAGTACGTTATGGTGTACGTCCTCTTATCTAGCAC